GTTGGAAAGCAAAGGGAGAAGGATCTACAACGTCTCAACTTTATTAAGAATTTGGGTGTGAATGTTGATGTTTACTGGGAGTGTGAAATTATGGAAATGAAATCAAATGACTACGAAATGCGCAAAATGTTCAAAAATTATTTGGATGATGGCCCGATCAACATTAGATCAGCATTCTATGGTGGAAGAACTGGACCTTTGAAGTTATACCACAAAGTAGAGGCAGGACAGAAAATTTCTTACTATGACGTGACTTCTCTCTACCCCTTTATCAATGTTACTACTAGATATCCAATTGGCCATCCTCAAGTGCACGTCATCAACAAGGATGTAAATTGGACTAAACCAGAAGACAACACCTTCAACCTTTCCCTTCTTAAACTGTTTATTATTCCACCAAGAAAAATTGATGTACCTGTCTTACCTATGAAAATTGGCGAAGATGAAGATGAACGATTGCTTTTTCCTTTATGTTCTACATGTGCAAAAGAACATCCACACGGGGATGTCAATGAAAACTACTGCTGTCCCCATACAGACCAACAAAGAGGGTGGGTGTCTACATGTACATCTATCGAGCTGAACGAAGCCCTCAAAGAGGGGTATGTTGTGACCAAACTTTTCAGAGTTCTGGAGTTCAAAAACTACGACGACAACCTCTTTAACCCTTACATCAATGAATTTATGGCCCAAAAAATTCACTCGTCTGGCTTCGACAACTCCATCAAGGGGGACAAAGAGAAAGAAGATAAATTTATGGAAGAATGCTTAGAAATGTTTGGAATTAAGATTGAGAGGGAGAAGATGGTGGTCAATAAGGGTAAACGGACACAAGCAAAATTGTGTCTTAACAACTTATGGGGAAGATTTTCCCTACGCAACTTTGGTCTGTCACAATGCAAAATTACCGACGATCCAAATGAATTTATTAAAATGAGCGATGATCCTTCTATTACAATTAACCATGTTGATGAGCTTACCGAAGAGATACTACTTATCAACTATACCAAAAAGAAGGATTGGGTGGAAGAACACGACTCATCAAATGTCATCATTTCGCTCTGGACAACCTCAGCAGCGAGGATCCACCTTTTACATGCAATGCAGCATGTCGTCAGGACTCCTGGGTGTCAGCTCCTTTACACCGACACCGACTCATTAATTTTTTCACACCCTGTCAACAACTGTCCACTTGATCTTGGTCCTCATCTAGGTCAGTTTACAGACGAGTACCCAGACTTTAATATTTTGGAATATTGCTCTGGGGGAGCTAAACAATATGGACTAAAGCTTCAAAAGAAATCTTCACCCAACGCTGAGTCGGACTATGTTCTCAAGGTTCGTGGGATGACACTCAACTGGGATGTGATCAACAACCAAGGGTTATGTTATGAAAACTTCAAGAAGCAAGTTTTTGATTTCACAAAATCTGATAATATACCAATTTTAATTAAATATCCAAATTTTCTTAGACCATCTATTAAAAATGGCTCTATTATTACTCAAAACCTTACTAAAATTTATAAACCTTATGTCGGCAAGGGCATTGTCCGCCCTTCCGATTTTATTGTATTAAATTTTGGTCATATTCATAATCGCCATCCTAGAATTTTGTTGTAATTATAGGGTTGGAAAGTAGTCAGGCGTACGGCACCCAAACTATACCAACTATCGAATGTTGCCGTCATACCTCTCATGGATTAGTCGATGAATATCAACATGTGTCATTCATATGTTGTGAAGTAATCCTCAAATTGAAAATCGGTAGTCGTGGACTTGAAGTATATAATTCTCAAGCCCCTGTTTGAGCTTGGGCATGCCTGTCAAGTGGCGAAGCCACACTCCTATTACAATATTTTTCTTTTCACTATTTTTTCTAACTAAATTTTAATTTGTTTTTACACAATTTATTGTATCAATTTTATTCGTGATAAAATTTTAAAATACAATTTTTTAAAAATTATTCAATAGGAGTCACAAGTTTTAGCTGTAAAATTACATAGTTAGTAAATCAAAGATACAATTTTAAAAATATTAAAAAATTAATAAAAAGAAGACGTAGTTTTTAGTGGCAAATTTACATAATTATTGAGATAAAGATTAAATTTCAGAATTTAGGGAAAGGAGTTGTTCATTTTAGGAGTAAAATTACATATTTAAGAAAATGAAGGTGAAATTTGCCAATTTAAACAATTTTACAGCGTATGTGATGGTGCACGCGTTTGTATAGGACATGCGTTCGTTGGGAGTGTGTATGTGTATTAAGTGGGTAATTGTAAAGTACATGATTATTTTGCTATTTGACCATATTTACAACATTTTTCAGATGTTTATACCCATCAAATATGCACACTTATTTCGTTTCCGTAATGCTAACAGACTCATAATAAACAATCTAATGTTTATTTTTACAAAATATTTCTTTTAATTTCCATCTCATATTCAAGATAGGAATTGATGATAAAAACATTAAAGATATCAATTCATAAAATAGATAATCGCTGTCCATTAGATCTAAAATTTATGACACAATTATTTTCACGAGATTATTTAGTTAGACCTTTCTTATTCACTCCCGTGACTGTTACTGTAAATGGCTCACCGCACAAGGAATTTTCTTTCATCATAATTCCATTCAGAATATCGGACAAAGTAGTATTAACAATTTCACGAATCGGACTGCATACATCATTTTTAAATAAGTGACTACTCACAATACACCCTAATGTATCTGGTTCGATTTCGTTTTTAGAACCTTCTTCTAAGGTTTTTTCTATACACTCATTGATAATTATTCTCATCGTTTCTTCATAGTTAGAAAGGTTATTAATTACATATTTAAATATGCCTTTAGTTATTTGAAAACGTTTTAAGGTTTTAAATTGTTCACCTAATAGTTTAATCTTTTGATCTTCGATAAGGCTAATTAAACTCATTTTGAACAAAGATAGAACTTGTATAATGAAGTGTTGTTGAATTATATTCAACACTTTCTTATGAGGAGTAAATAATCGTCATGGTTTAGGTAACATAACTTCCTAAGACATAATTTATTTGCCAATCATGTTCATTCGTATTTTCTCCGTCTATACCTCGTAAACTCATTTTGAATAAAGATAGAAAGGTTATTCTCTAAGTAATTATCTCTAAGTAATTATACATTGTTACTGTGCTTATTACCTCTAAGTAATTATACATTTTGTTACTACAACTGAGTATTAAGGATGTTCCTCTACGTAATTACCCAGGCTGTTCCATGTTCTAATTGTTCTAATTGAACATAGATTATGAATTCCAAAGAATCTTTAGTAGATACAACAATTGAATTCAATAATATTACAGATCGAGTTTCTTCGAGCTAGTTTAAATTTTTAATTTTCATCAATGTTTTTGGACGTGCAAGGGATATGTGTGTGTGTGCATATGTTGAGACTATTTAGCAAGAAAATCGTCAGACAAATTTTAATAAATGTATGAGTAAAGTCTTAACCGTATAGTATGTCTGTATGTGTAATTTCTATAATTCGTAAGTTTTACACAATCCTTACAGACATATAAACAAAAATTAAAAGTGCTTTCATCATTTGGTGTCATAACTTCTCCGCCTGCTCCAGAGAACATAAATTCCAAGCAATCCGCACACCATTTTGATACACCAAAATAATTATCTAACATTCCAAAATGATTTTTACAAAGAGGTTTGACTCCAAAATTCCCCCACCCCTCAATGATATGCATTATTGCTTCATCCATCTCTGTGAAGAAATAGTTTGGGCAAAGAATTTACAAACTAAGAAAAATCCCAAAAAGATGGATGAAATTTAAGGAATTTAGAGGAATGCTTGGTAATTTTAATTAAAATTATAATAAGTACACAGACGGAACCTAAATAACAAAGTTTTTTAATTCTCTTATAATATAGTCTGTGTACTTATTATAATTTTAATTAAAATTACCAAGCATTCCTCTAAATTCCTTAAATTTCATCCATCTTTTTGGGATTTTTCTTAGTTTGTAAATTCTTTGCCCAAACTATTTCTTCACAGAGATGGATGAAGCAATAATGCATATCATTGAGGGGTGGGGGAATTTTGGAGTCAAACCTCTTTGTAAAAATCATTTTGGAATGTTAGATAATTATTTTGGTGTATCAAAATGGTGTGCGGATTGCTTGGAATTTATGTTCTCTGGAGCAGGCGGAGAAGTTATGACACCAAATGATGAAAGCACTTTTAATTTTTGTTTATATGTCTGTAAGGATTGTGTAAAACTTACGAATTATAGAAATTACACATACAGACATACTATACGGTTAAGACTTTACTCATACATTTATTAAAATTTGTCTGACGATTTTCTTGCTAAATAGTCTCAACATATGCACACACACACATATCCCTTGCACGTCCAAAAACATTGATGAAAATTAAAAATTTAAACTAGCTCGAAGAAACTCGATCTGTAATATTATTGAATTCAATTGTTGTATCTACTAAAGATTCTTTGGAATTCATAATCTATGTTCAATTAGAACAATTAGAACATGGAACAGCCTGGGTAATTACGTAGAGGAACATCCTTAATACTCAGTTGTAGTAACAAAATGTATAATTACTTAGAGGTAATAAGCACAGTAACAATGTATAATTACTTAGAGATAATTACTTAGAGAATAACCTTTCTATCTTTATTCAAAATGAGTTTACGAGGTATAGACGGAGAAAATACGAATGAACATGATTGGCAAATAAATTATGTCTTAGGAAGTTATGTTACCTAAACCATGACGATTATTTACTCCTCATAAGAAAGTGTTGAATATAATTCAACAACACTTCATTATACAAGTTCTATCTTTGTTCAAAATGAGTTTAATTAGCCTTATCGAAGATCAAAAGATTAAACTATTAGGTGAACAATTTAAAACCTTAAAACGTTTTCAAATAACTAAAGGCATATTTAAATATGTAATTAATAACCTTTCTAACTATGAAGAAACGATGAGAATAATTATCAATGAGTGTATAGAAAAAACCTTAGAAGAAGGTTCTAAAAACGAAATCGAACCAGATACATTAGGGTGTATTGTGAGTAGTCACTTATTTAAAAATGATGTATGCAGTCCGATTCGTGAAATTGTTAATACTACTTTGTCCGATATTCTGAATGGAATTATGATGAAAGAAAATTCCTTGTGCGGTGAGCCATTTACAGTAACAGTCACGGGAGTGAATAAGAAAGGTCTAACTAAATAATCTCGTGAAAATAATTGTGTCATAAATTTTAGATCTAATGGACAGCGATTATCTATTTTATGAATTGATATCTTTAATGTTTTTATCATCAATTCCTATCTTGAATATGAGATGGAAATTAAAAGAAATATTTTGTAAAAATAAACATTAGATTGTTTATTATGAGTCTGTTAGCATTACGGAAACGAAATAAGTGTGCATATTTGATGGGTATAAACATCTGAAAAATGTTGTAAATATGGTCAAATAGCAAAATAATCATGTACTTTACAATTACCCACTTAATACACATACACACTCCCAACGAACGCATGTCCTATACAAACGCGTGCACCATCACATACGCTGTAAAATTGTTTAAATTGGCAAATTTCACCTTCATTTTCTTAAATATGTAATTTTACTCCTAAAATGAACAACTCCTTTCCCTAAATTCTGAAATTTAATCTTTATCTCAATAATTATGTAAATTTGCCACTAAAAACTACGTCTTCTTTTTATTAATTTTTTAATATTTTTAAAATTGTATCTTTGATTTACTAACTATGTAATTTTACAGCTAAAACTTGTGACTCCTATTGAATAATTTTTAAAAAATTGTATTTTAAAATTTTATCACGAATAAAATTGATACAATAAATTGTGTAAAAACAAATTAAAATTTAGTTAGAAAAAATAGTGAAAAGAAAAATATTGTAATAGGAGTGTGGCTTCGCCACTTGACAGGCATGCCCAAGCTCAAACAGGGGCTTGAGAATTATATACTTCAAGTCCACGACTACCGATTTTCAATTTGAGGATTACTTCACAACATATGAATGACACATGTTGATATTCATCGACTAATCCATGAGAGGTATGACGGCAACATTCGATAGTTGGTATAGTTTGGGTGCCGTACGCCTGACTACTTTCCAACCCTATAATTACAACAAAATTCTAGGATGGCGATTATGAATATGACCAAAATTTAATACAATAAAATCGGAAGGGCGGACAATGCCCTTGCCGACATAAGGTTTATAAATTTTAGTAAGGTTTTGAGTAATAATAGAGCCATTTTTAATAGATGGTCTAAGAAAATTTGGATATTTAATTAAAATTGGTATATTATCAGATTTTGTGAAATCAAAAACTTGCTTCTTGAAGTTTTCATAACATAACCCTTGGTTGTTGATCACATCCCAGTTGAGTGTCATCCCACGAACCTTGAGAACATAGTCCGACTCAGCGTTGGGTGAAGATTTCTTTTGAAGCTTTAGTCCATATTGTTTAGCTCCCCCAGAGCAATATTCCAAAATATTAAAGTCTGGGTACTCGTCTGTAAACTGACCTAGATGAGGACCAAGATCAAGTGGACAGTTGTTGACAGGGTGTGAAAAAATTAATGAGTCGGTGTCGGTGTAAAGGAGCTGACACCCAGGAGTCCTGACGACATGCTGCATTGCATGTAAAAGGTGGATCCTCGCTGCTGAGGTTGTCCAGAGCGAAATGATGACATTTGATGAGTCGTGTTCTTCCACCCAATCCTTCTTTTTGGTATAGTTGATAAGTAGTATCTCTTCGGTAAGCTCATCAACATGGTTAATTGTAATAGAAGGATCATCGCTCATTTTAATAAATTCATTTGGATCGTCGGTAATTTTGCATTGTGACAGACCAAAGTTGCGTAGGGAAAATCTTCCCCATAAGTTGTTAAGACACAATTTTGCTTGTGTCCGTTTACCCTTATTGACCACCATCTTCTCCCTCTCAATCTTAATTCCAAACATTTCTAAGCATTCTTCCATAAATTTATCTTCTTTCTCTTTGTCCCCCTTGATGGAGTTGTCGAAGCCAGACGAGTGAATTTTTTGGGCCATAAATTCATTGATGTAAGGGTTAAAGAGGTTGTCGTCGTAGTTTTTGAACTCCAGAACTCTGAAAAGTTTGGTCACAACATACCCCTCTTTGAGGGCTTCGTTCAGCTCGATAGATGTACATGTAGACACCCACCCTCTTTGTTGGTCTGTATGGGGACAGCAGTAGTTTTCATTGACATCCCCGTGTGGATGTTCTTTTGCACATGTAGAACATAAAGGAAAAAGCAATCGTTCATCTTCATCTTCGCCAATTTTCATAGGTAAGACAGGTACATCAATTTTTCTTGGTGGAATAATAAACAGTTTAAGAAGGGAAAGGTTGAAGGTGTTGTCTTCTGGTTTAGTCCAATTTACATCCTTGTTGATGACGTGCACTTGAGGATGGCCAATTGGATATCTAGTAGTAACATTGATAAAGGGGTAGAGAGAAGTCACGTCATAGTAAGAAATTTTCTGTCCTGCCTCTACTTTGTGGTATAACTTCAAAGGTCCAGTTCTTCCACCATAGAATGCTGATCTAATGTTGATCGGGCCATCATCCAAATAATTTTTGAACATTTTGCGCATTTCGTAGTCATTTGATTTCATTTCCATAATTTCACACTCCCAGTAAACATCAACATTCACACCCAAATTCTTAATAAAGTTGAGACGTTGTAGATCCTTCTCCCTTTGCTTTCCAACTGTAAGACCTGTAGGGAGTTTTAAGTCGTCATTCGGATAACATTTGGCGCATCCATGCCAGCAGCACCCATTGACTTCAATAGCCAGCTTCTTCTCTTTAATCCAGCCATCCAATTTATAATTACCAATTTTCTTCTCTCCATTTTTTGAGTGTGCTGTTCTTATGCTGACCATATTTTTTTCAGCATACCACTTGAGGAATCTAAGGGCTAGTAGACTTTGGTTGTCGACGTTGTCGTATCCTTTTTCGGGTACAATTCCAACGTGTTGTGGTTTAAGATGATTCATGCGAAAGTGCTTCATACAGGCTGAAGCTATTGTCATAGACTCCCGTAAAACATCAAGACCATTGGAAACTTCCAAAAATTCTTTTCTGAAGGCCACGAGTGCTGCCATCAGAATTTCCACATCATTTGTACAGTATGATGCAAGTTGTTCATTTAAATTGAAAGGCTCATTATTATGCTTCTCGAACCAAGTATCGAACTGAGCCCTCTTTTCAGGCATCATTCCGTTGCAAATATAGTCTTCTTTTGCTGGGTAGATCTCTTTTCCATAATTCTTTGGGTTGTTGGCTAGGTGAGGGAAGAATGGCTTGTCTTCCACCTGCAGTCCAAACGCAGGTACAAGAGATGCCAAGGGCATCGGCATTAGATTATACGTGTCTCGGAAAATGATCCAACACTTCTTATCATTCTTAACTTTCATTTCATACATTTTGTTTCCATTCTTTATCATATCTGGAGTTAAGCCAAGAAGATAAAATTCTTTGAAGAGTAGGACCATGTCGAACCTTCCACCAAAATGCGAGAAGGCAATTGTTTCCGTTGAAGTATTGGTGATCCAAGTTGCGAAATCAGCCAGAGGTGCATTAGTGATGTTTTCTTGATCAACATTTGTTTTAGAAAAGGGTTGATGGGAGAATGTAATTGTTCTGTCATCTCCACAAATAGTGCAATTGTTGTTCATTCCCTTAACAATACACTCGGGGCAGTTGATTTTTGCTGCTATAAAATTCACCTCATGTAGTTTCCCTTTTTCACCTTGTTTGTGCTGCATAGTCTCGAAATCAAAGGCAATGAATCGATATGGTTTTGCCTTCCTCGGAGTAAGAGGTTTAATGTAACAACCTCTCTTTGGGTCATGGAAACTGAAGCATGTGTTGCAGTAACGTTCTGAGCAAACATGACCAGTACGTCCATTTCTGTTGTTATCTTTTACATACCAAATCACTCCACATTTTTCACATTTTTTGGAGTTGTTGCAAAAATTAGAGTTGATGTGATGGTTGAAGCAGTCTTCGTTGATAAATTCCTTAGAGCACCCATTACATAGTTTAGAGTAGTTGTGTAATTGTAGACATGGGTAGTCGGGGCCGATCCTGGAGCAATTGGGGCATCTTGCTGTACATGTAGTCGCATGATCCTTTGGTTTGTTGTAAATCATTTCACAAGCAAGGCAATAAGGCTTACCGAATAAATCACATGCCTTTCGTACTCCATCAAAATGGTTATTATTGTAATAAAGAATAATTGGTGTTGTGTAATTTTCAGCACCGTATTTAAAAATAGGCTTCTCACCCAATTCTCCAAAGATAAAAACTTTAAACAGGCCTTGATTCCTTGAATTCCAATAATCAACCACCTTTGGTACCCATTCATTTGCATCATAAGTAGCCTGATCAGGCGGAGCTCCTACATTTTCCATCAAGTATGCTGTATCTTGTTCCAAACGTTTCTTCATTCCTAATCTGCTATGCATATAGTCATAGAACTTCCATTTCGGCCACGAGCATTTTGAAAATATAAATGTGACAGACAATGAACGAAATAAACAGTAGTTATCTGAATTAATAATTTTAATGAGGTTGTGGTTTTTAACTTTATGTCGAATTGTTGGTGAATTTTTGCCACTACCATTAATAGAACGTGTTCTAGGCAGATGTTTTTTGTCAATGGCTGTAACAGAAACGGTAAATGGTTCACCCCATAACATTCCCTGATCCTGTTTTTTAGATTGGGCCACTTTTAGGAATTGGTTAAGAATTGAATCCACCGTGTTAGAAGTAATTTCACGTATGGGGATCCAAATATCTGATTCTAACAATTGACTGCTCACGGTACATCCAAGTTGATCAGGTTCAAGTTGATTATCCCGGCTTGTTTCCAAAGTTTGGTCTATACACTTTTGAAAAATTTCCCTTAGTAAGCCCTCTGGTTCATCGGGTAAGCCATCTATTAAAAATTTAGTAGAAAGTTTGGTAAGATTAAATTTTCTATTGATCTTAGTTTCTTCCCCTAAATGTTTTAAAATATCACCTCCGCCAGATTGTAAGTCAAGTAAATTGTTGATCAAGAACATCCTTGATTTCTTTGAAGGTGGAGGAGGCATTGTTATTAATATTAATAATAAAAATAATTAGGGTTAAAGAAAAATAAATCTGAGAATTTAGGAGTAATTTAAAAGTAGTAAATCTGCAAGAAAAATTCAAAGAATGAGATAGGAAATGCAAATCCTTTACTTTTAAGAAAAATATTCCCTAGAATAATTGATGTGTTGTAGAATAGGAATTTAAAGAAATTCTATTACGTAATACCTTTCTATTAACAGCAGGAAAAAAGCCTAAAAGAATTTTGCATAAAAGGAAAAGCAAAAGCATTCAAAGAAAATAAAGAGAGAGCAAGTTTCGTAATACATACTTTTGTTTTTATTCCCTTGGGATGTTGTCAAAGGAAAGAAATTCCTATATAAAACAATTATTTTCTTTTATTTCCAGTCAAGAAGAGGAATTTTTAAAAATAAATCTGGTACAATTTGACTAGATAGGAAATGTTTTAGATCTTAATATTTCGAGAAAGAAAATTAACATAATATCTGGTAAGGAAAATTTTTAGGAATATAATTTGAAATTTGGAACGATGAGACGATTTGTTTGTAGAGTTAATTTTTTAAACTCTTAATTTTTAAATTATTAGTGGGTAATTAATAGAGAGAGGGTAATTATAAAACTATTTTCATTTATTCATTTTTCCTATTACAGTAATATTTTGTTTTTATAATTAGTTGTTTTTATAATTATAGCTATTTTTTACCTATTTTCATTTTTTAACGTTAATTCTATCTTCAACGCCTACTTTTTAAAAATTTACACAATTTTAACTTTTCAACAATAATTTACAAATTTTTCTCGTGCATGACCTACTTTCTGACCTATTTTCACTTTTCAACAATAATTTCGCAACATAATTATTGCATGACTTATTTTTACTATTTCTATTTCCACCGCCTACTTTTTAATAATTATTGTATTTTTTTTAAATTATAAAAGGCAAAAATAATAAAAGAAGGTAGTGTACAGAAAGGAAACTTAAAAAAAGGTTTAAGAAACAGTTTTAAGAAGAAAAATATGACAAATCTTGTTTGAACCGACTAAACCGGTTTAAAACTACTTCTTGAACATTTGGACCTTTGGAAGCATTTCGAACCTTTTGATCTGACGACGGAATGGTTGATGAACGTTTAACAAGTGGGAGGGGCTAAATGGTTGGACCCCGCTGCCCCCAACGACTTCTCGGGGGTGTTAACTACTAAAGTCCCCTAAAAATTGAAAAAAAATATTTAATAATTTAAAAGAATAAATTAACTGTTTCTTTACTTTTACAATGAACAATGTCTTTTTATCAGTTTATTTTAATGAGGAAATAAAATTTAATTTTTTAAATTAAAATTAATTAATTTCTTTTTAATATTTTAATTTTTTTAATATCTTTTAATACACCTATTGATTATCTGGAAATTACCGTTAATAATCAAATAAAAATTCGAACAATGTAAATATAGGATCTAATCACTTTGACAGTTCTTTGTTAATTTTATGTTTAGTTATGTTTGTATATTTCCTTTATCCTACTGTTCCGATTCTTGAAATCTGGAATTTGTTTTTTTATCAATAAGATACAAATATTTGCGGACTTTGAGGGAAGATAATAGATAGTACCGATCATTTATTATAGAGGTCCAAGACTCTTGGTCTTGAGTCTTCACTCAAGACTTTTCTTGGGTTTGTTCGGTCTTGGTCTTGAGGTGAAATCTTGGTCTTGGTTTTTTTTATTTTTGATCTTAGACGTTTCTATCATTTATTAACCAATTAATCATTGTATAGGTAAAAAGCATGGAAGAAGCCTAATTTTAGATTTAGCTTTATTATTTCTTTTTACCTCTTCCTTATATTTTATATATTTTTTAATTTATAAAAATAATTATTTTAAATTTCTAGTTTAATTTTAATTGTCCAAAAGGACATTATTACCTTTAAAAATATTTTCTTACCAAAATTACCTAAAAAATAAAATTATCATCGCCAACCGTGCCGACCAATTTGAATGCAACGGGGGAGGCTGAGGCCTCGTGTAGCTGTTTAAATAATTTAAAATTTAATTATTTAATTCAAAATAAGAAGAGAAGAAGAATAAATTTAAAAAATAATTTTTTAAAAAATAAAGAAGAAAATTTAATAATTAAAAATAATATTAAATATTGCCCGCAAAAATTAGAAACATCAAAAGAAAAAAGAAAAAAAATATTTTTATTACCAAAAAATGGTAAAGGAAGGCCTCGTTCTTTACAACAACATTTTTATTTATTTTAATTTTTCTTTTAAATTTTTCAAATGCCATAACTTTGGATAGAAGATTTTTAATTAAACGTTATTTAATCAACAACAAAATTAGCGAACAATTGCCTTTTAATGTTTTATTAATTTTGCCTGAAAAAGAGTCTAATAATGACAAATTTGGTTTAACAATTCCGAAAGTCCGCCCAATAATAGATATTGCTATAGAGAATGTTATTAAATATGGGACAATGCCTCGAAATTGGATTAATATAACTTATCATGATTCTAGATATTGGGAAGATACTTTACTTGCTGAAAGAGTTAGTGCAACTGGGGTTGTACAGGTACATAGTAGTTGAATGATAATTTAAGAACAGGAGAGGATCGAGGATACCTCTTCAATTTTCCTCATTACCTTGTTATTGGGTTTATATTTTTTATCCAACGAGTAACGAATTTACCTATTAATTGTCGATCCTTTTATGAAGTAAAATCTCCGAAAAATATATATATATATATGTATATCCAAAAATTAGGCTTATTGTAATAAACGTCTCGATGCAATTTTTGGTTTTGCCGATGCTTATTCACTCGCAACAGTTTCAAAAATTTCTGCAGGTTTTGGGGAGGGAGTTCCAGTCTTAACAACAACAGGATTAACAACAATAATTGGCTCTAAAAAATCATATCCTTATGTAACTCGTATGAGAGGTTCATATACACAAATGGCCGAAGCTGCTTACAAATTTATTGCTTTACAAGACCAAAATTTTGAATTACAACAACAAAAAAGACGAAGAAAAAAACAACAAAAAAATTTATTTTTCCCCCTAAATTATCAAAATTTAGTGTTTATGTATCACGATAAAAGAAGAGCTTTAAATAAACCTCCTCCAAGTACAAATAGAGCAAAAATAGGAGAAACGGGAGGATATTCATCAGCACCATATGAATCCCCCTCTTCTTCTTGTTATTTTTCTTCACACGCAATTAAATCTTATTTTCAAGAAAATAATGATTTTTTTATGGAAACGTGGAAAACACAAACTCCCCATGTTGCTTTTGATGAAGAATTAACGAGAAGTAAAGAAGAAGTTAGTGAATGGGTTAAATTGGCATCTTTACAAGCTAACGGTTTGTTTTGTTAATTTTTAATTTAAATTTATTTAATTTAAAAATAATTTGCTTGCTTTTTTTTAAATTAATATTTTTTGTTTTTTTTCCTCCCAATTTAAAACATTTTTTATTTTTATTTTATTTTTACTTCATTAATTTTTCTCCCCTTTCTCTCTCATCAATTTACTGACAAATTTAACATGAAATATATTTTTTTATTATTTTTAATTTCAAGGGAAATAAAATAATTTTTTTTTACTTTTTTAATTAAAAAAATATTAAATAAATAAATTATGGACATATTTTTTTTTATTTTTTATTTTACATTTTTGGGTGTTTGAAGTTTTTTTTAATTTGTTTATTTTACTTGTACTATTTATTTTTAACATTTTTTTATTCCAAAATTTTATTTTTTTTACTAAAAACTTTAAGAAATATTCTCTTTTCCATTAAATTGCTGCAAAAATTTATTTAAAAAAAAGAAATTTAAATCCCTATTTGAGAATACACGTTCATTCAGTCAGTTTCCGCGACATCAATCCGTTAACCTCTTTTTTCTTCTATTTTCTCGTCTTAATGTTTTTTTAAAAAGCAAACAAGCAAAAATAAATTCTTTCCTTTTCTTTCATTTATTCAAGGACTAAATAGAAAAGAAAGAGAAAAAACTAGGCAAAAAAATCTTTTTAAAAAGACTAACAAAATTTTCAAAAAAAGCGCAAAAGCAAAAGCCATAGGGCTGTTGAAGAAGGTGATGAAAGAGGGAAAATGAAAGAAGAGGATATATAGTAAAATATATTCTCTTGTCAAACAATTTAGGGCATTAAAGGCAAAATTTACGAGTAAAGGAAGAAGCTTTTCTTGGACATTTTCCATGTTTTTTGCACACAAATTTTTGTCTTTGGCAAAATAAAACATCTTTTCTTCCCTTACTTCCTTTCTCCTCTTTTTTTCTGCCTTTTTAGTCTAATTTTAGGCAAAATATAAAAAAATGTAGAACAACTACGTGTGGAGAAAAATGCCTTCCTTTCTAACCAACCGGATGATGGCCATTCACATTTGCCTTTTTTGATTTTTAAATGAGAGAATGAACGGGGAAAATAACAAACTTTTAATCCCTTCTAAACAAACAAAATATGATTATTAGCAGCATTTCAACCCTTTCATTCCAACTTTTTAAAAATTTAAAGAAGTATTCATCTTTATATCTAAAAATTTAACAACTTTTTATTGGGACAACAGAAAATTTATTAAATGAGGAAAAGATTCCTTAAACAATTAAAATAATATTTTTACAATCTTCCCTCTGTCAGCATTTTTTGCTAATTTTGAGTGGAAGAAATTATTATAATATTTTTGTTTGTACTAAAAAAAAGTTCTCCTTTAAATTGGCTTCTTTCCTCGATTCTCTTCCTTTTTCCCCCCAATTTTACTCTCAATTTATCACTGCGCAAGTATGTGTTCAAGTCTACTGATCAACAACGTTCTCTTGTATAAATAAAAAAAAGAAGAAAATAAATGTTTGTCTACTTGAAAATAAGCTAAAACTTTTTTTGTTTAAATCTTTCAATCAACTACATATTTTAAATAATGAATGAATGGCTCTTCTTGTGCTAATACCTCTTCAATGGGCGCGACTTTAATGTTTTCTGCTTTTGTTGCCAATTCTAAAATCGACCTACTTACTTTGACTTTTGGCTTAAAAAACTTCTTTTTTTATTTAATTCAACCTGGCAAATATTGAGTGACAGCGTGTCTAATATTATTCTTCTTCCTTTCTTCTACTTTTTTTGCCAAGTTCCTGAATTGACGGGTTAAAAGCGCAAAATAAAATAAAGAGGAAGGTATTGAACACTTCAACCTTTATTTTAAAACAACAAGGAAGGATTTTTCTTCAAAAATTCTTTGATGTTATTGACTTGTATTAGAAATTCTGTAACCAAATATGCAACAATACAACAAAAACAATAATAATTTCAATTTAAATATTTATTTTCTTCCATTTTTTATTTGTCTTCTTCTTTTCATCCTCATTTCATCTTCTACCCAACAAAAATATACTAATACTAATCCTTCACAATCATTTAATCTTCTCCCTCCAATTAATCAACAACCAAAAATTCAAAAACAACATCATCAAAGAAGACATCCTTTAATTTTTTCTTCTTCCTCCTCTTCCTCCTCCTCCGCTTCCTCTTATTTAGTACCTCAATATACTCGTTTCCCATTAAATATAGTTGTTGGTTTACCCACAGATGCTGATGATAATCCTTTACGTAATCCATATAAATTAAGTATTGCTAAAGCTCAACCAGTTTTTGATGTTGCAATTGAGGATATTATTACAAAATTTAAGGTTATTTAAAAAACGGAAAATGAGAGAAAGATAAAAAAATATTCCTTTCCTCTAAAGATTCTTCCACCAAATTCTTTACTTATCGCTTATGAAGATACTCAATTAAGTGATGCTATTGGCCCTCAAAAAATAGTTAATCATTATTGTAATAAAAGTGTAGATGCTGTAATGGGTATGGCATATGTTTTTGCTTTGGCCCCTGTTGCGAGAATGTCACAATTTTGGGGGATTGGAGGAGTACCTGTTTTTACTACTACGGTTTTTATTTTAAAAAATATATTTTTTTATTATATTTCAACCCTTTTTTGAATTTCATTAAAAAATTCTCAAAATTAAAACAACTTCAAATATTTTTATTTAAATTCTATAAAATTAAATTTTCGGCCTTGGTGGACGAATTAGGCGATCGACAGTCATTTCCATTACTTATACGTCTAATGGGCACGTATCGAACACTTGGACAAATGGGCTATCGTTTATTCATTGAATTAGGCTTTCGACGTTTCCATTTCTTTTTTAATGATCAAGCAGTTCATGGTTCAAGTCAGGGCCGTTCAGAATGTTATTTTGCCCTAAATGCTATTAAAAATTTAATTGGGCAGTCAAAATGTTGTAATTGGACTGTTGAAATGTTTTCACAACAAACAACAAATAAAAATATTTTTAAAGATTTATTGAAGAAATCTTCTCTTCTTTCTAATAGTAAGGGAAGGAATAAATACATAAATGTGTATTTAACTACAAATGTTTTTGGGGGAATAATTTATATATTTTTAAATTTTATTTTTTTTTTAATTTTATTTTTTAATATTTTTTTCATTGGGAAAATAAATGGGAACTGGAAAATGTTTTTTTTTAATTTTTTTATTTATTTATGTTTAATTATTTTGTTGTTGATCTTGTGCTGTCTTTTGTTTGTTTTTTTAATATTTCCTTTTTAATTTTTAATTTAAAATTATTTTTATAGTTATCATTTTGTGTGCAAGCCCGGATACTGTTCGTGAAATTATGTTGGCTGCTTATGAACTTGGAATGGCTACTTCTGTATTTATATTTTAATAAATATTTAAATTATTTTTAAAATTATTATAGGGAGAATATGTGTTTATAAACATTGATGTCTCTACTGGGTAATTCAAAAAAATTTAAAAAAATATTTATATTATTTAAAATAGTTCCCATGCCGAAAAGCCTTGGCTTCGTCAAAACGATTCCTCTGGTTCAGCCGAGGAAAATGAAAAAGCAAAACAAGCATATAGAGCATTAAAAACAATTTCTTTAAGAAGATCAGATTTAGAAGAATATAAAAATTTTGAAGCTAGAGTTAAAGAAAGGGCTGAAAAGAAATATAATTATTCAAAAAATACTGGAAAAGAATATGAAGTGAATTTAATTAAATTAAATTTTAAAAAATAATTATTTTTTTTAGATGAATAATTTTATAAGTGCCTTTTATGATGCTGTTTTACTTTATGCTATTGCCTTAAATGAAACACTTTCTGAAGGTTTAGATCCAAGAAATGGAAGAAATATAACAAGTAAAATGTGGAATAGAACATTTGTTGGTAAATGAATAACTAAATTGGGGGTTTTTAAAATAATTTATTTTTTTAGGTATAACAGGGAATGTAAGTATTGACCATAATGGAGATCGTTATTCTGATTATTCACTTCTTGATTTGGATCCAGAACAAGGGAAATTTGTGGTAAAAGTTTTATTTAATTAAAAATATATGTAAATCTTTGAGGGTTTTTAGTTGGTTAAAATTTTTTAAATAATTGAATAAAAAAATAATTTATTGGGGAAATAATACTAATAATCTTTACTAATTTTAAAATTAATTTTAATTTTTTAAAGGAAGTTGCCTATTATTCTGGTGCTTCAAATGAATTAAAAGAAATAACAGATTTTCATTGGGTTGGAGGAAAACCTCCAAAAGATTTTCCGTTAGTTTTCTTAAAAAATATATAAATGATATTATCCTAAATAATTATTACAAAAATACAAGTCAAAATAAAATAAAGGAATTATTATCGAGGAAATACATTAAATTAATTTAAGTGTTTGTGGTTGGGATCGTTCAAAATGCCCCGAAGGTTATCCAGCACATGTTTATGCTTTAATGTGTTTGGGAATTGTTGTTGTTATTTTATTAATTGGTTTTGCAATATTTTATAGGTAAAAAATAAATTGTTAAAAATTATTTTAAAAATTTAAAAAGGCGTTATCGTGCTGAAGCAGAATTGGCTAAAATGACTTGGAAAATTAAATGGGAGGAGTTGGATGGAGAAGATATTGGGAAGGATAAAAGAAAAAAGAGATTAAATGTTGTTGGTTGTAGTAGTGGAAATAATAGAGGAAAATTAAAATCTGATTTATTGGAACAATCAGAAGTTTTGTTATTACGTTCAAATAGTCGAGTATCTATTGGATCTGATAAAGTAATTAATTAATTAAATATAAGAGAAAAAATACTAATTATTTTTTAATCTCTTTTCTTATGTTCGAACAACAAAATTCGAACATTTAAGTTAGCCAGACTAAACATAAAATTAAATATACCTACCTAATTTGTTTAAATAAAATTAATTTAAGAGAAGTTCTTCCTCTGGTGCAACACGTAAAATTTCAGCAATGCTTGACAGAAAAATCAGTATATTTACTCGAAAGAAATCTTCCCCAACAGACAATCAACAACAACATAAACAATCACATTCCCAATCTGCAGGTAATAAAACAACAACATCAACAATAACAAATCCAGACCAACAACCACAACAACAACAAATATCAACAAATCATATCGAAAGAAATGCTTATTCTTCTCCAACATTTTCTATTGGAAATAATTCAAATAATAATGATAAAAAAAGAAAAAAGAAATCAAATCAATGGATTGATGAAGGAGGGGGATTAGAAGAATGTGGAAGAGAAGGGGGAGGAGGAGGAGGGGGATTAGAAGAAGAAGATTTGGAATTAGGAAGTAATTCTGGTGTTGGCAAAAAATCTATTGTTTCTTGCTCTACTAATAAAAACAACAGAAAATTCTCTTTTAGTGTTTACAGCATTAAAGTAATTAATTTAAATAAATATTTTTGGTTGGGTAATAAAGAATAGAACTAGTGTGAACCTTTTATCTTTTCAGCCCTAAGTACAATTAAGAGTTAAACAAGTAATTAAAAAAATATTTAAATTAAATATTTTATAGTAATAGCCAGTAGAGAGAGAGCTGGGCCTGGACCAAGACCTGGGTTTTTCCTGTACACAAAGTCCAGGCACAGGCAAAAATCTCGATCTCTAATAGCCAGCTAGAACCAGTAAATTTATTTTTTTGAAATCCAATGGATAATAAAATAAAAAGAATCGGGACGGAATTATTTAATTTAAATTATTACCTAAATTTATACACTAAATTCTTCTCTGTAATACCCTAACTATCTAAATTTTCCATCAATTATCTCAATAAAATAAAAATAAAATTTTTTCTTTCAAAAGAGTGGAGGTTCAGTAGAAACAATTCAATTACAAAATAATGCCCAAATATTTACAAAAACAGCAATGTATAAAGGCACAATGGTTGCTATTAAAATGCTTAATTTGGATCCAAAAAAATATCCAAAATTAGAATTACCTCGTTCTTTATTAATTCAATTAAAAGAAATGAAGGATTTACAACATGAACATTTAACAAGATTTTGTGGTGCTTGTGTTGATGCTCCTAATTATTGTATTGTTACCGAATATTGCCCTAAAGGGTCTTTAGAAGATATTTTGGAAAATGAAAAGGTAGTAAATAATTAAATTATTATTTAATTTTGTTATTGAGTTACCGTATTTTTCGAATAATTCCCCACCTTCGAATATCCAAAAAAATATCCAAAATTAGAATACGGTAATTCCCCACTCTCGATTAATTCCCCATTCCACGGATGGGTTGAACCAATAATTCCCCACGCTCAAATACCCTACTGCTCAAAATTCGAATAATTCCTCTCCCTCGAATCCCACGGGAAATATTAATTCCCCAGGGGACTTATTCTAAATTTCGATAAAAAATTTTCAAAATTTCATCGAGTCATACGAAAATTTTGAGAGTAATACAAATACCTCGAGATGGAGACATTATTTTCGAGATAATTTAAAAAATAATTTTTTATTTAATTAAAAGATCAAACTTGATAAAATGATGAAATATTCATTATTACACGACTTAGTGAAAGGAATGCATTACTTACACGGAAGCCTTATTAGAACTCATGGAAGATTAAAAACCTCAAATTGTGTAGTAGACAGTAGATTTGTACTTAAAGTTACAGATTTTGGTTTGGCTGAATTACACGCAATGGAAGATATTAAGGAAGATGAATTAGAATCACATGCTTATTATAGAAGTATTTTTAATTTTTAAAAATTAAAATAAAAATATTTTTTTAGAGAAACTTTGGACAGCCCCAGAATTGTTAAGAGATCCAAATTCCCCCGTCCAGGGAACACAAAAAGGAGATGTTTATAGTTTTGCTCTTATTTTACATGAAATGTTATTTAGAAAGGGGGCTTTTTATTTGGGTGAAGATGAATGTCTTAGCCCTAAAGGTATTTAAATATTTACAAAAATATTTAAAATAATTTCTTTTTTTTTCAGAAATTCTTTCCAAACTTGTCCAGCCATTAGACCCTCACAGCGATATTGAACTTTTTAGGCCATTAATTCCCCAAGACTGCCAACCTGTTGATGACACACCAGAAACAGTTAAAAAATTAATTGAATTAATGATGGCCTGTTGGAGTGAAAGTCCAAGTGGAAGGCCTGATTTTTCAACAATTAGAAAAGTTGTTCATACACTTAACAAGTACTCTATAATTTTATTTTTTAAATTTTTTAAACAAAATTTTTTTTCTAAAGAGAAAACGAAACTTCTAATCTCGTTGACAATTTACTTAAACGTATGGAGCAATATGCCACAAACTTGGAAGGTCTTGTTGAAGAACGGACACAAGAATATTTGGGGGAAAAGAAAAAAGTTGAAGAACTTTTACATCAATTATTACCTCCAAGCATTGCTGATCAAGTAAAAAAAAGAAAAGGAAAATATAATTTTTTAAATATTATTTTTAAAGTTAATTGGTGGTAATCCAGTCCAAGCAGAAGCTTATGACAGTGTAACAATTTATTTTTCTGATATTGTTGGTTTTACTGCACTTTCTGCCTTATCTACCCCTATGCAAGTAAAAATAAATTTATTTATTTTTAGCAACTAATCTTTTTAATTTAAAAAGGTTGTTGCCCTTTTAAATGATCTCTACTTAGCTTTTGATAGTGTTGTTGATAATTTTAAAGTTTACAAAGTTGAAACTATTGGGGATGCTTATATGGTTGTTTCTGGTTTACCTGAAAGGAGAGACGATCATGCTTCTCAAATTGCACAAGTAAAAGAGAGAATCTTTCAAAATTTTTTAAAATTATTTTTCAGATGTCTCTTGCTTTATTACATAAAGTCAAAAATTTTACAATAAGGCATAGACCCAATGAACAATTAAAATTAAGAATTGGAATTCATTCAGGCAAGAAAATAATTAATTTAAAAATTATTTTCCCCCTCCCTTTTTAGGTTCTGTTGTAGCTGGAGTTGTTGGATCTAAAATGCCTAGGTATTGTCTGTTTGGGGATACAGTAAATACTTCAAGTAGAATGGAAAGCAATGGATTACGTAATTAAAAATTATTTTTTATAAATAATTTCCTTTTATTTTAAAGCTCTTCGTATTCACGTTTCTTCTGATACAAGAGAAATTCTTGTTAAAGATTCAGATTTTCAATTAGAATTACGTGGTGAAGTAGAAATGAAAGGAAAAGGCAAACAAACCACTTATTGGCTAAAGGTGATTTTAAAAATAAAAATAAATTTAAAATAAATTATTCTTTTTTAAGGGCTACAAAGACACTCATGTTCCTTACTTTGGGCCAGAATACTTATAAAATTTCTTCTCTCTCCATATTACTTTATTTTCGCCTTCTCCAAAAAATATGGAAACGGGTATTAAAACAACGGAATAAATAAAATAAAGAATTAGTCACTCCTTCAAGAAATAAAGAATTATTAAGTTATAGGAATAGAAATTATTAAAAGTAATAATTTAAATGTCATCTTCTCTCCTTACACTTAAATATTTAAAAATTTAATTTTTAGTTAAAATCTTTAAAGTTAATTTGCTTTTTATCTTCCTAATAATAATTACCCCGCTGCTTATTTTTAAATGTACGGGTAGTCATCGCAATCACTGCGATTTTTATTTTTGCTGTTTTTTATTTAAACTTAATGAAAATAGTAAATATTCAGAATTTAATTTTTAATTAATTTTTTAAGATTAATTTGTTAATAAACATTTAATTCTTATACATAAATTCTGAATCTTTGCTTTAAAAAACTCATAATTTCTCCACTGCTTAATTATACTTAATAGTTATGTATAAAATTTTATATATTTTATGTTTTAATTTTTAAAAATAATACTATGTAGGCAGTTTAATTTTTTTCAACGAATTAATCTCAGTATCTTCCTCAAAAATTAGGGGAGAGATACCTATAGATTTGAAGGGATTAAGGGGGTAGAGGCCCAGTGATTAGATAAATATTCATAAAATAAAACAATATCAAAACATTATTTCGGTTTATTCCAAAGTTCGACTAAAATTTTCAAAATCTTTTCGATCATTATGTCAAGAATTCCAGAATTTTTGGTCTCATATAACGAACCTTAAAATTTTATTAAATATTTAAATTTGCTAAAAAATAAGTAATAAATAATTTATTAAAAGCAAATAAATTTAAAAGCAAAACAAAAGTGATAAAATGAAAAAAAATCCCGCTTCCCAGAAGTGCACTTTTTCCAAAAATTAAATTGACTAAAATTCGTAATTATTAATTTTAATTTATTTATTCTTTGCTGATTTTGTGGCATCTAACTTTCTTAAATGTTGAAGTGCTCGTTTAGCAGCTGTACATTTAGCAATTCGATAACTCCTCCCCATCCCAGTAAATTGGAGATTATCATTAACCGTTACAGTAACTCTAACTTTGCCTGTTTCTAATTTTCGTTCCAATTTTCTAAAAATTTATAGCAACAATTAATGATTAAAAAAAATATAAACTCACGAGAATTTTGCTCGACAATTCTTTCTCTCAAATAATTCCCTAACTGGCGATTGTGGTGGATTTTCACAACATTTTTGTATAACATCTCTCATTAAATTATAAAATACACGCCAAACAATATCTAAATCCATTCCACAATCCAAATAAACAGCACCAGCAATTGATTCGAAAATATCACCCATCGCTTTAGGTACTTCTACATCCTCTTCACTTAAAAGATCTTCCTCATCAATTTCATCTTCAGTTAACATAAATATCTTTAAAAAATTATTTTAAATTAAAAAAATTATTTAGAAACTTTACTTCATCGTCAAAATTCGCGCAGTGAAGAAAATCTTTTTGCTTACAAAAATTAACAAACTTTTCGACCATTTGATAGAGTGGAGGACAAATCATAACAAAATGCTAAATATAAATTTAGACAAAAAACTTTTAATTAAAAAAACTTTGTGAAAAGAATATTTAACTGCAAGAGAAGCAAAAATTGTGTTATTGACAAGAGCGGAGCTGAAAATTAAAATATTAATTTAAATTAAATAGATTTTAACCGAAGATCAGTAAGAACACCAGGACTATATTGCTTTTTGTGTTCGTAAAGAAAACGAGTTATCATATAATCTAAAACAGCATCGCCAAGGAATTCCAAACGCTAAAAATTAATTGTTTTTTTAATTGAAATTTTTTTGACAAACTTGGTAACAACCGGTTACTCGATTGTTGTAATATGAAGCGTGTGTAAATGCTTGGACTAAATATGCCTATACAAAAAAATAATTTGTATATTTCTATATTTCTATTACCTTATTTGCAAATTTATAACCAATGTTGTTCTCAACAGTAGCAAAATCAAATTTCTCATAAAGAAGGGCAAGGTGTTTAAGTGAAAGATTAGGCTATAAATATTTAAAAAATAATAAAAATTTTATGATATAATTTTTATTTACATCTTCAGGTGTGTCAATAAAACGTAGAAGTGGTGAGGGCAATGAAGAAATATCAGTTAGAACCTAAAAATTATTTTTAGATAAGTTAAGTTATAAATTGAATTCTACACCTTAATTCCCAACCAATTCATAAATTTGAGAGTAGCTGATTGTCCAAGTTGAATTAAATGTGCTCCAATTAATGCCTCTACCGCATCAGCAATTGATTTGTCACTTATCCATTGTTGAGTTAGCATATTATATGGCATTGGAGGTAAGTCTGGAATTTCTGATTTTGTTGGCTACAAAAGAAATAATATTTTTTAGATAAATGGAAATAAAAATACTTGTGGAAAAGTTAAAGTTTCTACACCATTTTCACGTTTATAATTCTGTTTATCATCGTCCAGAGTACCCCACCCAGTTGTTATTGCTTCTTTATTAATCTTTTGCTGTTGATCTACAGTTTCATTAGTATCAACACCCTCCATTGGCACTTCACGTTGATCTTCATCTAAATCTGTATAATCAAAAGGATTGACAGCATGAAATTCTGAAGTAGAAGCATAACAAGGAGGAAGCCAGTTAACATGTGGATCGAATTTTAGTGTTTCTATTAGAAGAGGGATGCCTCGTTGCCGTCCAAGATAAAAAAGATGGGAATTCGAAACCTAAAATTGATACAAAAATACAAATTTTGTATTTGTATCCAAATTACTTCTTTTGAACGAGCATAGCTTAATTTTCCTTCATGTTGTTCAGTGTGTTTATAGTAGAAATAGTTGGTAACAGCCATTTTGAGAAATGAATCTCCAATTGTTTCTAACCTTTCCAAATTTATTCCATCCGCAGCACTTGAAGTTGTCAATGCTAAAATAAAAAATAATTTTGGGAACAGTTCAACAATATACCTTGAAGCAGTAGAGCTGGTGAAACACCATGGGGATTCTGATCAAGTAAGTTCCACATAAAAGAAAAAGGCATCCATTTAAGTTCAGGTGCCATTATTTTAAAGTTCTAAAATAAAATTTAAGAAATATAAAAATAGTCTAAAATTATAAAATAATTATTTTAATTTTTAAATAATATTTTATCACTACTTGTTTTTCAAGATCTCTCAAATCACGTGTAGGGCTAATAGAATCAGCACTTTTTGTTTGGATGATTTTATTCGTTTCTTAAATATAAAAATAATCAGAATTTGTCAAAAGAGAATATTAACACCTTCACTGCTAATATTCTCTCCTATCTGAGCTTCATCCATTCCCCAAAAAACTTCCTCTGGTAAAATATCTTCATTTTGCCTTTTTACCGACTGATCATTAGGGTCAATGTTATTCAACGAATCTAGATTAAGCTAAAACATGTATTACATTGTTAATAAGATATGTTAAGAGGACCTCCTTTCTTTGCAAGACCGTTTTGTCAACAGCAGTAGCACTCGGAATGATAGGGGTATTCGCCTTATTATTATTGGAAATATGGCTTGAAGTACCAAAAGCAGCATAATTTTTCTCCAAATCATTCATTAAACTTGCAATATTAATATGAGGATTGTTTGTCGATATTGTCTGTAAAAAATTTTTTATACAGTTAAGTTTATATTACCAATGGAAGGCTTTCGTTTTCAATTTGGATAACATTGGCATTGCTATCGTCATTCCACCCCGCAGGTCGAACATCCATTTCACCTAGATCACCAATATCACTTGCTTAAATAAAAAATTTTATTTTTTTTCATTTACTATCCAAAAAACAAACTAGTCATTTTATTGTCCATCAAAAATTTAAATTTATCATATTCAGCTGCAACATCATCATCATCAGAAATATCTCCATAATTATGAAGTGTTGTATCATTCCCGACAGCAATAATTTCTGAGAGCTCCTCGTCTCTAGCAGCTATAACTCCTCGAAGACCATTCCTCCGCCCAGGGATTAATCCATTTACAGGTGCATTGTGAATGACTGGAGAAGGCTCATTCGAAGTATTATCATTGTTAGACATTTGTGCGCCATCTGAAGGGTCCCAAACACCGATTTCAAAATCATTCTGTAAATATTTTAAAGAAATAAAAATATCAAGAAAAACTAGAATAAATAAGTATATACAAGATTCCTGTTATTGAAATTATTACTTATTATATTTCACCAATTATATTTTTTTGCCAATGTTATCCAAATTGAAAACGAATCTTTCCTTGGTAATATAAACTTAACGATTAAAATTATCTTTTACAGACAATATCGACTTGGAGGAAAATTATGCTGCTTTTGGTACTTCAAATTATGTTTCGAATAATAAAAAAACAAATTATTACTTATCATATTTCACAATGTTTATAAAATGGTAATGGATATGCTAATTGCTATGAAAGTTTACCTAATTATTCTAATTTAAAAATCTCCTTCAATTAAAACTTTTTGTTATTAAATTCTTTACAATTACTGATTTCAAAATTTTTAATTCACCCACAATTCCACTTGCTGCTGTCTCATTCACATTCTCTCCAATAATATCAAGCTCCATTGGTACTTCATTTTCCTTCTCTTGTTTATTCATTTTTCTCAATTGATCTAAATTTTTTATACTTTTTTGTGTCAGATCATCATTTAGAGTGACATATTGAAGAGGACTCCATTCAAAATCGTCGGGTGTTTGTGAATTAAATTTCAAAGCATCTTCAAGAACCTTGCTACGAAATTCATCGGCAAGCAGTAAAGAATTAAGTCTTAAATTTAATTTTTTGACTGAAAAATTGGAATTAAAATTCAAACCTATAAAGAATTGTAGGAAGAGTAACAATAATTGACCAAAGAGTTGCAGAAAGAGGATGTATATGTACCAATTCTGGAACAAGAATTTGACGTTGAGATGGGTCTAGTGAGCGAGTAGCCGATTTTCCAGTAATTGCTCGTGGTAATAAAAGATCTAAAAAATTTCATAGTAAAAAATGCCTTAAGCCCTTTCAGATTTATGATAAACAAATTAATATTCTCTTACTCATTCTAGCAGATGTATGGTCAACATCAAGTAAATTTTGTTTTTGATTGTAGATCTCCAATTGATATTTACTCATAAAGTATTGATTGAAACAAGTAAATTTTTCATCAGGAAATGAAGAAGACGGAAATTGATCAGTCATTATCTGAATAACAAAATTTTATCAAACTTAAAGAAAATGTTTTTACCTCAGCTACGTAATAAAAAGCAGACTGATCTTCAGAACGATACCTAAAATAAAATAACAAAATGTTATAAAATATTTAAATTCGTATACCAAGGTGAAACAACAGAATTTAAGTAGTTTGATTCTTCAAAAGAAAATTGTTTCCTAATTTCATCTGAAGGTGTAGTTGGAGATTCGCGGATATTCCAATTAAGGTAATCTTTGTCAATTTCATAATCCAAATCGGCAGTGCTTACTAAAATTCAATTAAATTAAAATTGTTAAAATGATACATTTTTTCAAAGGAACAATTAAAAGTGGTATTGGAGAATGACCAGGTGCAAAAACAACACCACCACGAGCAACACGCAAAATATCTTCAAAAATGTGTTGATGAAAGAGGTAAATAAGTTGTAAAAGTTCAAAAGTGGGACGAAATTGTTGATTCTTTACTTTTCGAATTTGCACAAGCATTTCGCCATTCCGTTGAAAAACTGGAAATCCTGGAACCTGAAAAAATTTTTAATAAAAAATATAAAAATGTGGGCTATCTTTGATAAAATTTAAAAGAATAATTGTTCTCGACCTTCGGGAGCTCCTTAGAAGACAAAAATCCAAATGCCGAATTTGATTCGAAAGGATCAATAATTTTTCTCCTCTTTGGATTTCCTTCATCAGTAACGGGCTTAACTAGTTTCATTTCCATAACGTAAAGAATGCATTCACTGTTTTGCGAAGGTAATGTAGAATTAAGAGTTTTCGACATCTATAAATACATTAATATTAAAAACAATTTTTGCCAAAAAAATTCTAAAATATCAAAACGGAAACTAATATCAAACACAACTCCAATATTATTTTCATCTCAATTTTCGCTTACTTTTCTATCGTAGAGACGTTTTTTCTTTGAGGATCCCATTCTGCTTGGTAAATGAGGCAGATATTCGTCATCATCTACTTCACCTAGAAGATCATCCAAGATATCTTTTCCTGCAGGCAAAAGATTGTCATTTAATTCTTTTCTTTGATGTAATCGTTTGCAAGCCTTTTAAAACAATAATTTAAATTACTTTTAAAAATTTTTAAAAAACCTCCAAAGCAACTGCCATTAAAGCTAATCTTTTAGAAGTCATCGGTTTAGATTTTATTGGCTCCTTTATTGGTGAATTGATCGGAAGATATAATTCGGCAATATACAAAGTTTGTCCATTTTCTGATAAAGTTTGTATTGTATAACGTGGCACTAATCGAGTAAAAATATCTGATGGTAATTTTGCACAATATCTTTAAGAATTACAATAAATTTATTTTTGAATCGTAAAACATTTATTCGAAAATTTCCAAAGAAAATTTTACATTCAGTTAATCTTTTCTTATTTTTAAAATTATAATATGTATTACAAACCTGTTCACCAATTGTATAGCATTACTTAATGAGACTTTAGCTGTCCCTTTTTCAGTTGTAACAACATAAGGAGCAACAGCATCATCCAGATGGGGATGTATCATTTTTGTTTCATCATTTCCTTCCAAAGTAAAATCATTGCCAGAACGATAACGTCGCAAAACAAACTTAAATTTAATTTAAAAAATATACAAAACAATAATTTAAAAACCTCTTCTGCTTGTGCATATCCAGTTAAGTCCATCATAAAATCCAAATAATTTTTCTCCTCAATAAGTATATAAAAAGCGCTATTTTCCCTTCGAGCACGACCGCTAGACTAAAAATATTATTTCATTTAGTCTGAAGATTTAAGAATTTACTTGGATAAATGACCGAAAATCCATTGGTGGATCAAATCGAATAACCAAATTACAATTTCTTAAATCAATTCCTTCTTCCAGAACATTCGTTGTTATTAATAAATTTAGTTGCCCATTCCGGAATTGTGTAAGAGTTCGTTCCTGTTTTCGATTTACCAGACGCCTATCTTCATCGCCAGTTTCAGAATTGCCAGTGTGTCCAACAATAAAGTCCACTTTTAAATGTCCAAACTCTTCAGGATTTTGTTTTACAAGAAAACGAAGTAAATTCTAAAAATTGAATAAAAGTGAGAATATAAAAAAAATTCACATTAATCATAAAGGCAATAAATCGTTCTTTCACAAAAACTAATCCAAAAAGTGTATCTTTAATTCCAGACAATTCACGTTTTGAGGGCGAATAACTTTTTAATATTTCCAACAATTTGCGCACTCTGTCACTGATATATGATTTGTTCACGTTACCCAATTTGTCATAGCTGTTTAATGGATTTATCTTAAAAAAGAAATTTCTAATTAAATAATTAATGTTTACATACTTTGTGACTTAAAACTTTTGAACAAGTTCTAAAAGCAGTCTCAGCCATTCTTAAAATACATTTTTGTTTATTGCCAATTATTGGGTCATCAACATGTTTAAGTAAATTCTTTTGCCAAAGGATAAAACCTTTTAGAGCTGCCCAACTACCAACTTGTTGAAGAGTTGAAAATGAACGGGAAATTGTCTTAATTATAAAAATAAATAAATTTTAATTTTATGGTAAAAACTTCATAAATTTTGCGACGCGGATCAACTTCAAGTTCTGAATGAAAATCTTCATTCTTTTCAATAAATGAACGAAGGCGCTCCTTAAATTGAAAAATAATTAATTTTATTTATTAAAATCGAATTCGTAAAAATCAAATTGAACATAATTTTTTTGGAATTTAAGTGTAATTTGAGTTAATTTAATATTCTAAATAACATAAGCGTACCAATAAATCAACCACAAATTTTTCATTTGTACAATCATCCTTTGTACAAACAATAAATTGCTTTGGTTTTGTAACATATTTGCATATCTTTAATAAAAATTAATTCTTAAATAAAATAATATTTAAAAATTCTACCTGTGTATAATTACTGGAGGTCTCTATCTGTGAATCCATTATTTGTTCTAACAGTTGAGCGGTGCACTCAATGCGAGAGGATGGCACTTTTTTATTCAGAATTGAAGCTGTAAGGCCCAAAACGCGTGGTCGTTGACCTTTATTGAAAGATTACTTTAAAACCATAAAAGAAGGTCTTATCCAGATATCATGTATGAGTATAAACTTATCTAATATGTACATCAATTACATACCTTGCAATTTCTTGTAATGATTCATAATCAGCCTATATGGATGCAGTTCTCCCAAACAATGATGGCATTCATCAACAATCAACAAGGCCAAAGAAGAGAAATCGAATAACTGTTTATAAATAATATGAAAAATTCTTTCAGAATTTATTACCCCATGATTGATTAAATCAAGAAACACTTGAGCAGTAATTACAATCACCTTTAAAACAAGAAAATATACTAGACTTTAATATTAAATGACTAACCTGACTGCTGCTAGTAATTTTCTCAACTTCTTTTCTCTCATATTTTCTTTTAATTGTAGAACCAGAAATACGGGCAACAGAAAGACTCGAATGAAATTCAATGTGCTCAGCTTGCTGGGCAACAAGTTCAACTAAAGCAGTCTAATTATTAGAAATCAAAAAATGTTAATTAAAAACCGGTATTAACCAAAAACACAGCTTTTTCATTTTGATGTAACAACCTCTGAGAATATTCTTTTATTAAAAGAACCGCCACAAACGTTTTTCCACTACCAGTACCGAGCGAAATAATCGTGTTTTGAATTTTTGCACGATCAAGTAATTCAACCTTGAATTTAAATTAGACTACACAAAAAAGTAGCATAGGTAAATACCTGATAATCTCTTGGAGGAATACATTTAGCACTAAAATCCTTCGGTGGAGACATTCTAAATTATTTTAATATTTTAATAACTCAAAAACTAAGTTAATAATTTAAATGATTCAAAACATAATGTTTGCACAAAAAATGCAAAAAAAAAATTTTTTTTAATTTAAGTAGCAAAATATTTAATAAATAGCAAATTTATATGTAAAATAAAAAATTGAGTAATTTTAAAGAGACCGGAATTTTAAAATGTTATGTAAAAAATAAAATTATATAGATTCGTTGTCAACTTCCTCATATTGTATTCTCTGTCTCTCATTTTCCAATTTTTTCTTTTCCTCAATAAGCGCATTTAAAATTGGTTTAAGGCGGTTAACATTATCTCCAGTAGTTTGAGAAGCTTCCATTTGAGTTTCAGCAGTTGTAGCAACGTTTCCATCCGAATTTTGGAAAGAAACAGATTTATTTGTTTGTAATTGTAGAGAGAATTCCCCTTTCATTGTTGATATTACATGCCTAAAGAGAAAATTGAAATTTAAGAATTAAAAAATGAAGCTACTCACTTTGATTTTTCTAAAAGATGTTTTGGAGGCTCCAACATTTGAAGCAATGCTCGTTTATCTTCATAAGAAAGTTCAATTGGCTTTCCTGGATTTAATGCCTTCTCACGTAAAGTCATACACTTAAATATTACATATTCATTTAAATATTCCCATTAAAAAACAAAATATTCACCTGATGTTGAATACGAGGGTCATGAACACTACGTTTTTTCAATAGCTCATTGCCACTGAAAAGATAAATTTGAATTTATTTAGAAAAATTAACTTCCCTACCCATCAGAATCACAAAGCATCAAATTATTAATATATTCGTCTATTAAATCTTTTTGGTAATCTTAAATTTATTTGTATTTTAAAAACAATTTAGATTTATTTGCCTGTAATTTCTTCTGAAAGTATTAAAGGAAAGTCAAAATAACGAAAATCATCACGAAATGGCATTAGATAATGGATAAGAACCTTAATAGAATAAAAATTAAAATTGTGACAATTCTCACCGGATAGTTTTCCTTTTTTGTGATTTTTGGAATAAGACAGGATAGACGCGGATTAGACGCAACATTGTATGCATAACGGCATAAAGCAACAACTCCCTTTTTTAACATTGCATTTACAATTGCAGAAAGTGTATTAAACGATTTCTAAAAAATAATTGTAAAAAAACAAAAATATTTAAAATTTACTAGATCAGCTTCTCGTGTAGCTACACCCCCTTTTCCATCTTTATGGGGAAGAATATATCGTGGACTACTAACAAGAAATTGAGGAAGAATCTGAAATTCTTTCAAAATTTAATTGAATTTTTTCTAAAAATACATTTTCTTTTCTAGCAAATTGAATGAGCTGAAGTTGCTTGCCTTCACGTGGAACATCAGACATCATCTGTATTGCTTTGTCAAAAGTAACAATTGTAGAGCCATAACGATAACCTAAAAATTTTTAGTGTTAATTGAATAAATAATTTAAAAACGTAGAAAATTAACCTCGAACAATATCCTCTTTTTGCACCAATTTGCCAGAAGGCATACTACTCAAAGCTTTATTTATAGTGCTTGTACTGGTAAAGGAAATATCGGGAGTAGAATCAATAGCTGCTAATGGAATGCTTGTTTCATGATCAGCTAACGTTTCATAACGTCTAATCTTTTTTAATATTTGAGGCTGTTCAAGTCTATCAGCAGTAGAAGTAGAAGAGAAGGAAACAGGATCAAAACGTTCTTGTAATACAACCTCTTGATTTTTAACGTACAATTGTACACGAACTGAAAAATCTTTTCCCAATTCAAGATTGAAAGGCTGCCCTCTTGGTGTAAGCGATTTTGGAATGAAAAATTTCAGTTTGGATAGACTTTCCCTGCAAATAATTTTTTAATTTAAAAAATCATTTTTGGTATTTTTGGGTCTCTGATTCGTCATAGAAAATGTTTAACTCACTGAAAATTGTAAGAAAGAACATCCATCTTCGGAAGCAAACTACGAACAAATTCAATCCCGAGCTGTTGGGATTTAGATATTGGAGAGCTATTTAAGTCGGGACCACTAAATTTTTAATAAATCGTTATTTTATTTGTAACTGGTACATGATAAGCAATTTAGCTCCAACTGTATTGAATGCCTCTACAACTGAATCTAAGACTTCAAAAACCTTAATATATAGAAACAAATACTTATATTTAATGTAAAATATATTTAAGGAACCTGATCATCTTCATTTAATCCCCCAAAGTTACTAATTAATGTAACTGTTGCTTCAGTCATTCCATCCTTACCAACCTCACCATGAATTTTCAATTGTTCCAATGAAGCAAAAAGTGCAGCCAAATCTTTAAAAAATCACAAAAGATATAAATTTAAAATACTACAACAAACAATCGCCTGGGCATTTCGGATTTGTTTGAACCTCGTTTTTGAATACATGTAGCCATTCAACGCGAGCACGCTCAAATTCAGGATTATGTACGTAAACATTTGAGTAGTTATCATCAGTTGTGCATTCGTGTCCAAAAAACACCAAGGAAAACTGATCTTTAGAATCGGTGAAGAGCTTAATTTTAATATGGCAAATATAGAAAAAAATATGCTTCACGAATTTGAATTCTCAGAAGCATCAAAACTCAAAAAAAGTTAAAATTACCTTACGAGAAATAATCCAATCAGCAATTTGAAGCGATCTTTGCAAGTCAGATTCCGTTTCATCGGGGACTGACTTAATAGAAGACGTTGAGCCAACATCAATTGCCAGAACTATTGCTGCATGACCTTGCCTCGGAGTTGCTCGTTTGTGTGTTACTTTCGGTTCATTCTCACTAGACGGTCCTTCTGAACCATGCAACAACACTTCAGACTCAGAATTTGCATTTTCCGTACTTCTTTTTTTCGGAGGCATCTATCTTTTGAAAAATAATAAATACTATAATACATAATTTTAGAGGAATAATTAAAATATGTATCCTATATAAACTTAAATTAGTATGGAATAATAATTATAACAAGAAAATAAATTTATTAAATAACAAAAAACAGAAAAATAATACTTGTTCAATTAGATTTTAAAATTCTATATTACTCTTTGGTAATAATTGATCAAGTAGCCAATTAAACAAAAATATAATAAACATGTTTAGAATTTATCAAATATTGTGTGGTTGTGGTTTAACCATGGAACGTCTTGGACGTCGCATTATACTGCCATAAGAGAACATATGCCGCAATCTTTTCCTATGAGGAAGACCCAGCTCTGGATTTACTTTGCTTTGGTAGAAACGAGCCATATTTACTGGATCTAATGGATCTTGAGCCAATTCCTCGGGAGAGTACAGTCCAACGTCTGTGCTAAAAAGAGAAATAAAAAAATAACATTTATTTAAGTTCATTCAACAAAAAATTAGCAAAAATATGAAGGCATCTTACTCCTCAGCAACAATGTCCATTAAACTGTGATTTGCTTTTTGTGCCTTTTCAAAACGCAACTCATAAACATTTTCACATTTGAAGGGAAAAACGCGCGGTTCATCAAGAACTTTCCATATTCTTAGAAGTGCATTCTGCGAAGCCAAATCAAGTGCTACCCATGGCTGTTCACCAGCAGCTATAGTCGGAAGAAATAAAAACATTTAAAAATGTATATTTACATTGTCCGAGGATTCTCTCCTTATTTGCGTAAATGCCAATTTCGTAATAAGGCATAGCAGTAGACAACCCACCAGAATTTATAAGACGAGGTTCAATATCAACAATCTAAAATAAATATTAAAAAAAGTTTGAAGTTTAAAATACATTCTCCCATTTATTCATATAATCCTGAAGAATTTTAAAAGGTTGTCGGAAAGGAAGAACATCTTCTATTGGAACTTCACATAAACGTGGAAGTACAAAATTTCGAATAAAGTTTCGGGCCTTTGTTACATCAATTGAAGCAAGTAAAGCAAGAAGAGCTGTCTGAAGTGTTTCCTCAGATGGCGGAAATTCGCCAGTACGAACAAGATGTTGAATTCCCAAATGATTAATTATTTGAGCGAGGACTTCGTTCGAAGCCAAATGCATTGCAACGGCAATTATGAACTCCTAAAATAATAAAAAAAACGATAATTTTATAAAAAACCTCGGGTGCCAAAGGCCAATGAGCTCGCAGATAAGAAAGCAAGATATGCCTAAAAAGGACTTCGCCTTAAATCATAAAAAATAATTATTTTTATCAAAATTAAGAACCCTTTTCTCGAAGATCCTCATTGCTTTCGTTATTCATAATTTGTATTTCTTCGTCCATTGATGGTTGGGGATACAATGCACCTTCTTCAACGTCTTTTCGTTCGAAAAAACTTTTGTTTGTTAGTGCCTTGACAATTGACTCATGGTCAAGTTCAGAAATTCCAAGTCTATGAGAGAATGCGAATATTTCTGACGTGTAATTCCTGAGAATTAAAAGAACATTTAAAATTTCGAGATTTATATAAGGAACAATCATAAAACTACCAATTGTCCATGGCGGATCGACTCACGAGAGGTTCAGGGCCAGCCATGACCCGCCTGTTATATAAATCCTTCAAGTATGGACGCATCCATCGCCTACGAACATGCAGACAACGAACTAAAATTTAAAATTTTAAAGAGAAAATAGGAATTAATTTACCTGCTGACAGATTATGAACAGTGGATGCACCAATATTGGCCAACAAATTTAATTTCGAAAAAGACATAATAACTAGGAAAATTATATCTGATTAAATGAGAAAGCTATAAAATATCTTGAAATTTAATCAACGTTGTTTAAGAAATTTTAAAAAATTATAAATATTTATTTCTTCTTTCAAAAATAGCAATAAAAAATCCGTTAGTAAAATCAATTTTTGGAGAAGCTCTAATACATTTAGAAACTATTTCTTCTGCCGCTTCTTTACTAAAAATTTTATTATTGAAAGTCTTATTTAATTCTCCTCTGTGCTTCCATTGATTAAATGCATTTAACAAAATAAACTGATCACTTATCTCAACATCCTCTAAAACCTCAAAAATAACACCTTCATTTTCCGCCCAATTAATTGAACAAGTTGAATAAACTAGTCGACGTAGCGAAGGTAAACGAAGTGCATGCTTCAAAATCATTGCCTGTAAAATTTATTTAAAAAGAAAACCGAGAAGCTTAAAAACCTGTAGATTGGCTAAGGATTTAATTCGCTCAGTATTTGGTTGTTCAAATTCATCAAAAAATTCACCACGTTTTACCATTCCTGAACCTGAACATGGTGGATCAACGAGTGCATATTCAACCTTTATTGAATTATTTAAATAAAAATAAATTAAAAATACCTGTGTGAATTTGTTAACATCAACTTGTAAAAAATCAATACATTGTGCTTGAATAATACGTGCATTTGCATTTTTAGACATTTTTCGCAATAAATTAAGTCTTTCAGCATTTCGATCAAATGCAAAAATTTTGCTAAAATTTAATTAAAGTGTATGCAAAATATTATAGTAAATATCAAGATACCCATTATTTTTCATTAAAGCTGCCAAATGCGTAGTCTTCATTCCGGGCGCTGCACAAACATCCATTACAAAAGAACCTGGTTGTGGAGATAACAAAAAAGCAGGGAAACAACTTGCCTAAATTATATTAGAAATAATAATTATATGAATCAAATTACTTTATCTTGAAGGATTAAAACTCCTTTCTTCACCAAAATATGGTCGTGCAGATCTGTCCCACGAGAAAAAATCAAAAGATTGTCAATATGTGGATCAATGTAGCATTTTAATGGCTCCAGTTTAGCAACAAGTTTACGGTACTTTAATGGGGGAATCATCTTTTTCAATCGACGCACTGTCCAGCCTTGATCTTTTAGTAAATCCAAAACATAAGCTAGTTGTTCTCTCAAAGGATTCACGCGTGCATACCGCGGGAGTAATGATGCTTCACTTTGCACAGTTAAATGATCGACAGACCCTTTATGTTCAAGGTTGGTTATCTGAAAATCAAAAACAAATAATTCAAAACAAAATCGAAAATTTTGATTTTGAGAATAGCTATGAAAATTCGTAGTAATGCCAAGAATTTTTGACAAAAACACAAAGACTTTCAACTTTTGAAATTATCTCTTACCTCTTCTGACAGAAGAGTTCTAAAATAGCATTCATTCTTTCCTTGATGATCATTTCCATCACTCTTCACTCCTAAACGTCCAAAAGTAAACTCATAAAGTAGAAACAATGCTTCATCACATGTAATCGTTGGCCAAGTTTTCAACAAATAATTTGAAACAGAACGTTGTTTATATAATTTAAGAAGCAAAGGGCGATACTTGGCAACTTCACAGCAAAGTTTGAGCAATTTCCTTTTATTCTGAAATTAATTTAAATATTTTAGTAAATTTTGAATAGTTAAATAACCCCAAAGGTATAAATGAAAAAGAAAAATATTTCATAAAAAGTATATCAAACTTAAAAAATTAAGATATGAATGAAAAACAATAACCAACAAATTTTAAATGGAACAAGAGAAAAGAATAAACAAAAGACAAAAAATTTAAAAGTGCACAAAAAGTTCTCTCATCACTCAGGTTTCAAATATTTACATTGTACCCATCTCCTGTACCTAAAATACATAACTTAATTTGCAATATTTTAATAGATTTTTACATTGTAATCTTCTTGGCTCGATTAACTACCAGACGTTTTTCCATTATATTTTGAATCCTTTCTAATCCAACTTGAGTAAAAAATTCGTGCAACTCCTCAGTAGTGAAATATGATACAAATGTTCCGTCACCACGACGATAAAAATTTTCGTCAATAAAGCGGTCACGTTTAAAACGCAATTGTGTTAAATCATATCGACCATAGTCCTTTACCATTAAAATTCCACCCGGCTTCAAAAGACGAACTAAGTTTGAAATGGCTAGTTTCAGACGACTTGGTGCTATTGCAGAAAGAACAAAAACGCACAGAATATAGTCAAGTGATCCTTCAGGGATCTAAAAAATATTTTTGATATTCGATTTCAATTGCTAACTTGATCAGTATTCTCAGTGATATCCCAAACAAACGGATGACATCGATTAGCAGGAACACGGTTATCGGAACGTAGTAATTCAACTGCTTTTTTAGAGTAATCACAGCAATATATGAACAAATTTGAATCATTTGTTGCCTGAATAATTGGAATTGTAGTGTTTCCGACTCCACAACCAACATCCAAAATGCGAATTGGCCCACTTGTAGCAGACTTCTGAACGTGAATTTTTTAAACGACATTGGAATATTGTAGATACCTCGCTAAACAACTCAGAGAACTCGCGGATTACCCATTTTCTGTTCATGAAGAATTTATTCCCATGTGAAAGATAAAATGACTCCCATTGCTCATTTGGTGTATCAAGAAGATCAGCTACGATTTTATCATCAACAGGGTGTGATTGTTGCAGTTCAATCGTATTCTTTATTTCTATCTCTTTTTCAACAGGCCAATCAACATCATCCCATGCATTATATTCGAAGACACGAGTTTCGTCATTGAGAAAGCGTTGCCCGAATATAGATTCCTTATCTAAATCCATATCTTGTTTTTCGTTAGAAATTTTGCAATCCATTAGACTAAATTGGACAAAAGCATATTGAGAAAAATAAGATAAGTATCAATAAAACCCTTCCAATGAATAGAACCCATCCCCCACGCACGATTTTTCAAAGTTATTTTAAAATTCTAAAAAATACCTTCAATTTGCTTGAATAAACGAACTTTCTGACACTGCCTTGCTTGTTCAATGCTTTGTCTAATATAGTTGCAGCTTCTTTGAAGTATGGTGATACCTGATTAACCATGAACTTAAATCGATTAGACATAAATGAGATAAAAATCTAAAAATATAAGTATAGATGAAAACTTATAAATAATTGCAATTATTTTTTATTTATTACATTTATAAAAAATATATGAAAACAAAATATGAGAATGAAAGAAAAAGTTAAAAAATGTCATGGGCTACTTCTGGCAATGAAACTGGTTTATTATTCTCCTCTTGTTGAAGCTTAATTTTCTGACAAAGTGAAGTCAATGGAACATCCTTAACATAGAAATTAAATAAATTTTGTAAAAAGTGCTCTAGAAAAATACCAGGTGATGATTCTTCTCATGAAAAATAACAACAGCTTTTGTATTTGAACTATAATCACATATGCTGCAACTAAAAATATCTTGTTGGTTTGGTTGATGATGCTCCATATGAAGAGAAAATGCTTGTAAACTATCACCTTAATTATAAGATAAACAATCAGAAAATTTACTTAAATTTACATTTGAATGAACATTTTGAGCAAAAGTGCTGTCTATCAGAACGGGCACTTCGTGAAAATCTTGTTTTATTTTCTTTTACTAAAACATTGTCATTAGCAGACCGTTTGATGATAGTCATAAGGCGTTGTTGCAAAAGCTAAATTTAAATTAGATTTATTTATTGCTATAAAGGCGTATATGAAAATAATTTTAAATAAAATATGATTTATTATAAAATGAAATTCTAAAACCTGAACATGCTCCTTTCGGTGTAGTAAAAAAGAGTCTAATTCAATACACTTGAAATTGCAATGAGAACATTGATAAGGATTGCTTGATGTTTTAAATTGATCGTCATTTCTATCAACATTTATAGAAGTAAAAGAACGAGAATGAAGAGATAAATGAGAGTGAAGAGATTCCGCAGAAAAACAACGAAATGTGCAGAGATTACATGAATATGGCCGGATTCCACTTCTTTTATGCATTTGAATATGCAATTTAAGCAAAACCTTATCGCATGTTTCTAAAAAGGATAAAAATTTTTAAAAATCATGTTTTTACTATAAAAACATTAATAAAAAATTAAAGGTACTTATTTAATATCCCGCTCCCCCTATTTGAGTCTCATATCAGATTACTTTTCTTTTTATTGTCAATCATTTATTTTCCTACTTTTTTAATGCCAATCATTTTTTCCTTCACATATGGGACACCGAACTAAAATTCTTAAAAAATAAAAATCCTCACTATATGGGCATTCCATGCAAGATCCTGCAGTATTTTTAAAAGAAGCAGAATTAGAAGAAGAAGAGTCTAAATAGTAAATTATATTATAATTAGGTACAAATAATATGAATAAAAAATCAGAATAGTTTTCTTTAGAGACAATATAAAAACTCACCATTTTCTTTGACTAAATGTGCATTCCTTAAGTGTGCAACAACAGGTATAATTGCTCCAAATTGCTCTTGAAATTTCTGCTTCTTAAATATTGGTAAATCATCAGATTTCAATTGATCCAATGAAGTAGATGATGATACATTATTGCCAGCGTCTTCTGGTACTTCTATATTGTCTCCATCCATTCCAATTGCTTCAAACTTAATATTATTCGTTGTTTTATCAACAGCCTCTTCTGATTCAATTTTTAAAATTCCGTGTAATTTAGAATGCTCGATGTAACATTGAATAGAACCAGAACTGAATGAACACAATGAACAAGCGAATCGATTAGTCCTTTTATGCTTTTGACGATGATTCCAAAATTTTGCGTAATTGGCTGTAGAATAAGGGCATTCTCTAAAATAATGAAATTAAATTATAAGTTAAAATTAAAAAGAAAATCACCTGCAGTTGAAGACTCCTCCAACAGACCGCACATTTTTGCACCCATCGTTTTGGTGAACTGCTTCATGATCACGCATCCTCATCTCAAGTGATGTACGAAAACCACAGATAGTACATCTTATTAGGTTTTTGGTTCGAGATGCGATTTCATTCTTCTTTTTCCACCAAGCCAAATGATGATGACGAGAATGTTGCACAAGTTCTGCACAAAATGCAAATTCTGCTCCACATTCGACGATAGAACAGCGATAAAAATGCCAACCACTGCGCAAAATGCGCATGCGCCAACCCAAATGAGCACTACGCTCGCCATTCTCTTTCGCATAAATCCATTTCACACGTCGACACGCACCTTTATCTGTGAGGTTTATTTGATGGAGTTTTTCATGTGAAATAAGAGCATTCTGTCTAAAGTGTCGAAATTTTTTTTATAAATCTAAAATTAAATATACCTCATTGTACTGTAGGTGCAGTGACGACACGAAAATTTACGCCGTTCAACGTGCATCTAAAGAAAAATACCTTTAATTTTATACAACACTAAAATTTATTAACTTTAAGATGTGCTTTCATATCGCAATTATGTTTAGATTTGTATGGACAATGTGGGCAAAAGTTAGTTCTCCTAAAAGATGATGGGTCCTCTCGATGAAAGTTATCTGAAGGCATTTGTTGACTTTCATAAGAAGTACCAGCTTCGGGAAACCGAAAAGAAGAAAGTGAAGTTGTTGAAGAGGATGTTGGTTCTACATCATGAAGGCGAGAATGTTGCATAAGTATGTGCATGGAGCGGCATGAGTATGAACATTGTTGACACTGAAAAAGAGAATTTGTGCAAAAAATGCTTAAGATTATTTTAAAATGAAGGCAACTTACACAATGTTCAGCCTTAAAAATGTGCTTGTTTTCATGTTTTTGAAGTCGTAGAATTTGATCAGTACTGTAAGGGCAATGACGACAACGATATGGAAAATTTCGAGGTGTTGTTATCCTTGGCTCCTGATCTTCATCATTAGATAAATCAAAGGCAGGAGAATCGTTAATTATAGGAGAAATAACGTTATTCCTGCAAATCATAAGAATAAAAGATTTTCAGCACTCGAATAGTCAGAAATTAATGTAAACATATTTAAATAATTACAAACTTAATTTCCGGCTTGGGTGGTTTCCAGTCCAAACGTTCAAGTAAAAGCTCCTTATAAAGTACTAAACGTTGTTGGTCCATTCTTGGATGATGTCGCAATTTATGCAAAAGAAGACCAGCGGGTCCTGACCAAAACAAAAACCCGCACCAACGACAAGAAAACTTGCAAAGTTTTTTTGTATAAAAGGAAGAGGACTTCAAGAATGAACTAGAACTTCTCAGACTTATTGTTCCTTTTAAAAAGCAGCCATGATTTTTGCTCACAAATGGATTGGATGGAGCATCTAAAAAGTATAAATGGGCTGGAGTAACACTTATGTTAGGAATACAGAATTATATTTCTCTGGAGTAAAAAATGCGTAGTACGAGAATTATGTGGTAAAAACAATTAGTACCAGTTCATTGGAGAAGAACAATAGCGAATGTTAGTCTGTAACCGTACATATGCGTTAGCAGATTTTTTCGCCTCTACGCATTTATACAGAAGAAAAATAGTTAGGTATATTGTAACAAAAATATTAAAAGGAAATATAAAAATCACCTCCAGAACCAACATTTTCAAAAAGTGTCTTTTTTTGGCTATTAATTAAATTTCGATTTCCTATGTAGACATTACATTCCGTTTTAATAATTTGTTTCTTCTGCGGTGTGCTATGTCTATTGTTGCCTTTGGATAATGAAGGAGCGCCTACATAATCTGGAGGCCATTTACAAATAACTCCATCATTCTCGTGCATTTGACAATGACGACGTAACAGACCGCTTGATTCATTTTTAAACTGACAGACTGAACACACAAATCCCGAGCTTCTGCAAAAATAATTTATACTAAAATATCGTTTGATCTTGCCTTTCGTGTCCAGTCATATGCGGTGCTAAACGAAGTCTGCTCTGTGTTCGGAACGGACACTTTGGGCAGTGCACAGTGTTACGATCATAAATCTTTGTGCTATTACTCTCCTTTTTTATATATAAACTATTTTCATCCAAATCTTTCAGACCCGCTATAGCATCCAAATTCAATAATCGCTTGTTTCCTTTCTTTTCTTCTCTCCTTTTATTTTGTGCAATATATATTTTATTTTCCCCTTTCCCCGTCTTCATATCTAAATCGCTAATTGTCAATTCTTTCCCAGTTGATATATGCAAAGTATTCGCTGTAGGCATTATCTGTTCAAGAATTGGCATGACATCTTCAACATTACTTCCACCTTAAGTTAGAATATACATATAGATAAAGCGTAAAAACTAGAGATTTTGGACTAACTTGGAAAGCAAGTGTCACCGTAGGGTTGTCTTGTAGTTAATAGGTCAGCATTGCCCGCTGCATTAATTTCATCCAACGAACTTATCACAATTATTGGTTCCTCACATGAATCTTCACCTCGAGCTTCTTCCATTTTTATATTTGAGTCGATTCTGCTGTGAATATTTTGTTGAACAACTTCCATCTTAAAAAAGAATTAAAACTAAAATTTATCGAGTAACAAACGGAATGAGTGAAAATATGTATGGGAAAATACCTATCGATAGAAATAGTTAAAAACTAATTATTTCGAAAAACATTCCTTTTTTGAAAATTTTTATTTATTTTTATTCTAATCTGTAAATAATTAATCTAATCTTAAATATAACCTGGTCGTGTACGTTGTTATTAAGAGTGTTTGGTGCAATTCCTATGCTGTTATTTGTTTGGATGCTGGAATCGAGTACATGGAATTGCCCAGAATATTCTAAAGACCCCACAGTCGTATTAGCATTCAAAATCAAGGCTGGATTTCCTCGTCGTCGAATCAATCCATGAACTCGTCTGAAATAGGGTATATTGTGAAAAAAATTAATTAAAACCTGTGCTGACGCATTGTCTTTTTGTTTGTACAAGAAAAATCGCAGATCTCACACGGAAGCACTTTTTTCGAACCATGCAATTTTATATGATTAGTTAATCCAACTCGGGACTCAAAAATTGCAGGACATCGCGGGCAAGAAGATCCTCCAAATGTCTTAAACACAAAAGTTAAAAAACAAAAGATTATAAACATTAGGTCCATCCGTAAGCATATATTCGACTTTGATATCCTTAAAAAGTCTCTCCTCATCATCCACCTCGGCTTCATCATCTTCTACATCACTGCAATAGTCCTTGTGTCGAACCGGTACTTTGCGCACTCGTTTAAATTCTCCAATTAATTGGCATGAAGACTGATCAGAAAAAACAGGGCTTTGCAAAAATTCTGTAGGAACAACCAACTCAGTGGATTCACTTTCATCTAAAATTCAGTATTAAAATATTACATCAAAATTGTCATGAAAAGATTACGTATGAATCCTACAAAGTAAATAAAAATTTTAATAAAGACCTCCTTAATGAGTCAAAAAATTGAAACTTCGATGGGAAAAAAGAAAGACAAAAGAGTCCCTGGCCAAAAGCTTCACAGTTTAATATATACATGTAAAAACGCAAAACTTGCGAACTAGAATTCTGTGTACCAAAATTTTGCGGATCCGAAATATGCGAAAGCCACTAACCTGACCATATTTATCAGTTTTCGAGTTTTTTTCGAAAGATACCATGATTGTCGAAAACTAATCTTGGGAATTCGGTTGACCCTTTTGGCCTGACGAAAACCCCATAAGGTTGACAAATCGCGACCATTAGATTCTGATATTATAACACAAAGTTAACATTTAAGTGGTAACAAAGATCTCAAAAACATTGCAATACCTTCAATTATAGCATCTGTTAAAGTAGAGTCATTTGTCACAACATCATCCTGTTGTGCTTTTATTTCGGGTTTTTGTTTTAATAAAGATCCCTCATCATCTGTATTTGATAATTGTTCAATTTGATTTTGTCTCTCTTCTTTTCCGTACTTTTGACATTCTAAATATTTGATAGTTCGATTTAAGTTTTATGAGATTTGTGAATAAACGTTACAAAAATATAAAGATTTAGCTGGAATAGAGATTAATATTTACCTAATTCCTTGTTTATTGTTTTCTCCTTTTCAAGTGCCACTGGTTTCTCCAGTTGTTTCCGTTTGTCATTTCGTCGGGGCGAAACTTTCTGTTGTTGTGTTGCTGATTCTTCTCTCAAAATTGGTGCTTGTAATATCCCAGGCCGACGCGAGGCCCATTTTCTCTTCGCTGGTGGGGAATAATTGCGCCCAGAAGAGGAGCAGCCACCACTTTTAATAACAGCTGCTACATCTAAATGGTATTTGTTGCGCTTTGAACGTCTCAGGCCAAGATCGCATGGATTTTCTTCATCCAATTCACGCCCCTCTTGATTGAAAGACATTAGAATGTATTAAAATCGCTATCAAAGCAGAGATGAACTTCTTAATGCAAATACTATAATTGAAAATTGTTTAAGAAAGGTAAATCAATGATTGAAACTTAAAGAGTTATAAAATCATTTGAAATCAAATCAAAAAGTAATAGTCCGTAACTTAGAAAAATAGATGATGACAACCATTTTCTGCAAAAATCTTGAAAATTGCTTAACCCTTATAACAATTAAAAAGGATTAAAAAGTAACTGAAATCGTCTTGTCATCATTTACTCATTCTTTTATTTTACATAGCGACCCTACAAGTCCTTTCCTTATAACTCTTCCTCTCTCTCTCATTCTTTCACCAAAGAATGAGATGCTTACTAAAGATATTTTGGTTAAATTTTTATCAATACAGAGGGATCAAGATCTGTATAAATTAATGAAATTTTAATTAAGTAAAATGTTTAAAGATGGGTTGCATTGAACTCTTAAAGGGGTATTGGGTTTTAACTACATTGAAGAGTTGTGGAGGAAGTCAATGTGCTTTTGGATGGTGCCTGGTAGTTCGGGTGGAATAGGAAAAGTAAAGGGTTTGACATATGTAGCACTTTGCTTCCATTGGTGAGAGTGAGAGGAATGCGACGAATTCCCCTTCCTTCGTTTTGCGCTCATTGCTTAATACACTGCAACATGAAAAGTGCACGAGAAGAGAGTGAATTGAATAAAGAGAGAGATGTCATCACTAACTCCGTTTGTAAAAGGTCGAATTCTTAAAAGATCGTTTCCTTAAAGATCTACTAGGAAAAATGGTCAGATTTTCTAAATGGAAAAGGCCGGTTGAGTGCCGATGAATTTTATCAAGTGAAGCTAACAAAATCAGAACAAGAACCTCAAATTAGAAAAACTAGAAATTCGAGCAAAAAACAATCAGAACAAAAATAGAAAACAATCAATTGCCTGCTAGGCATTCAACTGGCCCTTTCCAGCTTTTCATTATTGCCGTTTAATGTATTTTAGCGGAGTCGACATTTGGACCATTTTTGCCCGTGTCTAACTCATGACGCATTTGCCAGTTTCGATATTTTGACAATTCTGGCTGTCTACATTTTGACCCATTTTGGCCAAGCTGGTCTTTTAAAAAATCGACTATTTAATGATGCATGCTAGCAAAACAATTGAATTGTGCTATTTATTTTACTAAATTTTCTTTTCCAACAGTGTTTTTTATTTTTATATCTTTTACTCATAGGACGTGCCCGCACAAAATACCGAATTCTCAAAATCGCGAATAGGCTAAAAAAGCTCAAAATCGCGAATCGGTAAAAATATCTCAAAATATGGAATCGGCCAAAAAAGCTCAAAATATGGAATCTTAAAATATCGAATCTCAAAATCGCGAATCGGCCAAAAAAGCTCAAAATACCGAATCGGCTAAAAAGTAGTTAAAAATGTCGAATTTTTTAAAAACGAAAAGGGCCGTTTGAGTGCCGCTGCAGGTCTTTTTCTGATTATTCAGGGATCTGTAACTCAGTCCAATCAGGTCGGATTTCATTGATTTTGGTATCATTCGATGCAGCTCGACGTGCTCTTTCAGATGAGCTATCATTCGGAAACTCGAAATTCGGTTCGGGATTCGAAATTCGGTTCGGGTCCGGGATTCGACTTTTTCAAAATCCGAGCTGAGATTCGTAATCAGCACATTTTTTTACCTTAGAAAAATACTTTCTCTTATTTTTAAAATTTTTTTACGAAGAAGTTGGTCACAACTTTGTTCAGACTCAACTGGCCTTTGCCGCATTGTCGATATTTTTCGATATTTTGAGCTTTTTTTGCCTATTCCATATTTTGAGATTCGATATTTTGAGATTCCATATTTTGAGCTTTTTTAGCCGATTCGCGATTTTGAGATTCCATATTTTAAGAATTCGGTATTTTGTATGGGAGCCTCATAGGAATATTTAGGTATACATATTATTCGCCATTGGGGTGATTGTGACTAAAAAATGAGAGAAAAGGGAAATAAAAAATAAAGAAGGAGAAATAGTCTGGTCTTGTATTGATTCTTGAGAATAAAAAACTTGGTTGGGGTCAGCTTAGTGCTGACAGTTGAGTGCTAATGGCTAAGAGCGAGCCGGGTAAAGATGGGTTGTTTTTAAAAATTTAAATTTTTAGTAACACTTAAAAATAGTTATGAGTGCTTAATTAAAGCGTCCAACCCTGGGCCTGTAGAATAGATTCTCGGTCAAATAACCGGTTGAATAACCCAGGGTTAAATAACTCCGGGGTCCGAGTAAAATTCGAAGAATAAATTCCACGGAATAAATTGACATTTTTACTAAACTTGAGGTTACTGTAACTCGAGAGCAACCCTATAGTTTTCCTTTTATTTTTAAATTTACTTTCCATTAAAAAAGTTTATCCGTTGCTGGGCCCTAATAGTCGAGATTAGAAAGGATTAAGGGTGTATCGTGGGATTTGGGCGTGATATCTGGGGATCAAGAGGATTTAGAGGATTAAGGGGATTTCAACACCATCCCATTCCCTCTTATTTTTTTCCCTTAACTGAGGATTTTATCAACAATTTTTACTATGTATTTGTAACCTTAATCGAAGGCCTTGAGGAATTAAAGGGAAGGAATATCATTCGGAGTGATCAACAATGGAAAAAATAGTCGAATATTTAATAAACAATTTATGTATACAAGAAAAACGGCACAATACTTTTTAAATATACCAAGAAATATACAAAGTGCATAACAAATGGTTAATCTTTATACAATTTATTATCTTTATATTTCACACACATCCTTGCACATCATTCATTTCTTTTCGATCGTCGAGACGAGTTGTTGTTTGGAAGCTGAGGCTTGAACACCTTGAATGAGACACCCATATCCTTAGCCACTCGCATAATCGCTCCCGAATTGTCATACCTATTTGGAAAGATTTTTGAATAAATTTAATTAAAATTTATTGTCAACTTACTGGCCGCAATAATGAGGCGCTGTAAATAGCGTGATCAGTCCCGAACTTGCATCGTCGTTGAAAAACTCATGTCCATCCAGAACCACCTTAAAATTAAAAAGACGTTTTTTACAAAACTGGCCACGGTGTATTGAGAAACCTGATGAGCGCGAACTATGAGATCGATGCCAAATCGCTGCCGAACACGGTCGATCACTTCCTGGCCAAACATGCGTCCAATACCACGACGGTTGGAAGAACTGAAAAGTCGAACATTGATGTCAGGGTCAGCCCAGAGCAGGTCGGTCGCCAACTGATTGCCATCTGCTGAAATCCTATTGTCCTAAGGAAAAAAAGTAAAACAAAAATCCTAAAATTTATAACTCACAGGTAGTGGACGACTGATTTTATCAAGAATGTCCAGTGACTTTGCCTCCAACAATCCAGGACTCAAACCACCATGCATGCATAAGATTCGATCGGAGATTAAGGCACTTAACGGCATGCAGTCAAAGACTCGTTGGAAGTTCTCGTAGAGTGCTTCGCTCTTATATTTCGTCATCACACTATGGTGGAAGCCGTAGGCTTTGTTGATGGACGATGTCTCATGATTGCCGCGAAGCATGAAGAAGTTCTTTGGATACCGGACCTGAAGTAAATAAAAATGTATCAGATTTTATTTTATAAGAGTGATTAAATTTCTTGCCTTGCACGCAAACATGAAGAGTATCAGCTCCACAGACTGCTGGCCACGATCAATGTAGTCACCGAGAAAAAGGTAATTCCGCATATGCGGGAAACCTTCCGCATCGAATATCCGCACAACATCGTTGAATTGTCCGTGAAGATCACCGCATACAACAACTGGCGTGTCAAGACGAAGGAACATAGGCTGTGTCAAAAAAACCCGACGAACGGAAGTCAACAGTTCGCGGATGTCCTGAAATTTTTGGGAATCAAATAAAAAATCACGTCAAACTTAAAAATTGTTTACCTTTCTGGTGATCTTGCTCTCGATACGACCATCCAAGATTCCTGCGAAGAATTCATCAAAGAAACGATTAATGTCGACGCGTGCCCTCCTTGACATGTTGCGGTGTTTGTCGTAGCGTGAAGGTTAAATTGAAGACGATATTTGCTGTTTGTAAATACGCTTTTATAGTCACTGAAGCAACCCAGATTTCCGGCGTTGAAGCAAAAAATTTTCGAATCTTTTCCCGTCAAAAATTGCTGTAAAGGTTGACATAAAGGTTGTAAATTTTTTATGACAACCAAATATAAAGGAATTGATGTAAATGACGCTACTGGGAAATTTCGATGTTGCTTGAACTTCGTACCAAGTCCCAAGTACGAACTTTGGTACATACGGCGTTGATGTAAAATGTCACCCTCAATTCAAGCATCCCCTATACGATGTTATAAAAATTTTTAGATATGCACCACTCAGTTACTTATACTTACTTTACTCACCCACGAGTATGTAAAATCGTCAAACGTTAATTTAAATTTGATAAAATTAAGATAAGTAGCAGCAAAATACATATATTATAAGATAAATTATTTTTAAAATATGTACAATACTTATAAAAAATTGGCACTTAATAAAGATTGAAGTAATTTAAAATAAATGAGAAAAGAGAAGATTTATTAAGTAAACGCTTTAAAACCCCCTACAGGAAAACACTTCAATCTTTAAGTGCCAAAAAATTAATTAAAAGGCTTGAGAAAAGAAAGAACTTTAATTTAATATACCGTATTTGCTAAAATAATTACCCAGGGTAATTATTGTTTCAACCTCTCGCTGGAGGGAGTAATTAATTAGAAAGGGGTAATTATTTAAGCTTTTTAGAAAGGCTAATTATAATTATTTTAAGGAGGGGGGGGGGTGGGGTAATTATTTTTTCGACCTCTGACTGAAGGGGGTAATTAATAGGGCAGGGGTAACTATTTGAGTGAGGGACATTATTTCAGCATATACGGTATACAGTATTGCCCTATTCAAGCTTCACAAACAAATTTAGGATGTTTTTGTCGTTTAAAATTTAAATTAATATTATTATTATTAGATATTTCTCTTTGATTTGTTGCTAAACGTTGCTGATTTGCAACACAAAGGGGCATTAATGGAACCAATAAAAAACAGTTTGCATGCATTTCTTGTAATGCTTTTTCTCTCCCAAGAGTTGTTGGATCTGCTAAAGTACCCCGTCTAAAATATTTAAATTTAAAGAGAAATTAAAATTTAATTTAGGTACCTATAAGGATTATATTTAGCTGTAGCATTTTGAAGTATATGCCTTTCTAAACTTTTCTTGTATAAAAGCCCTATAGAAGGACTTGGAGTAAATTTGGCTAAAAGGCCGCCAACATGTTGATTTTGTTGGCGACGTGCATTTGTTAACCAATACATATCATCGCGAAGAGCTCGTCTATGCCTCTAAATATTTTTTTGGGGTTTTTAAAAATATTTTTAATTAATTTTTACTTTGCTCATATAAAAATATAATAAAGGATTAGAGACAACAGAAGTCATTGCTACAGCATGAACATTAAGTAATTTAAAATACATCTGTGTTTCCAAAAAGCTAATTCCAATATCTCGAAGTAAATTAACAAATGTAAGTGGCATCCAGGAACCCATAAATATTAATACCTTTAATTATTATTTAATATAAATTTAATTTTATAAATTTATCACTTGAAAGAGTAAAATTTAAATTAAATTTATTTTAAGTTTATTTTAGTTATTTTTTTTATTTAATTAAAATTTATTTTAAATTAGCTTTAATTATTTAAATAATATACATTTAAATTTATAAATTTATTACTTGAAAGATTAAAATTAAAATTTAATTTTGTGTTGTGTAAAAATCTAAGTTATTTTTTGTATATAAAATATTTCTTTTATAATTAATTTATGTAATTATCTCATCAAAACAAAAGGGAAAAAGATTATTAAGATAAGATAGCGAGATAGTGGAGATTTATTTTAAAAATTCTCCTTATAAGAATGAATTATTATTAGAAAAATTTATTAATCAAAATAATTTTACAAAGCTAAACTGACCATCAAAATTAGCACATACCTGTTTAATTATAAAAATTATTTAAGAAAAAAACTTTTAAAAACTCACATTACTCTTCTTTTTCGAATTGCTGTTTGTGCTTGTTGTTCTAAACTCATTATTGAATTATTTGTTGGAACTAACCAATCTTGCCTAACTTTTTGTAAAATTTTCCAATAACAATAAGTCATTATTAAAGTGGGAATTAAAAATTGGATAGAAAGTAGAGAAATTCCATAAAATAATTTTATACGGAAATCTGTAGGCCAATTAAGTTCAGTACAAAACTAGGAAATTTTTAATTTATTGAATTTTTATTAGGGTTGGGGGTTTCGAGTCGGGCCGACGTTCGAGTCATTTTTTCGGGCCGGCCCGACCGAGTCCTTTTCGGGCCAAAATTCAATGCCCGACTTGATCTTTCGGACCGGGCCGGATCGGGCCCCTAACCCTAATTTTTATATAAATATTACTAACTTCTCCACAAAAGGTCATATTTTTATATACAATTTGTTGCAATCCTTGAACAATAAATAAAGGAGAGGAAATAATTATACAAAAAGTCCAACAGAGTGTCTTTAAAAGAGAAAAATTGTAAATAAAATATTAATAATTTTTAAGAAAAATTTTTTTAATTTCGAAAGGGATAGAGGAAATAAAGGTAAATTAGAATATTTTGTTAAATTAAATAATACCATTAACCATTGTGCATGTTGTATATTCCAAGGAACTTTAAGTGGGGTAACAATAGATCTATACCTGTCAACAGCAATTAAACACAAACAATATGAAGAAATTAAGACTATTTTATTAAAATATTTTTTTATTTTTAAAGAATTTCACCAGATATTCCTTGACAAAGAGGAACTAATTTACAAAGTGCTAATCCAAATATCCACCGCTTAACAAAAGCTAAGACTGGAGTTATTGGGAGGGCAGTAATACATAAAAGCTACAAAATTATTCAAAAAATATTTTTTTCAGAATAAAAAACCAAATCAGAAATAGCTAAATTCATAAGAAATACATTAGCTACAGTCATTCTCCTTCTTATTGTTCCAACAAGAAAACCATTCCCTATTAAACCAACAATAAATATTGCTGCATAAAATAATGAATAAAAAAACTGTTAAAAATTAATTTTTAAAATTTTTAAAATTCAAAAACGAATACTTTAACGTCCAAACGTAAAGTCCAATCCCCAAACTGATCCAAAACACTATTTAATTCAATACAATTTTCAATTTCAATTTGGTTAATTTGTTGATTTAATGAAATGGATGATACCATAATTATTATAATTAATTTAGTTTTAAATCTAAATATTTTTTTTGATTATTGGAATATGAAAGTAAGTAAAAAAGTTTAATTTTTGGTTATTTAAAATTTTAATATAATTTTTACTTTAAAAATTTTTTTTGACAAAATAAACGTTTTGAAAGACTTTAAGACTGAATATTGAATTTATCTTTCAAAATTTCACACAGCGATAAAGTGTATTTTTAAAAGGCCAGAAGTAAAAATAAATTTAGGTATAAAATAAATAAATATTTACTTATTGTTAGTATGTATATATTTTATAAAATTTAGTAAAAAATTTTTTATTTAACTATTTCATTAAGATTTGGACTTTACGTCTTTTTTAAGATTCGGACTTTCTTATGGAGAATTTTATTTGGGCCATAATCCTTTTTCTAAACCCAAATTAACAACCTGCACAAACTGGTGGGGGCTTTCTCCCAAAGACGGGAGAAACTAGCCTCCTCATATCCGTATATATATCTAATATAATCTTTGATATTTACTTAAATTATTTATTTTTCTTTTTATTCTAAAAAATTATTTAATATATATACATATAAATAGTTATTTAACTTGAGTTAAAAAATTCATGATGAGAAAAAAAGTTAGTAATATAAAATACTCAAGAAGAAAATTATTTTGATGTTGGGGGTGGAGAGAGGAGAATAAAAAAATGAAATAAAAACTACTTGTTCTCATTTTCTATTATAAATAATACTCAAGGGATGGATAACAACTAATCAAATCAGAGGTTGTTGAAATAAATAAAAGAGGAAAATTGGTCTTGAAAATGAGAAAATAAGGAAGTTAAGAGGTTTTGAAGAAGAAGGAGAAGGAGGGAAAGGGGAAAGGGGAGGAAAGGGGGAAAAGAAGTCCCGGATGTGCCAACTCCAATTTATCGGTTTATAAGGGAATACAGCTGGAAAAATGCCCATTGATGATAAAGCAATGATGAGTGAAATGAAACCTAAGGGCTTTTTAGGTAAAGGGAGGTAAAAAGAAAATATGGCCAAAATTAAAGTCAAATGAAAAAAAACTTTTTTATCCTTAGAAAAGGTTTAAGTCTAACAGAAAATTAATAATAAGCTTGATTGTATTAGATGTCCTACGGAGTCATTTAATTTTATTTGATTGGCCACTAACAAATAAGGGAATTAATAATAATTTTTTTATGCTTAGTTATCATTCAATTATAAATTGATAAAAGATTCAATTAAAGAAATATTGTTAAAAATGAATTAATCCCGTTACCTCAAAGATAAATGAAAAATTAATTAATTAATTTTTAAATTTGTTTTTGCTAAACAATATAGAAAAAATATTTAGTATTTTGATCTAAATTTGAAGTATCCAAAACACAAATAGTAAAATTGAGGAGTTTCAGATTTGACATATTTCACATGTTTTAAATAATATTTTTTAAATAAAAGTTAAAAAATTCGAACATTTATAAGAAAATATTTTATATTTTTTCAGAAACAAAACGATCATGATTGATTATTTTAAATATTTTTTTGAAAGGATTTTTTTGAAAATAAAAAAATATTAAACAGGTGTGACAACAATTAAAACAAGCTTAATAAAATAAATTAAATAATTTTTTGTTTCCTAGTTCTTTTTAATTTATTATACTTATTTTAGATTCTAATTTAATTTGTTTTAAAGGACAATAATTAAAAAGTTTATTTTAAATAAAATAATTTTTTATCTAAGAAAAATTAAGAAAATATTTTTATTAAAAATTAGAAATTATTAGTAAAAATAAGTTTAGAATTTTTATAAAAATATTTTTATATTTTTAAATATTTTTTTTTAATTTATTTTTTATTGGTTCACTATCATCATTCATTTTTCCGACTGCATAAAAATAAAATAAAAAGCAACAACAGACGCAAGATTTATGTAACAAGAACTTCAAAAAATATTTTAGATATAAAAAAATTATTTATTTTTAGAAAAGAACTCTTTAATAATTTTTTCTGTCAAAACTAGGGAACTTCAAAAGTTTTTAAATAAATATTTTAAATGATTTGCAAGAATTCACAAATAAATATTGAAATTGAATACTTGAATTATAAATATATTTTTAAATTTATATATGTAGATTATATTTATAGAAAAACTTAAGATTGCATCGATTTCACTGTCATTTGACTCAATTCGTTATGAGATACATATCATGCGAATAATTAAAATTTTACAGTAAAAATGAGTTATTTTGTAATTGTGATACAATATATCCTCAATTAGTTGATTAGAGGAATTATTTTTTAGGAGCAGAATAGTAAAGATAATTTAAAGTAAAAACACAGAGGGTGATGATGGGGAGGGAGGGGGTAATTATTAATTAAAACAAGGGGTTATTTAAATATTTTAAATGACTTAAAATAACTTTGAGAAATTTCTCTGTCCACACATTTTAAAGGATAAACAAAATACCGTATTTCCTATATTAGAGCCCCACCCTCTGTTAGAGCCCCACCCTCTAATACAGCCCCACTTTGGAGGATAGTTGAAAAATAGAGCCCCACCCTCAATTAGAGCCCCACCCCAAATATAGCCCCACTAAAAATAGTGGAGGAAAAAATATCCCCAATAACTTTTTAGCTGTATTTCGAGAGTTAAGGAAGTAAAGGGGGATATTGGTGATATTGTGATCATGGAGGAGGAGGGATCATGGGGATATAGGGATGAAAAGGAGGAAATAACCCCGATATCCGTCCAAATACTCTTATATCACCTATATTTCTCCAAATCACTCCAGAAAATTGACGATAATTCGCGAGATTATTAGAGATCTATTAGGGATCTCGCTTATAATCAGTGAAGGAGAAGTTTCACAATTTCTCTGGAACCGGTTCCAGTTCTGGAAATGCTTTTTGAATTACTTCAGTTCCAGTTCTGGAACCTGTTCCAAGGCCTCATCAAACAAAATCGCTTCATATGCCTCCTAATCCAGAATATCCCTTTTACAAATTAATAAAATTTAATCCTAAATTAATAAATTTAATCCTAATATGTTCCCCATAATCCCTTAAAATCAACTTTTATACCTCTGATCCATCGATGTCAAATACTAGTCCCCTAATATTTCCTTTAATCCGTCAAAATCTACCAGAATTTCATACTTAGTAATCTTACTCTCGAACTATTGCGACTATTTTGTTATTCATTGCTTATAAAGTTTTAATTTTTGTGGAAAATCGAAAATTTCGATTCTCTTTCGATATTTTTCGGTTTTAACGACCACCTCTCCAGCCTATCTCTAGTTGCAATGGATATTTAATAAATGGGATTTTATCACGAAAGAGTGTTGAAAAATAGAGCCCCACCCTCAATTAGAGCCCCACCCTTTAATACAGCCCCACCTTGGAGGATAGTTGAAAAATAGAGCCCCATGGGGCTCTAATATAGGAAATACGGTAATTATTTTATACTTAAAAGTTTTTTTTAAATAAGAAATGTATCTTTTATTTAAAAAAATATATACTCGAAATTACTAAAAAAATAAAAGTAGAATAAAAAATATATACAAATGTCCTCAAGAAAAATAGAAAACAAATAAGAAAAGACAACCTACCTAAATTAAATTACCTTTGAATATATCCAAATTTATTTTTATTTGTCCTCTAAAATTCAAGCAAAACACAATATTAATTTTCTATATTTTTTATTTCGTTTTCAATTTTTTTGGTAAGCTAATTTGCAATTTTCAATTTGTTTACATTTTTTGGAGTTAAAAACAATCAAAAACAAGTACATTGTTTATTTAAAACTTAATAAAATTTTAAAAATTTGATTAGAAAATATATGTACTATATTTAGAATTTAATAATTTTTTTTTAATATTTTTAAATTTTTATAAAAATTAAATATATAATTAAATTAATTTTTTTAAATTTCATTTATTTCTTTCTCTTTTAATATAATTTGACCAATAAATAAACACAAAATGTTAAAAAAAGTATTTTTTTCTTTTTGCGCAAAACTTTCCAACTACCTAAATATATTTTTATTTATTGCTGTAATCATTACAAAATTAATATAATATAATTGGAGGACATATAAATAAATTTATAATTATATATTTTATTTTCTTTCAATCATTTAACACCCCATAATTACTCTTTTCTTCGACTAATTATTTTCTTGAGGCCAATCAATTTTTTAAAATTAAATCAATTAATTAATTAAAATATATATTTTTTAAATTAAAATATTTAATTGAAGAGAATTTTTCAAAAACCTTCTACTAATTTTAGTTAAATTAAAAACACATTTCTAAATTATTTAAATGTTATTAAAGCTTAATTCCTTCAATATAATTTTTGTTATTTTATTAAAATGTTTTTTATTTCCAATTTTTATCTATGGCTCCAACGGTTTTTAATTTAAAAATCTACTGTTTAAGTAAATTTTAATTTAAAAAATAAAGATAATTGCCCTTCTCTTTGCCGATGTTCATTAAATGGACGTCATGCAGATTGTCAAGGCTTAGGGTTAACAACATTTCCAAATTTAAGAGAATTTAGTCAACATTTGGAATTGTTAGATTTGAGAAGAAATAATATAGTTAATTTACAAATTAATTTATTATCTTCATTTAATCATTTAAAAACACTTTTACTCAGCCACAATTTAATTGAGAATTTAGAACAAGTTAGTTGATTAAAAATTAATTAATTAATTGTATTTTTATTTGTTTACATTAAAAAGTGAAAAAATAAAGTTTTTGCTAAAATAACACTCAGGTTACTTATGTCTCACCCTCTCGCTGGAGGGGGTAATTAAAAAAAGGGGGGGAGGGTAATAATTTGAGAGAGGGACATTATTCAGCATTTACGGTAAGTTGAAATTAAATTAAATACAATTATACATAGTTTGTTTGTTCAAATTTATTGTACTATTATGTGATAGTGGAGGGTTTTAGATTTCTTTTTTAATTTACTAATAATTTATTATTCTCTTTTATCTCAAGAATCTTCTCGATTTTCTTCCAAAATTGCATCAACTCTATTTAGGCAACAATAAAATTAAATATATTCCAAAATTATCATCAAATATAATTTCTAATAATCATTTACAAATACTCGATTTACACAAAAATCAAATAAAAATAATTGAAGAAGAAGCATTTCAAAATTTAAATAATTTAAGAATTTTAAATTTAGAAGGAAATTTTATTCAGTCAATACCTAAATATTTATTTGAAAAAAATGAAAAATTAAATAAATTAGAATTGGGAGATAACCCTTGGAATTGTGATTGCAGGTAATTATTTGTATATATTGTGAATTGGTTAAAGATTTAAATTTCCTGATCTTTTAATTATTTTGTTGTTTAAGTAAGAAATCCAACTCACAATTAGTATAAATTTTATACTATACATAGTTGAACCTTCTCGATTTTAAATATCCGCATGAGGCTGAAAAAATCATTGTAAAAATGAGGGGGTATCATCTTGAAGTGAGGGTATATCTTAGGCCGCTCCCCCACCCAGAGTCAAACCAAATTAAAAAAAAAACTTGTTTAAGCTCGACATTCTAATACAATTTAATAAATACTTTTTATTCAATAGATTAATACCTTTAAATGATTTTCTTGAGAAAAGACCTGAAATGGAGAAATTAGATCAACATCCTCATCATCAAGCAAATCACAATAATAACCACAATAAAATAGCTAAATGTGCCAATCCTGGCCATCTTCGAAATAAAAAAATTTCGAAATTATTAAAAGAAGAATTAAAATGTTTTGAGCCAGAAATTGTTTTTGAAGGAATTTATGACAATAATAAAACAAAAATTAAATGTTTAACTAAAAATAATGAAGAAAATATTCAATGGATTTTAAAGTAATTTTAAAATTAATTATAGTAAATAATTAAAAATTAATTAAAGCGATAAATCAATAGAAATGTCTATATTGGGGGAAATAGAAATATTAGATGATGGGACATTATTACTTGGAAATAGAGAATTATTAAGTAAATTACAGGTAAATTACTAGTAAAATAATTTAAAAAATTATTTTTTTAATTTTAAAAATAGTGTTCAATAAATTATCCACAAATTTCTTTCAGGTTTTAGTTTTAATTTATTTAATTTCTATCCATTTTTAAAGACAATTACGTGATGCTATAGGGGATGTATCATTACCAGAAAAACAAAGTTCGAATATTAAAGTTTTATTTAGACCTCCAAATTTACAACAATCTTCTTTGGTAATTAATAAATTAATTTTTAAGTTAAAATTAATTTAGCAACAACAACAAAATAATGAAAATAATAATAAATTAAAAAATAATGGAAATTCTCCTCGATTTACTTATACACCAAGAGACAGACGATATCGGGAAGGGACAGCTGTACAATTAAATTGTGAGGCGATTGGTAATCCAAAACCAAAAATATATTGGTTTGTTGAAAGGAGAATATTTACAAAATAAAATATTTTTTATTTTTAAAAAGGTTTTTTAATTCTCACCAAATAGAGCCTTCACGTAAACACACATTTCATAATGACGGAAGTCAATTATTAATTTATCCTTTTCTTGAACAAGATATTGGTATTTATAATTGTGAGGCTGTAAATATAAATGGAAGAAATAAAAGTTTAAATGCTCGTTTAGAGATTATTAAAAGTTATCCACCAGAAATTATTGAAGGGCCAAAATCAAAAAATGTTGGGATTGGACAGAAAATTACTTTTAGGTAAACAAATAAAAAAATATTTAAAAAAAAAGAAAATAAATAGATGTAAAGCTAAAGGAGAACCAAAACCCTCAATTGGTTGGTTTTTTAATGGAGTGGAAATTTCTTCTTTTGGAGGGCATTTCCAAGTACTTAATAATTAAATTATTTAATTATTATTTTTTAAATTTTAGATAAGTGAGGATCAGGTATTTTTATTTAAAAATTTGAGTTTAAATATTTTAATAAAAAATCTATAGTCACAATTAACTATTGAATCTGTAGTGAGAAGAGATGCTGGTAAATACTTAAATAATTAAAAAATTATATTTAAAATTTATTGCCAACAAAGATTCAAAAAAATTTATTTAAATAAAATATTTCAAAGGAACATATTCTTGTATGGCAGGAAATACAGTTGGTTCAATGACTGCAGATGCCCAATTAGAAATAAATTCTTCACAATTAGATGAAATTGATAAACAAATAATTAATGAAAAAACATTTTTAAAAAATATAGTAAATCAAGCTATGAATAATATTGAAAGGTTTTTTAAAGGAATTTTGTAAAAGAATATTTTTTAGATCAATTTTAAAAACAAAAGAAGAATTAGTTAATTCACCAAAAGATTTACTTAAACATTTTAAATTTATTGGAAAGCAACAACCAACAGAATTAAGTAAAGCAAGAGAAATTTATGAAGAAAGTTTGAGATTAATTGAAAAACATGTTGAATTAGGTAGTAAAAAGGAAATAAAATATAAATCTCCCCCTATTTTTCACTTCCTTTTTTGGGTTTACTAAATACCTTTAGTTACATGTATAATTTTGTTTTAGGTTCTAGAACTAGGGATAGTCTGTTAACCATGCTTAGCTTATGTATGTCCTTTAGATTTCTTAAAATTGATATTCTATAACGGGCTAAAAGGTCTCTTCTTAGACCTACTACCGTAGTTATCCGAGCCCATATCTTTTGGATCTGAAAAAAAAACAAAAATAAAAGGAAGAAAATTTAATTTTACTTTAATTTAAAAAAGGTATTAATCTAAAACCACAAGAAATGCCTACAGAAAATATTTCTTTTGAATCGGTTTTAAGTGTTACACATATACAAACATTAATGGAATTATCTGGATGTATGAGTGGACAAGTAAGGAAATTTAGAAAATAATTTGTATTTTTTTAAGTTTAAAGATACATGTCAAGATATGTGTTTTCACTCAAAATATAGGTAAAAATATTTAAATAATAAATAAAATTAATGGGATAATTTTAATATGGTTAATAAAGGGATGGTCCAAATAAATTTATTTTAATAATTAATTAATTTAAAGATCATATACTGGCCAATGTAATAATTTTGACCATCCAACTTGGGGTGTAAGTCAAATGCCATTTCTTCGATTATTACCACCAATTTATGAAAATGGATTTAATACACCTGTTGGATGGAATAAAGGATATTTATATTTTGGGTAAAATTAAATACAATTAATTATATATTCTTTCAAAAAAGCTATCCAAAACCAAATCCGAGGACTGTATCTGTTGATTTAATTGGAGCTGAAAATGTATGCAAATTAAATATGAATTTAAATTTTAAAATAAAAAAAGATAAGTCCACATCCTTATTATTCTGCAATGCTTATGCAATGGGGGCAATTTCTTGATCATGATTTGGATTTTACTGCAACTGCTTTAAGTAGACAAACATATGTTGGTGGGGCTAGGTAATGAAGTTATTTTTTAAAACTAACTGGAAGGCCAGGAATTTTTTTTGAAGTAAAATGTTTTACTTTTAATAATTTAAAGATGTAATCGAACCTGTGATAATATTGCCCCATGTTTTAATATTCCATTACCTTCAAATGATTATCGTTTACAAGCAATTACCAATTCTTCCGATAAATTGCCTTGTATTGAATTTGAGAGATCTGCAGCAATTTGTGGGTCAGGGGAAACATCTCCAATTTTTCAACAAATTACTTATAGAGAACAAGTTTAATTCAAAAAAATATTAAATATTTATTTAAAATAAATAGGCAAATATAATAACGAGTTATTTGGATGGTTCTCAAGTTTATGGAAGTACAGAAGTTGATGCTTTAGATCTTCGAGATTTATTTTCTGATCACGGACTTTTGCGTTTTGATATTGTTAGTTCTGCACAAAAACCTTATTTACCTTTTGAAAGAGATTCGGCAATGGATTGTAGAAGAAATTTTTCTAATGAAAACCCTATACGTTGTTTTTTATCTGGAGATTTTAGAGCAAACGAACAAGTATTGGATTAAAAATTAATTAAAAATAAAATTAATTTTTAGATAGGTTTAACAGCAATGCACACAATTTGGATGCGTGAACATAATTTAATTGCTACACAACTTTTAGAAATGAATTCGGATTGGGATGGTGAAAGAATATATCAAGAAGTAAATAAATTTAATATATTTTCGGTAATTAAATTTTTTTAAGACAAGAAAAATTATTGGGGCAATGATGCAAGTAAATATTTATTTAATTATTTTTTTGTTAATTTTATTTTAGCATATTACTTATAATGAATGGTTACCTAAAGTACTTGGACAAGTATTACAAAATTAATTTAAAAAAAATATTTTTAATTCTAAGGAAGGATATAAAATATTAATTGGCCCTTATAATGGTTATTCTTCGGAAGTCTTTAAAAAATAATTTGTTTAAAAATATTTTAAATCTATTAGATAAATCCAAGCGTTTCAAATGCTTTTGCTACAGCTGCTTTTCGTTTTGGCCATACACTTATTAATCCAAACTTGGCAAGATTAGATAAAAATTTCAATTCAATACAAGAAGGCCCTCTACCTTTACATGAAGCTTTTTTTGCTCCCGAACGTTTACTTGCTGAGGGAGGTGTTGACCCTATCCTTAGAGGGTTATTTGCATCTCCTTTGAAACAACCGATGAGTGAACAGGTAAATGAGAATATTAAAGTAATGAACAAATATCACTTGGATATACTAGAGAGGCACATTTAATCATTTTAGAACCGGGCATGATATTTACTATAACTAATTTATATATTTATAGTGAATACAAAAAAATTTTGAATTACTAAATTAATAATTATATTTTTAAGTTATTAAATAGAGAATTAACCGAACGTTTATTTCACCGGGCACATAATGTTTCTTTGGATTTGGCTGCAATTAATATACAAAGGGGAAGAGATCATGGACTTCCTGGGTAAATTAATTAAATTATCTTTAATTTAATTAATTTAAAAGTTATTTGGAATATCGACGATTTTGTGGATTAACGGTGCCCACAAATTGGGAACAACTTTCTTTTAATATTCCAAACCCTGAGGTTTTATTTTTTATTTAATTATTAATTAATTTGTACTTTTAGGTATTGTCACGACTTAAAAAACTTTATGGTAAATAATCTTAAAAATAATAATTATTAAAAATTAAAAATTAAAATTAAAAGGCCATCCAGGCAATATAGATTTATGGGTTGGGGGTATTGTTGAAAAACGTTTACCGGAAGCTCTTATTGGCCCAACATTTTCTTGTATAATTGGAGATCAGTTTAAAAGGCTTCGAGAAGGAGATCGCTTTTGGTTTATTCTAAAGACTTTTTTGAAATTTTTTTAATAAAAAAAGGTATGAAAATCTGGGTGTTTTTACCCCTTTACAATTATCGCAAATAAGAAAAAGTACTTTGGCATCAGTTATTTGCAGAAATGGGGATGATATTGATAAAATTCAAGTAAATTTTTTAAAATACATATACTTCTTGGGAATTCCCTAATAAAGCATTTTTCTGTTTTGTTTACTACCCCTTTAGTTCTTTATTCACTCTAATTTATATCTGAGATGGCTATTTTTAAAGTAAAAATTAAATTTTTCTAAAATTTTTAGCCGGATGTGTTTCTTTATTTTGGACAAAATAAATTAGCTTATAAACAATGCGAACAATTACCAAGATTAAATTTACGCATGTGGATGTCTTGTTGTGACGAAAGTTGCTCATTTCGTTCTACACAGAATAATGGGAAAAATGAGGAAGAAAATTTGCAAAGGAGAAGGAGACGTTCAAAACATTTATATAATTAATATTTTTATTTAATATTTTTTGAATATTTTAAGTTTTTTTGATTCTATAGCGGGTTATCCCTTCTCAAATACGCAAAATGGTCAAATATCTATTTTAAAAATATCCATGCCTTTGTTATTTGGCCGGTCTTTAAATATTTGTACACACAGATGAGGGAAAAATACAGGCACCTTTTTGGGGAAAAATACGTGCGGATAACCCACTTTACTTTATAATTAAATTTTTAGATTTTACAAAAATTTTACTTAAATAATTTAAAAAAAATTTATTTACATTTTCTTCTCATTTTATAATTTTCAATATTATATTACTAAAAATTATGTTTTTTCTAAAAAAATAAAAAAAATAAAAATACACCTTTTGGCCATTTTTGTTTATTATTACTTAAACAGATGTTTTGAATGCGCAAGGTTGTTGTAAATTATTTATTGCCTGTTGCCATGGTTCAAAATAAGAAAATATTAAAAGAAAAATAATAATTATTATATTTTGTGTGTAAATTTATTTCTGAACACCATTTTTGTTGAATATTTATTTTTAAAAATAAATATTTTTAATCCTTTCTTTTTAAAGAAAATATTTACTAAATTGCTGTTCAAAGTCCATTCATTACTTGTTGATAAAAAATAAAAATAAATTATTTAATCCAGATATATTTTAATGTTCGTTATTTTTGAAGGAAATGAGTTACAGAAATGACTTTTAAAAAATAAAATTAAGTGAGGGAATTTTAATGAGAAATATTTGTAAAATAATAAATACTAAATACATATATACTTTAGCTAAAAATAAAATAAATAAAATTACTTATCGGCCCAAAGTTATTTTACAATAAATAATAAACTCGATTCACAATATCCTCTGTCGAATATTCCCTTGTCTGTATTTTCTGGAAACATCCGGTTAAATTTAAGCCTCGCACAAACTCACAAACTCGGTCCTATTCTGATTTTAACATCCATATAATTAGGCAAGTTTAATAAAAAATAGCAGATATTTTTATTTAAAAAACAGACACTTATTCACTATATTTCTATATTAAATAATTATAATTATGTATTATGTATTTACGTGTTTTTTAGAGAAAATTCTTGTTTTTTTAATATTAAAGCTAATAATTATTTTAATTTATAAATATTTTTTTAGTTTTACAAAAAATAATTTTTTACTTTTTTTAAATTTTATTCAACATACTATGTATTATTTAAAAGAATTTTTCCTCAACAAATTATCGCTAATTTTATGGTTTGAGGAAATTAACCATTAACAATAAGATTATTGTCATCAATATTTTTTTTAATTTTTATCATATGATTAGTTATTTTTTAAAATTATTATTTTTTGTTAAGGAAATGAAATTTTAAATTTATGTCCAAACTTTTTGCTTAAATAAAAATTTAAAAGAATTTAAAAAAAAACAAGGAAATATTAAATAATAATGTTTAAAAACTTTATTTTATTTGTTTTCACATTTATATTAATTTAAGCATTTTATACATATGTACATAAATTTTTATTAGGAAATAGAATATAAACATAAATAAATGACAAAATAAAATTAATCTCCAACTACATAAAGTGTGTTAACTAATTATAAACTCACCCCAAAATTTCATATCTTGTCTCTGGTTAAATATAAATACCGTAAATCCTCTAAAATAAGCCCCGGAGCTTATTTTGTTAGATAGACCTCTAAAGGTGGCTTATTTTGGATGGGTGGGGGGCTATTTTAGAGGATTTACGGTAATTAAGTCAAATCTAGATATATCGACTTTTCAATTGAATAACCCCTAAAGAACCTTTTCTCAGGTCCTTTTAAATTCCTTATTTCGAGATTGACTAAATACATATTATATTTATTTTAATTAAAAATCATCTGATATTTTTTTGTTTTAACAATTTAAAATTAAAATATATTTTCCGGAAATGTATGTACAAATAAACATTTTTATTTTAATGTCAACACAAAAATAAATACATATACGTTTTTTTCTCTATATATTTTCCTTTTTTTTACTAAAAACATATACCCAATCATCTTTCATTAAATTTATTTATTTCCGTAAAAATAAATATTTAATACGACATAATTTTGAATAAAAACTTTTTTTAAAAAATATTAATAAAAACCAGTCACTTACGGAAGCATCTTTATTAAACGGAAATATAATTAATTAATTATTTTAATTAATTAAATATTTATATATAAATAAAATTGGTTTTTTTAATTAAAATCAGAGGTGTGTCGGAATTCCAATTTCCGAAGTTTTTTACTTCCAATTTCCGAAAAAAATTTGACTTCCGACTTTTGAGCCATTTCCGATTTCCGACACCTCTGACTGTTCCGACCCACCTCTGATTAAAATCAAGAATTTTTATTTATTTTTTAATATATTTTTGCAGAAAATTAATTTTTATTTATTTAATTTTTATTTATTTGCTAAATTTCCAGTCTCAACCAGCCTTTCTAAAATTAAAGTTTTTTAGCCATTTCCCCCCTTTTTTATTGTTTTTCCATCTGTATTTTTAAAATTATATTTTATTTTTAGGCAGGGAAAGGTAAAACCCTAAAATAAATATTTTTAAATGTTTAATGTTCAAAGTTCTATTCAGAAAAACTTTTTTTGCCAAAACATCTGTCCGTCCCTTCGTCTCTTTTTGCTATTTTTCCGTCCAATTATTAGAAAAAAAAGCAAAAAAAAAGAAAAGCACACAATTTCTTTTTTTTCTTTTTCACGTTTGCGCCAAAAACTGGCCCACCTTGGCAATATATCAAATTCGATTTTCCCCCCTTCTACCGATGAGAATCGGCTGGCAGCAAAAAATAGAAAGTATTCAAGTCTTTGCCTGGCAGGAACTACGTTTTAAGAATGGCTGCCCGACTTGTAAAGAAAAAAAGTGTGGGAAGAGGCCAAAGACCAATAATGAACACATCTCTCTCTCTCATCTCTTTTTAAAGATATCAGAGAATAAGTAGTAGGCGGACAAACTGTTTTTAGAATCTTCTACATTTTTCTATTTTTTATTTTTCTTTCACGTATTTATTTCCCTTTGTTCTCCTCGATATATGGCCTATTGATTTATTAAAATGGCCGAGAATCGAAGCGATGAAAAATAAAAATCGAGGAGAGAAGAAAAGAGAAAAATAAAAAGACGAATAAATATTCGGCCATAAACTGGAGAAAAAATGCAAAAAAAATGCGCAAAAAATTATTGACAAATTTCAGCGGATTTCGAACAAATTTTTGGATTTTTTTTTGCTTGAATGAAATATTCGTTTTCCAAAAAAATATTTTTTGTATTGACTTTTTGTAAGATAACGATAATTTACATATATATTTTATTTATTTTCTATATTTCCTTGATTTATCCGCATTTAAAAATTTTATCCGCAAATATTTTCCCTTTGTTGTAAAGAGAAGAAAACACAAAAAACAACCATTCATTCATAAAAGCAGCTGCAGCTATTCACATAAATAAATACACACACGTCCAAGCAATAGACCTCTTTTTTGTATTTTTCTCTAATAATTTAAATGTCTCTCATATTTTTATATTTTCTCTCATTCCTGACAGTCAGAGAGAAATTGTTAGAGAAAAAGGCCTAGCACCAGCCTTTATTCTTCTTTCCACCCATATTATTCTTCTCCCTATTTTCCAGCCGATAGCTGCTATCCCCCCTCTCTCTCTTTTTCTTTTTAAAAATATAAAAGTCAATTGTAAAATGTCCAAAAAATATTTTTTTTTGTAAAAATTCCCTCAAAATTTTTAAAAGTTATTTCTCTCTTTATTTATTTTGGTGTTATTGTTGTTCAAAGTTGACATAAAAATATTTTTTTTATTATTAATTGAATTTTGTTTTATTATTTTATTATTATTGAAATTTTACAAAAATAAGCTTAATTTTTACAAAATTAAAATTTAATTAATTTATTTTTACATTAAATTTATTTTTTTCATTATTTTTATATTTTATTAAAAACATTTAACAATAAATCCATTAATAGCCAAAATAATATAAATTACAACAATTATTTATAACTAGTAAAATATTTTAAACTTTGTGTGTTTCTTTCACTTTGATTAATCATCTTTTTTTATCATTTTTTATTTTATTTTATTTTAATGTCACAAAAGTTGTCTTGTTTTATCTTTTTTTAATTCTTAATGAAATTTTTATTTTATTATTTTTGCAGACAAAATTTGTGTAGAAAGAACTTTAATAAAATAAAATATATTTTGTAATATTATTTCTACACAATTTATTTAATTCTTCTCAATTTCTCCAAAAATAATTTCTTCCCCAAATTTCTCTCAACGGTCAATGTGTGAACAAATCAATTTTCGTTTTTCATTTTTTTCACGCAGTGTTGGCCCAAACATTTATAAAACATTTTTGTGTATATACCTATATATTTATTTCCCTTTTAGTTTGGCCAATTCATTTTCTTAACCTTTTCTTTTTTAATTTAATTCGCAAAATTCAAAGATCATAAAAAAATTTATTTCTATATCATCCTCCAAAAAACGTTTTTAAACTAAAAATTTTTTTTTATCAAAAGACATACCTGAACCGCCCAACTTTCTCTGTTTAGTACAAAGAAATTATTAAATTTTTGTTAAGTAATAGGTATATACTTATTTATTTATTTATTTATTTAATTTCAACTTTTATTTAATTTTTTTGTGAAGATAATTTATTTATTTAAATAATTTTTTTTTAAAATTTGTTTTCTAAATTCATACCCATTCTTTTTTTCAATAATAACGCCAATAAAATAACGCCAATAAAAAGCTATAAAAAATTTTCTGTATATTTTTATGAACCTGTAGTACATGTTGTGAAACGCGAAAAAGTTTTCTACATGATTTGGGCGGGGTTGATGCCATTTTATTTGGCCATGTTATTGTTTCATTGAGTATATCAATTCTTTTTACCTCTAAAAATTAATAATGTTAACCTATTTAATTATATAATTAATTTTTAACATTAATTTCCTTTTTTCATTTAAATATTCTCTTGCCATAAAAGGTCTTTTCAGAATTTTTACGTGAATTGAATACGCCAATAAAAACTATAAAAAAATTTTTTCTTTCCTTCAACAGAATTTTGTCATTTTATTCCCACACTTTTTTCCTCAAAAAAATTTTTTTCCTTCATTCTCAAACAAAAAAACATTTACAAATTTATACTTAACCTTTTTATTTTTCACAAATTTATTTTTCTATTATTTTTTTTTATTTTTAATTTTTTTTATTTTTTTAATTATTTAATTTTCCAAAAAATGTAGAAAAATTAAAAAAATTTTTTTTATTCCAAAAAAATATTTGATTTATTGAACATTTTTGTTAAAAAATATATTTTTTATTTATTATTTTACATAAATTTATTATTTTAAATTTACGTAACTATTAATTACAAAAATAGTTTTTTATTTAAAAATTAATATTTCTTTTAAGAAAAAATATTTGGTAATAATTTTCTTTTAAAATTTATTTTCTAAAATTAGAATATTTTTCAAAAAATAATTTATTGCTTTCTGAGAATAATTTTTATTTTTTTATAAAACATTTAAAATTTCTCACTTTAATATTTAAAATAAATGTTGGATTAAATAAATTTTTGTTGATCTTTAAGCTTTTAAAAATTCTGAAACTTGGGAAATTAATAAATAATTTTTTTAAATTAATTTAGAAAATTGTGTTTTGGTTATTTAAATATTTTTTAGAAATTAATTATTTTTGTTAATTAAAAATTGTAAAATTCTAATTATTTAAATTTAAAAAATACTTAATTTTCATTCTAAAATAATTTTTTTTTTGTAATATCGTAAATTAAATAGGCACATCTAAATTTAGGGTAATTAATTAGTTGAGATGAAACCGAAATCAGAAAGTCGAAAATCGGTACTCTTGTGTTATCCGCCCCCATTTTCCTTTTTCCTCATTTGATCGGCTATGACTTTTTTATTCTTAATCCAATTCAAATGAATATTATATTATCGAAAGCTCTCGATAAGCGCTATCTTGTTCCCAAATATCTAGATGGATCAAGTCAAAATTGAAGACTTATCGAGGGCTTTCAAAGAATATAATATTCATTTGAATTGGATCAAGATAAGAAAGTTATAGCAATGCGGAAAAAAGCAAATTGTGGCGGATAACACAAGTGTACCCGAAAATCTGAGGGAACCAATAAAATGTACTAGTCTAAAAGTTTTAAAATATGTCTATAATAATTTATTTTTTTTAATTTCCATTAATTATTTTTTATTTTTAATTAATGACGTTTTCTTTGTTGTTTATCCATCTACTATTATTGTTTCTTTATCCATTTTTAGACACATCCTTCTAGAAAATTTAAGCCAAAAATTCCTTTCTTTTAAAGGTTCGAAGATCACTACTTCTCTCTTATTTAATCAAATATACAAAGTAAATTTATCATGAGTTTTTTTTCTGTCCCTCATTTTGTTTTCTCTTCCCATTTTTTTTTCATTTTCTGTCTCCAAAAAATTAAAGCATATTTCACGTGTACACACATACTTACACATATGTTATATCCCTCTTTTTTTTATTTCAAGCCAAGTCCAAAACACTATTTTTTAGCAAACAAAACACAAAGAATAGTAGAAATGAAAAAAAGAATTTTACTCGGATATGTATATTCTTCCCTCAATTCCTTCCCTCATTCCCCCCTTTGGGAAAATTGGAAAGAATGCAACGGAAGAAGACGGAAGTGGAGTAAAAAAAACTAAATGTAATTCTTATTAGCTTCTCAAACATTTCATTTACTATTTTCTTTTTTTAAACATTTTTTTGGTTTATTTTAAAAATGTTGTACTTTTTTAAGACGAGAGGAAAATTTAGATTATATTTTTGTAAATTTAAATTGTTAAATTATATGGAAATATTATTTTTTTTTTAAAAAGTTTCCCCAAAAAATTTTCATTCTATCTAGCATTGTAATTAAAATATTTTTTTGCGATTTTTCTTTATTTAAAAATCAGAAAAATAAGATGAGCAAAAATCCTTATCAAATAAAAACCCCGACTGCATCACGAGTCTGACAGATTTTAATACAAATATAACATTTCGAGACAATAAAAAGCGAAGTTTGTTTCGATTTTCTTAAAAGACGAAAAGCAAAAAAAATTTTTTCTGAATTTTACCAAATTAATTAATTTATTCCATTAATTAATTCAGAAAAAAATTAAAATGAAAACTTGGAAACCCCCAAGAAAAAGCAATCTTAAAAAGAAGTTTCTAATTTTAGAATATACATATAGCTTTTTTATTTTTAATCACAATTCTAAACACGTGCCGTATCTACAAATTTTTCTTTTAAATTAATTTATTCGTGTTTCAATCTTTTCTTTGTTTATTGTTGTCAATCACTCAATTCCCTAACTCCGACTTCTCAATTGATTATTTACTGCCAGCTGTAAATTGCTTTAGAGAGGGCGAGCGTTTTTGATTTTATTTGTTTTCTTTTTTTAAATTTTCTAACTGTCTTATTAAATGCTACATACGAGTCTTAAAAATTAAATTTAAAACACAAGTCTGCAAATATTTTAAATTAATAATTTATTTTATTATTTATTAAATTTAAATTTAAATTTTAAAATTTATTTTCTTTTTATCTCCAAATTCTTGTCTCTCCTTTGTAAATTCCCTTACAAAGGTGAGTGCATGGGGTGTCCGTGGGGCTTCGGCATCAAGTTTTGCAGACAGGTAGATCACAGGTAGATTAAAATTTTCACCATTTCCGCCAAATGGTACAGTGGATAATGATTCCCCTAAAATTCATTTTTTCCTCGTTATTTTGTAAAAAAATATAAAATTTTATTCTTAAATATTTTTAAAGTTTTTTTTAAAATTAATTTTAAAAGAAACTGGCACCCGAATTACTGAGATATTTAATTAATTAGAGAAGCTCATTAAAAAATAATTTTAAAAATTAAATTTTTGTTTTTATTTATTTTTTAAAATACTTCATTATTTACATCTTTCTTCCCTTTTCTCATCAATTTTTTCTTTCACGCAACTTTTGTTTCTTTAAATATATATATTTTCTACTAAATACTCTTTAAATAAGCACTTATGGCCAAACATTGATGCTGTCATTTCCCTCCTTTCTTTTTAAAATCCTCCCCCTTGTATTGGCCTAGTAAGTATTTCTATTTCTATTTTATTTCTTTTTTCTATTTTCACATGTATTGGCTGTGTTCGACGTTCTCTTTTTTGCATTCCCACAAACAATCTTCCCCTCAACTCTTCTAAATTTGTTCTTTTTTTTTATTTACAGCCACCCAACACAAACATACATATTTATTTATCTATTTATTCTTTTTTTTAAATGTTGCCGCGGGAACGCCATTTTAAAAGTATTTTTAAACTTGGAGAGATTTGGAGTCAAAAAAAGGAATTAATGATATTTTTATTTTGATTATTTAATTTTTTATTTATTTTTTTTTATTTTTTAATTAAAATTTGAAGTAAACAATTTTATAATTAAAAAATTTTTTTTAAATTAATTTTTTAAAAATTAAATTATTTATTTTTCATCCTTTTTTGTTAAATAAACAATCATTCTTCTACACTTTAACATTTTAATCTCTCAAATTCACCACCACCATCATTTGTTCTTTCAAATATTTTTTTCAAATATTGTTGCATTCATTCATTCTCTCTTCCAATTTTTCTACCAACCGATTCATATTTTTCTTCTTTTACTACTCTCACGTTCACCTCCTTTTTTTCCAATTTCCTTCCTTCACGTATGTTTAGCTCTTTTAGAGACCTTATTTTAAACACAATTTTTTCTCTTTTTCCATTCATTTTGTCCCTCCTTCCTTCCCTACTTCAGCCAACAAGAAAAAGAATTTTTGCCGCAAAATAAGCCATCCGTTCTCTCTGGGGCTGCAGCTGTCTTTTTCATTTTTGACGACTTTCGACCCTCCCTCCTCCTTCTTATAAATAACCCTCATAAAAATAAAAGATGGGAAACAACTCTAAAATAGGCAAAAAATGTGGCACAATAATTTACTGACTTGCTCCATATACTATTCCTTTAAAAAACCTTCACGCTTAATCTTGCCATTTTCTGCTATTTTCCGTTTCTGGTCTTCCTTTTTGGATTTATATTTGTTACTATTTTAGAATAATCTTTTAAATATATTTTTGGTTATCTGTATACTGCCAAAGCATTGCAGTAATTTTACACAAAAATTGATAGGGTGCTACAATGCTTGGAATTGCCTCCTCATCCTCCTCCTCATCTGCTGCACATTATCAAGAATTTATTAATACTTTATGTTCTTCTACTTCCTCATTAAACACCTCAGAGGCAAATTAATTTTATTTTATTTCCTTCAAAAATATTTTATTTTTAGCATAAAAGGCAAAACTCAGCTTTTCATTTGCCCTTAAACGAGCAAATGGCAGCAACAGCCATTTCCAACAATCATTCCTTTTCTTCCTCATATTATTCCCCTCCTCCTCCCAATCATCATCATCGCCAACAAAACAAACATTACCTCAAACACCAAAATAAAAAAGAATTATTTTCCTCTATTAATGCATTACTGCCCAGTCATAATCACCAAAATAATCACCAAAAGCAACGACAAAATAATTGTAGTGGGGGTGTTGGAAGTGGAAAAAAGTCTAGAATGGATTATTCTAATGCACTCTGTGCTATTTGTAATGCTCCAGCTGATGGTCAATTAAATTTAATTTTAAATTAATATTAACCAAAATATACTATTTTTAAGTAAAAAATAATTTTTCCTCCTTTTATAAAATTAAATTAAAAAAAAAATAATAAATAATAAATTATTTTTTTTTAATTCTTAATTATTGCAAATTATTTGACAAATTATTTAAATTTTAATAAATAATACTGATTTACACTTAAAATTTATTAATTTATTTTTTATAATTAAACTTTAATTAAATATTTGGAGAGAAAAGTTTTAAATAATTAACTCGTTTTCAAGTAAATTTTTTTAATTAATAAAATTAATTATGATTTCTGTTTTTTCCCAAAAAGTTTAACAGATTCTGATTTTTAATGAATTTAATTAAACCTTTTTTTTACTGGAATATTTTTAAAACTTGAAAATTAAATTTGATCATTTTAGTACGAAAAATATTTTTTTTAATATTTTAAAAAATAAAATAAATTTATCAAAATTATTTCTTTAAAATATAATTTACATTTTTAGGCCTCCATTATGGAGCAATTTCCTGTCGTAGCTGTAATGCTTTTTTTCGTCGTGCCATTACTTTTAAGCAGGCAAATAATTAAATAAATAATTTAAAAAATATATTAAATATAGAATTTCCTCTGCCGAAAAGGAGGCAATTGTGATGTGGATGTAAGTGTTCGTTGTGCTTGTCGAGCTTGTCGTTTAACGAGATGCAAAGCTGCTGGGATGCGCGAATCGGGTAATTAAAAAATGTTTTTTGAATAAAACTATTATTTTTTTAAAGATGTTCAACCAAAAAGAGACCCTACAGGAAGTCAAAAGAATCGCCGCGCACCTCAAAGACGTCGGGGATCAGCTGCTGCCTCACTCCTACTTGTTCCAAAACGAGAGACTCTTCCAATTTTTGATAATAATAATACAGACGGGGGTTTTTAACCTAAAATTAATTTTAAAAAATTCTTTCAAAATTTTTAGGATCTCCAAATACTCCTTTACCTTCTCTATCATGTTTTGAGAAAATATTAACTAATGGAACTTTGTATCATCCAATTTCTACAATTTGTCCTTCTAATGGAACTGAAGGTTAAAAAAATGAATAAAAAATAAATTTCAATTTTATTTTTATTTAATTTTCAGAAAATGGTTATCAAACAATTAATTCTCCATCTACCTCATCATTCCCTCCATCTGCTGAATCTGGAATTTTTGATGAAAACGGTGCTGCTGTCCAATTTGTGAAAAGTATTAAAAAAGAAGTAGTTGAGGAAGATGATGAATCTGATGATGAAGAGGAAGATAGAGAAGAGGAGGAAGAAGAGGAAGATTGGGAAGGGGGAGGGAATGGAAAAATGACAAATACAAGACGAACAAGTGATCTCAGTGCAAGTACAACAAGTAATAGTATTTTAAATAGAAGTGATGATGAAATTAGACAAAGAAGAAGAAAAAGGTTAAGATTGTCTTTTAAAATATTTAAAAAATATTTTTTAGAACAACAAAAACAACAACAAATAATAATTATCAACAATTAAATATTCAACAAAATTTAAATCAAAATTTAATTTTATTAAAACCATCAATTTCCACATTTGGAATTAATGAGAAAGAATTGGAAATACGCGAACAACAAACAGAATTTGAACGTTTAGTTAATGATTATTCTGAACATTTGCGTTGTATGAATCGTTTATTGACGCCTATAGAACATTTTTTAACTGAACAAGTTTGCTAGGGGAAATTTTAATTTAATTAAATATTTATTTTTTTTAAAAAGAATTCTTCTTGGAGAACAATTGAACCAACAGATGTTGAACAATTAAGTAAAGTTGAATTAGGTGGACTTATGTATTGGATTGAGAAATTAACACCTTTTAGACAACTTGACATTAAAGATAGAGAAATACTTTTTAAGGTGGATTTGTAATAAATAAATAGTAGTTGCTACAATGAGACCCCTAATTCTAGGATATCCCCAATACTAGATAGCCTCTATTTAAGATACATTTTTAAAAACTTTGCTTGTGGTGGAGCAATGATCCCATTTAAGATACCGTAAATTCTCGAATATTTTACCCCCTCCAGCGAGAGGTTGAAGTATTAATTACCCAGGGTAATTATTTGAGCATATACGGTAGGCTTTCTTCTTATAGGGGGATCCGATTAAATTGAGTTAAACTTGACAAAACAGGGAAATATATATTAATTTCAACAAATTAAAATAATAAAAATTTCCAGCGTTATTCTGTTCGAAAACTTTCACTAGACCATTTCTATACAGCATCAAAATATCCAGAATTAATTGAAAAAGGGTATTTTGCAATGATTAATAATACTTATGTTCCTCCTGACAAAACTGGTTTTGAAACATTAACAGACGATAAAAGAACTAGAGAGGCTAAATTTGAGTAAGATTTTACCCAAATATTTTTTCTAAATTTTTTTAAAGTATTTTACGTCCAACAATTGATCGTTTATGGCATACTTTAGTCCTTCCATTTTCAAATCTTCGAATTAATGATGCAGAAATTGTTGCACTCCATTTACTTTTAATGTGGAGTCCAAGCAGTTTTGTCTTTTTTTTTAATTTAAATAAGTCTCTCCCTCTCCCTCACTCTCATTTAGACAATAGACATATAACTTCAAAAACTCGTCAATTAATGTCTTCACGTAGAGACTGGGCAATTCAACGTCTTTTTAATTATTATCAAAATATTGGTATTGAGGAACCAGAAGTTCGTTTGGGTGAAATATTATTGTTATTACCTGAATTGGAGGTTTTACTTTGAGTTGATTAATTAAATTAATTTTTTAAAAAAAGGTAATTTGTGACAAGCATTGCAAAGATTTTCAAGTAAATAATTTAAATAAAATAAAAAATTATTTTTTTTAAAAGGTTGCACAATTTTTTGAATTTTGCAATATGTCTGAATATTGGTATGAAAATTATTGTTATACAACTTTAAATATTGCTGCAGCAATTTAGAGTGGGAAAGAGGGAAAAATGTTTTTTTAGAAATTAAATAACCTCTTTTTTTGAAATTGAAAAATGCTGGATTTTTTGAAAATTTAAAATTACAAAGAATTTTTTTTCAAAATTTATTAACTAAAATAATTTATAGGAAGTATTACCCCTTATTAACAAAAATAATTTTTAAAAATTTAACAAAAAATCCAACATTTATTTTTTTAATTAACAACGCAAATCCTCATTCATTTATTATTTTTAATTATTTTCATTCTCTTTTATAACCATAAAAACACTTTATATATCCTCATTATTTATCCTCAATTTTTCTTTACCCTGCCGCGTGTTGATTCTTTTTTTGAATTATTTAAAAAAAATATTTTTTAATTGTTAAATTTAAATTTTTTAGTTATTTTTCTCCTTTTTCTTTTTTACACACACAGGCACATTTTTAGTTTTTTTTTCTTCTAAAATTTTTTTGAATTTTATTTTTGTTGTAGATTTAAAATAAATACAGGGAAATTAATTAATTATTGTAGTAATTAAAAATATCTGTTATTAATATTTAGTTTTATTTAAAATAATCTGAATTTTACATTACTGGGGAATTAACTGGGGAAACCTTTTCTCCTTTCTTATATTATGGAGGTTGATTGTTAATTAATTGAAGACAAATTAATATTAATTTTTGACACGTAAATAATTTTAATAATTAATAACAGATTTTTTAAATTTTTATTAATCGAATTAAAATTTATTTTTGTTTACCTAACCCTCATATTCTTTTTTTTCTTTAAATTTACATATATATTTATATTTTAAAATATCCTCAACGATTAATTTAGATTTTTATTTTAAACTTTATATTTTTGTAAATCCTTCATTAAAGTTCCGGTGAAAAGAAGGAAGGAAAAAAGATAAATATATTTTATTTTATAAAACACACACAAATATATACCCTCAAAACTTTTTCGTGATAATCGTCAAACAATCAGAGAATGTTTTTATATAATTTTTAAATGGAATTTTAAAAAAATAATTTTTTTCTAAAAAAGTCAAAACAACATTCCTTTGTTTGTCAATTTAATTAAAACTGTTGTATGTAGTTATTTCTATAGATTTTATATTTAGAGTTGTCTGTGTGTAAAATAAATAAATATTTTTTTAGATTATTATTTTATTTATTTTGAAATAATTAAACGATAATTTAAAAAAAATTTTGGGGTCTAAAAGGAAAAAAACACGAAAATACGGGTGGAAGTATAGTTATGTGGAGCACTGTAGTATTTAGTAGTTTAAAAAAAGGGTTTTTTTAAAAAGTTTTTTCTAAAACAAAATTTTTTTATTATTAGGTTATAATTATATTATTACATACATAAATAATAATTAATGAGAATTAATTAAAATATAAAAAATTATTAAAGCCAAAAAATTAAGAGATTATTTCGAAATGTTCTCTTATCATTTAAATAGGTGTTAATAATGATCGAAGAAAAGGTCTAGCCAATTGTCGTCCCAAATAACTTAAATGATTTGTATCAAAGAAAATAGCCAATTTTGTTGTTTCATCAAAAGCAGCACAACGATCATTTGTTGAATTACAAAAATGTGTAGATAAATCATAAACTAAACATTTTTGGCAATTTAAATGTTCAAGACGTTGATATGACCAATAATTCTTTTTTAAATGTTCCTAAAAGTTCTAATTTATTTTTTAAAAAATATTCTCAATACTTTATAGGAAATATGTAATTGTTCCAATTCTGCCCCTCTCCAAAGCCTTTTTGCTAATTCTCTTGATGTTTCATATTTAAATAATAAATTGGGGGCTGGAAAGAATATCTGTATTTTAACATTTTTCTGAATTTCTAAAAGAAAAGAATTTATAAGGCCAAGTATTTCATCATTATTAGCATCATTAAAAGGCTGGTCTTCAAATGAACCATACCATCTATAAAATTAATTTTAAAAAATCCAAAAAAATTTATTTTAATTACCTAAAAGCTATAAATAAATAATCTGGTTGGATAGTTTCAATAGCTTCTTTAACTAATTGAGAGTAAGTAGAGCAGGCTTTAATTGGCATTTGATGGTCAGGGGTAACAAAAGATAAATGTTCTGGAACATAGAAAGGCACACAGCCTAAGAAATATGATTACAAATTTTTAGAAATTCTTCTAAAATTATTTTAAAAATTACCAGGGGCAGTAAACATATGAAAAACCGAATAATTTTGTTTAAATTCATCTTGTAATTCACGTGAAATTATATCTGCATGACTATTTCCAACAAGCAAAAAAGATGTTGAATCTTTTCCCTCTCCACGTGATTTTCTCTCAATAACTGCTTTGAGGAAATTTCGTTCCTCTGGAACCATTTTTGCGAATTTTCCAATCCACCGATTAGTCAAAACTTCTCCCGGCAAAATTTTATATCTATCCTCGTATGTAGCACTTTGAAGTATTTCGTTAATTCGAATTTTTTCATAAAGTGATAAAGTATTGGCTAAACGAGAATGTCCTTCTGGAGACTTTAAATAAAATAATAAAGAAAAATATTAGAATCAAACAACAACTTTAACAATATCATCAATAATTAATCGGGTAAAGTTAACATCAATAGTTACAGCTCTCCCTCCCAAAGAACCATCAAAATCTTTTGTTACAGCAACTCTCTAATTTTTAATAAATTAAATTTATTAAAAAATAATTTTTTTAAGACTTCATTTTGTCCAGAATAATAAGTTGGAAGTAATTGAAAAAAGCAAAAAGCGTAGAAAATACCAATGAGAAAAGTTACCGAACAAAAACTTTTTAGTTTACGAATTTGTGCATCCACTAATATTTCAACAATAAATGCAATAATTAATGTTAAAATAAATGTAGCTATTCCATCTTTAAAATATTAAAATTAAATTCTGATATATTTAATTCCATCTTACATTTAAAAGAAAATTCATCAATAGTAAAGAAATATTTTAAAAACAAAATTGTTGGCCAATGAATTAAATACCAAACATAAGAAATATCCCCCAACCAAACAAATAATTTATTTGTTAAAAACAAATAAATTAACCAATTATTATTTTGTAAAAATAGAATAATTGAAGTAAAAATAACCACAAAAGAACTTTGAAATGGGCGTAAATAAATTGGAATTGATAAAAATGGGAAAAATAAAAGAATAATTAAAAGAATTAAAATAATATTTGGAATTAAATATTTTAATAAAAAATTAATAAAATGATAATTAAATTGTTTTTTCTAAAAAAAATAAAAATATATAGGAAAAAATATAAAAATATATTTTACATTATCTATTGAGGAGGAATGACTTGATATTTGAATATTATTGCCAATAATTGTTTGTTGTTTTTGGCAATTAAATATATCATCTATAATATTTTTCAAATTAAAAAATGTCGTATTTTCTCGATTAATTCCCCTCCCTCAAATATTCCCCCTCTTGATTAACCCCATGCTAGAGCTGGGTTGAAACAGTAATTCCCCACCCCTAAATACCCTACTGCGTTCAAATGCCAAAACTCAAATAATTCCCCTCCTTTGATTAATTCCTCATGCCAAGGAAGGGTTGAAAAAAATAATTCTTCAGGGGAATTAATCGAGAAAATACGGTATCTATTTAACAAATTAACCGGATTGATCACAATGTGCCAAAATATACGGCCAAACAATTATTTTATTATTATTTTTATTATTTTCTTCTTTCTCTTCATTTTCAATTAAATAATCATTTGTTAATAAAAAACTTATAATTCCTGCTATAAATTGCCAAAAACGGCAAAATATAAATCCAAAACTAATTGAAGAACCAAAATATAAATAAATAAATTGTTGAGAAATTAATGATAAAATTAAAAGTAAAGAACAAAAAATGAAACGTCGAAAATTTTGTTTTAAAATAATTGAAGGGAAAATATTTGTAGAAGAAGAAGATTGTTTTTTAGAATTTCCAAAATAATTAATAATAAACATTAAAATTGGTGATAATAAATAAAATTGAATTTCAACTCCTAATGACCATGTATGAAGAAATGGGCGATATGAAAATACCTGATAATTATTAAATTGTTAATAAAAATAATATTAGAATTTAATAATATTTAATTTTTATACTCTCGTTAATAATAATAAATAGTTAAGGAATTGGGGGAATAATATGTATATCAGTTCAAAAAACGGAAATTTAATGCACCTCATTTAAATAATTGTTCCAGTTATAATTAGTAATATAAAGAGGTTTTTGATCAACCCGAAGAAACGAGGATTTCTAGGTTTGCTTCTTTGAGTCAGTTTCGGATATGTTCGGATATATTCGGTTCTGGATATTAAAATATCTTCCAAGAACCGACAAGTCAAATTAATTTATAAATAATTATATTTATATTTTCATTAAACCTCAGTAAAATAATCTTTAGAATTACAAAACAAAGATTGTAAATTTGTTACAAATCCAAGACTCCAATACATATCTAATCGAGCTTGTTGGAAGTCAGATTCAAGCATAATAGTACGTGAAATGCTTTAAATAGGTGTTATTATTTAATTTATTTATAAATACCTAGCTGTAGCACAAGTAACACCTAAATAAATAGGCACAATTCTCTGTATTCTTCTCTTATAAAAGTCCAAAATTGTCTCAAATAATTTAGGGAAACTCAAACTATTTGTTCCTATATTTTGTAGACATTTAGCAATTAAATATCCAGAAATAACAAAAAATCTGAGAATAATATTTCAAATAAAAAATATTTTAAAGAAAAACATACACATCAACACCTAAAAATCCATTAGGAAAACTAAGAGGCCAAATATGATATAAAATCACAGAAATAATTGAAATAGCTCGAAGTCCTTGAATATCAGCACGTTTCATTTTCTCTGTTTAATAAAAATTAAATTAATTATTCTTAAAATTATTTCTGTTTAATTTTTATAAATAATAAAATAAAATTTTTAAAAGTTGAAGATGAATTAAAATAAATTCAAGAGAAATTTCAAAAAGCAAATTTGTAGCGCAATTGAAAGGAAGATGAAAAGTTTTTTAATTTAAATTTTTGTAAATAGAAGAAAGAAAACATTCTTCTTTCCCTCTTCTCTATTTTTAAAAGGAAGAGGGAAATTTTGATTTGAAGATGGTTAACATTATTTAAAGAATTGTGTCAATTATTTAAATTAAAAATATTTATAATTTTATTAATTATAAAATTTATTAAGCAATAAATTAATGATTAAATAAATAAATACTTAAGGACTAAATACAAGTTATTGGCTAATTAATTATTAGCCAGTCAGTCAAAACTAGCTGCTAATTTTTTTATAATTTATTAGGCTCTTGTTGATTTATCATTTATTTTGTAGTTATGTTTAAAATTATGTACATATTAAAAATAATAATTTAAATTTTAGTTAAGATTTTTTATAACAAAGAAAGTGTTATATGTAAAGGGAGATATGTATTTAGGAAGATACTTTAGAGATCGGTCTGGATCCAGTCTGGATTTTTCATTGATCCAATTCAAGAATCCTGTCCAGGTCACTAACCTAAATCCAGATCCAGAATCCAGATCCAAGATTTTTGAAAATACCGATCTCTAGTATGTTTATTATTTAATTTTATTAATCTTCTTCAAATTTCATTAATTATTTGTAATATTTCCAAAAATATTTATTTATATGTCAACAACCTCTTCATTTTTCTTTTTTTGTAAACTTTCATCATTAACCGCAACTTTTCTATAGCTTAAATAAAATTGTTTTTATTACACGTTCTTTTATTTGATTTTGAGTGACCAAACCGTCAAAGCCAATTGCACAATTTTAAATGAGGATGAATTAAAAAAGAAAGTTTGCTCTAAATAAATAAAAAAATAGGGTCAAAAATGTTTTAAAATTAAAAAATAAATATTTAAAAATTATCTTATTCGGAATTAAAAAAAACAATAATAATGAATTAATTAATCTGACATAGTAATAGAATCCTTATTATTACGTTCCTAAATTTAAATTTTTTATTAAATATAAATCTTGAATTATTTTAAATAAAAATTATTTCTGAAAATTATCTTTTTTATTTTTAATAAAAATACTGGTAACTCAATTATAAAAACAAAAATACAAAATAATTTATTTATTTATTTATTTTTTATTTATCCTCTCAAAATTTTATTTTTTCTATTTTCAGGTTCGAAAGTTAAAACCGAAAGATAAAAGAAAGAAATATTACTTTTTACAATATTTATTCAAAAATTAATGATTATTTTTAATATAAAATTTTTACTATTATTAACTACAAATTAAATAAAATTAAATATTTTTTAAAATTATAATTAAAAATAAATTTTTCGTTTAAATTAATTCTTCTTAATTGCAAAAATTAATTTAAAAATCTCATAAAATTTTTCCTTCTCCAATCCCTCAATTTTTGTTTTTAACTTAAAAAGAAATTCATTTATATTATTATTTTTAAATAATTTAATTGTATAAAATTTTAAATAGATTTTTTTCAATTAAAAAGTTTTTAAAATAAAATTTAATAAAATCTAACCTCAGGACGTAAATTTCCATGATTCTGAAATTTTTATATAATCATGATAGTAATTTAAATTAATTGTTGGTTTGGCTTATCCAGGTTTTTTTAAAGTCGGTTAGTCCTTTCACGGCCATATAATGCAGGAAACCAAAAATTTTTAACAAAAATACCCGTGATCATTAATCAAATGACCAGATAATCTCCGATAGCTAATTTTTTGTCAAACTTATTTAGTAATTAAATATTTTACTTAAAATAATAAAAACAAATAAAATAAACAAACATGTAAATAATCCCCTTCATTATTTTCAATAATTATTTCTTTTGCTTTATTCCATATCGGGAAATAATAATTTTGATAATTTAATATTTTTTGATTTAATTCTTTAATTTTAATTTTTCTTTTATTTATTTTTTCTTCAATTTCATCAACACAAATTAATTCTTGAGAATCATTATTAATCATTTTCCTTAATTTAATAATCCTTTTCTTTTCGTATTTTATCAAACGCTCAATTAAAAAGTTTCCAAAGGATAATAACATTCCAAATTGACAAAATTGTCTATTTGAATATATTTGCTTAAAAATAGGAAAAAAATTAATTTATATGTTAAATTAATTAGTAATTTTGTTGAAATAATGAGTTTTATAAAAATATATTTACGAATTCAATAATGGAAGGGAAAGTTTTCTATAGTAGTATATATTCTAAAACTATTTATTATCATAGTTTTATTAAATACTTTAAAAGCTATCCGAAATTCAAAATCTATTAATTTTTGGCTAGTTTATTAATTATATTTAAAATTAAATTATTTACAGCTTCATAATTAATATCATTTTTCTCAATTTCTTCTTCACTGTTTATCCAATTATTGCAATCCATTTCAATTTTGTTTTTCAATATCTTTGATAAATATACACCTGTCTGAATATCTGATACCTCAATTTCAAAAAGTAAATTATTTAAAACAAGCTCATTCATCTTAAGTAGAATATCTGCATACTAAAAAATACATTATTAGATTTTATTAATAATTCATTGGGGTAATATTTTTATCATAGCTAGTAAAAAAATTAAAAAATAAAAATAAACAAACAAATTGAATATTTTCAAGAGGTGGACGATGTTCAGTTAATTTATCAAAATATTTAGAAATAATTTCAACAAAATGCTCAACTTCATTTGGCTTAAATGTAATTTGTACATTTATTAATTCACTCGTTTTTCCATCAAATACGTTCATTGGCATCTCCTCTAAAATTTCCCTTAACTAAAAATAAATAAATATTTCACCTACAATTAGCTATATCTCCTCCTGTGATTTGAGATTTTTTTCAAATCGGTATGGATAAACAAAACCCTTTGGAGAGAGAAAATAGAGAATTAAAAATATTTAAAGATACATATCCCACAATCAATTTAATAAAAAAAAGTTTAATTATTTTTCCTTTATAGAGAAGCCTAATATTAGATTTTAGACAAGCCAAGCTTAATAATCATTAATATTTTTATAAAACATACATTATTATTTTTAATTTTTTCATTCTCGTCTTCAATTAAAATTCTCCTCATTTCTTCAATTATTGGAGTAATATAATTAATTGAATTATTTTTTATTTGATTAAATTCAATCTTTTTATAATTATATCCATTTACTCCCTTATTTATTCCTTTAATTATATCATCATTTGAAGTAATTTCATTTAAAATATAATTAGCAGCCGAAAGTAACATTGCAGTGCCACAATAAAATCTTGCTTTAACATATTCTTCTTTTTCCTTTTTGAGGGAAAAAAAATTATTTTTTTATATTTTTAAAAATAAAAATTAAAAAAATATTTAAGATATAAAAAATAATATCTTTTTACTTTTTAATAAAATACTAATTTATTAAAAACTAAAATTTGAATTTTAGTTTGTTCATTTTAATTAGATCTCTATGAGAAAGTTTGTATTCTAAATAAATTTATTTATTTACCTCAAAAATTTCTCTAAAAGTTCGACTATTTGTATTCAAATCATCTTCTTTGATTTTGTCTTTACAATAAGAGAATAATTTGTGCATTGTTCTCTTCATTTTATTGTATAAAGTAAATCTTAAAGAATCCAATAGTTGAATTCTTTTATTTTTACTTAACAATCTTTTTGCATTCTAAATTAATTAGTAAATGTATTTGACAAAAATTAATAAAATTTTTGTGGAATTTTATTTTTAAGCTAGGTATTTTTCTTTTGATTTTTAACTAAGCTTTCGCGATCTTAAATTTTCAAAATACTGTCTCGTCTCTGAAAATCCTTTTTCACGTGAAAACGTCATAAATGAATTTGAAATTCATTTAAAATGGTAATTATATCCTTTTTCAAACCCATTTAGTTTTTTTTATAAATTTAAATATTTTTTTAATTAAAATATAGATTATATATATTTTCCATATCCCAAACATCAGATGTCGTTATAGCGTCCAAACTTTCAACAAAAATTTTTGTAAAATATGCTGCATGTAAGTGATTAAAAATTATTTTTTCTGAATTTAATTGATTATCATCATCATCAGTATTTAATAAATTCTCAAAAGGGTCATCAAATCCTTAAAAATAAGTTAATTTATTTTAATTATTTTTAGTTTTAATTTTACTAAAAATACCTCGTTCACTTGATGTGCTTGCAATCATAGTAGTCGGTTCTCCGATTAAATCTGATAAACAAAAATTTTTATAATTTTGAAACAAAAAATTAAAAAATTAAAAAAAAACAAAAATTCTATACAAACAAAAACTAAATATAAAACAAAGAATTTTTCATTAATTTCTTTCATTATATTTTAAAAATATAATTTACTGTATTGTGGTCTGCGTCCTCCGAGACAATCTGAATAAAAATTAAAGTTAAATTAATTAGATTAATTAATAAATTAATCAAACTGATCAAAATTTTTAAAATTTTTATTAATAAATTCAATTCGACTTTTATTAATTTTTTATTTAAAAATTAATTACTTCCACCACAAACTTCTTCAAAATTTGAAAATATTTTTAAAATAAAAAATAAAAAAATAAAAAGGTTTTTAAAAATTATTTTATTTTCCATTTTATTATTTCTAAAAATTATTTTTTAATTAAACAAAGATTTTTATTAAAAATAATATTAAATAGGAATCAGTGATTTAATTAGTTAAGTTATTTAAAAAATATATAAAATAAAATAATATTGAGAGTTTCCTCTTTATTTATAATAAAAATTACCGGATAAGGAGTGCAATGCACTTTAAGGAATTTAAAAATTAGACAAAAAAAGGTCAAATAATGAAGTCGCGAGTTTATGTGAAATTTTATTTAGAAATAAATAAAAATATTTTTTAACAGGAAGTTTTTTTAAAATTTAATTTCGAAACAAAAAATTATGCGTTTATTGCATTTTTTATTCCTTATGATTGGTATCGTGTAATTTGGTTTTATATTTGTTTCTAGTCTTTGGGTTTAGGTCAAGCTATATGTATAGTTTACTAAAAAATTCAGGAATCAAATAGAAAATATTTCCAATTATGTTATTTATAATATACATCTTTCGATAATTAGTAGAGTTGTACCCCGACCCCGTACCCCGAACCCCGACCCCGTTCCCGAACGATTTTTTCACAATTCTCCCCGACCCGAACCCCGCCCCGAAACAATTGGAAAACCCCGTACCCCGACATACCCGCCCCCGAACGTTCGGGGTACAACCCTAATAATTGGTACCAAATCATCATAGCTTATTTGGCATCGGCACAAATCGGCATTAGAGATCTTTAAAAAATGTTTAATCGTTTTTTATCGAATGATCTGAATGTTAAAATGATTTTGCAGTTTAATGGAATCGAAAATAAAAATGGAAAGGTGAGATTTAACTTACTTTTAATTAATTGTTTATTTAATGTTTAATTAAAACAAAATATTTTAATTAAATAAATTTAAATATATAAAAAAATTAAAATATTATATGATAATATTTATGACAATCGGAGATATATGTAATTGAACAAATTTATTAAAGTTACATGCAGCTACAAAATCTTTATAATATTTTCCAAAAATTTTAATCCATTCTTCAAACATAGGTAGATAGAAAAGTTTTAAATAAAAAATAAATTATATTCTAATTTAAATTTTAAAATAAAGTTTTAAAATAATATAAAGTTTTTAAAAAAATTAAAAAGGCTTGAATCTGAATTAAAATTACTTATTTTACTTTTTAAGGGATAAAGTAATTATGATTTTAATTATAAATTATGATTTTTCTCTGGAAAAATTTTTTAATTAGAAAAAGTGAATTTTTCGTGCTTTAAGCACGTTTTGTTTTAAGAATTTTCACCTGCAGTGCTAAAAAGTATTATTTTCCAACTCAATATATATTCTTGAACACATAAAATAAGAAATATTCAATTCAAAATTTACTAAAAAATATTTACAAAACTAAAAATTCCAATCATACAAAAATTGAAAAAAATGAAAAAATAAATGTTTGTATATGTAAATTTCATTTCTTAATTGCATAAATTGGTTCAAAAACATCATTGAATTTTTGAATTGACAATTGCTCAATCTGGGTTTTTATCTAAAAATAATAATTTAATTTTAATTAAAACAATTATTAAAGGAAATTTAGAAAAATTAAAATAAATTAGAAATTATTATTAATTAAATATACCTCTTCTTGAAGATGGGAATAAACCTAAAAATGATAGAAAATCAGAATTATTGTTTAAGGAGTAAAGCTCATATAATATCAAAGTTATATCTATATCCAATGCCATTTTTTTACGACAAACGTTATAAAGTTCAAAAATCTCAAGGAAATAAACAGAAAAAAATTTATTCAAAACAAAAACGAAATTCTTAATTATTTTGTTAAACAAATAAAAATATACTACCTCTACTACTTCATTTTTATCTTCAACAATTGCATTTCCAATAATTATATCCTTTGCTTTATTCCAAATAACGAAATAATAATTTTCATAATTTAATATATTTTCTTCCAATTTAGCTATTTTAGCTTTTATCTTCTCCTTTTTCTCTTTAATTAAAGCCGCATTAAATCCAATTTGAATACTATCATTAATCATCTTTTCATTTTCAATAATTGCTTTCTTTTTAAATTCAATCAAATGATCACTGAAAAATTTTCCCAAACAAATTAACATTCCAATTTTGCAGAATCGTTTAACGGCAATTATTTTCTTAAAAAATATCTAGTAAAATTAAAATAAAGAGAAATTTTTTTTTAATAATTTATCTCAATAACCAATTAATTAATAATTTTATTTTTTAAAGATTATTTTATAAAATAACCTCATTATTTTCATTATTTTCCCCTATTTTTTCTTCACTATTTATCCAATTATTACAATCCATTGCAATCTTATCTTTCAATATCTTTGATAAATAAATACCAATCTGAACACTTGCTTTGCTTAATTTGGTATATAAACGATTCAAGGCTACCCAATTAATTTTTAATAGTTTTTCTGCGTACTGTAAAAATGTTAAACATTTATTTTTTATTTAGATTTAATTTTAATTGTGCAAGCTTTCGGGCTTGGATGGGTAAATCCCGAGTCCTTAGGCTTTATTGTATTTAACTGAAAAATCAGGCCTGGACCTTATCACAAAAATTCAAACCCAGCCCACGTCCAGCTTTGAATTGATATACTAAATAACACTTAAAAAAATATTTAATATAACAAACAAATTTTATTTTATCGTGTTCTTGATTTCCCATTAATTTATTTAAATATTTAAAAATAATTTCAGCAAAATTCTCAACTTCAGTTGGATCAAATGTAATCCGTAATTTAATAAATTCACCCATTTTTTCATCCAAATTTTCTGCAGTCATCTCCTTTCCAAAAATTTCTCTCAACTAAATAATAATTATTAAATAAAAAAAACATTTAAAAATGTTGGAAAGAAACTTTAGATTTTTAAAAACAGTAATTAATTTTGTTTCTTAAGGTTTGTTGATTTCTTGAATGTTAAGTTCCGAATTATTCAGTGCCCTGACCCTAACAATAATATTAACCCATTTTATACCTTTAAATCTTTAAATTTAAGCTTTTCATCTTCCAAAAGAATTTTTCTCATTTCCTCGACAATGGGTGTCAAATGATTTTTTGAATTATTAAATCTTTGAGAAAATTCTTTTCTTGTAAATTCAATCCCTTTTATGCTTCCATTTATTGCTTTTATTATATCATCATTTTCAATAATTTTTCCTAACAAATAATTAGTAGCAGACAAAAACATTCCAAGCCGACAATAAAAATTAGCAATTTCATATTCATCATCTGCCTAAATTATTTTTTAAAATTTTTTTATATTTCTCTCTTTTTTACCTCTTCCAAATTTTCATTTTCACTATCAGTTTGAATTATTTCATCACAATATGAATATAATTTAAATGATGTTCTAGGCATGCGAGTATGAATATTTGATTCCAATAAATAAACAAGATGATGTCTCACTTCTATTAAAAGCTTGGCACTCTAAATAATTTAAAATTAATTTTTTAAATTAATACTTTGAATATATGGAAAGTCTAATTGTTGATGGTTTTTGATTATATATTTATAATTCTAATCAGAATTTTTGCTATTTTCGTATGCCTAGAACTTCTAGTGTAATTAAAATTTTTGATATATTCTATGAAAAACAAAACTGAAGAATCTTAGATTTTTTAATTTAATAAAGAATAAATGGGCTAGAAAAATAAGTCTTAACAAAAAAGATATAAAGAAATAAAAAGGTCTCCAATTAATTTCTGATTACATTGTAATAATGTGTGTACATAATAATATATGTAAATAAAAAAAATTTTACCTTATTTTTGTCTGTGAAATCTAAGTTAACATCACCAGTCAACAAATTATCCAAAATTCTGATGACCATATTTGTAAACAAATCTGCTTGGATGTGACTAACAATTATTTTTTCTGCAATTATTTGATCGTGCTCATTAAGCAATGGATCTTCATAACAATTAAGCACTTAAAGTATTATTTAATAATTAAATTAATTAAAAAAAATATTTTTACTTGAAGAAGTTGAACTGCTAGCGATCATTGATTGATCTATTGGTTGCTGAGGGTGCTGCTGTCTTGGTGTTTCTTCCACTGCGTCATTTGTTTCTATTTAAATTTAATTAATAAGTATTATTATAGGCTTAGAATTTTGAAAAAAAAATTAAATATAAAACTACCATTATTCTGATCGAATGATAAACCAAAACAACTAAAACAATCTGAAAATAGATGGAAAATTAATAAATAAACAAAAATGAACAAAACAAAGGAAAGATTGTCAGAATTACTCGAATTAAGCCAAATTAGAAATTTCTCAAAATGATCTAAACCATAATTAATTTGTTAAGAGGATATGACCAATTTAATTTAATATTTATTATAAAAACTTACTTCCTCCATAAACATTCTCAATTTGTGAGAATAAAAGAATTAAAATAGAAATATTAAAAATAATTTTAATATCCATTTTTGAAGTATGCTTCTTCTCAGAAAAAGGATAAATATTTATTTATTTATATTTGGGAAAAGCTAAACATTCAATTATATGTTGATGTTTAAAACATGTGTAACTATTTCTTATATTTATAAAAAATTAACCGGAAAACAGTATATATCCGTTAAAATATTTTTAAGGGTAAAAGTGCATTCATTATGTAAAATCAAATAAAAGTGCTTTACACTTACAAATTAATTTCACTTCCTTTAAATAATTTAAATGAATGCCAATCAGGGAAATTAAGAAATACTAAAACACATGCTAATGTGAAAAATTGAGAGGAAGTTTGTTAGGAAATGCCTTTAGAATAAAGTGCATCGGAAGATATTTGATTTTTTTGTTAAATAAATAAAGGTTGTTGGATTCTCGAAAATTTTCGAAAATCTGAAAAACAATCATTACAAACCTTGGAAATCTCAAAAACTAAGGTTGTTATTACAACTTTTTTGTTTTTCTATCTAATTTGATTTTATTTTTTACTTTATTTTTATGTCTTTATGAACAACTTTTTTTTAAACACTTTAAATATTTTTTTAAAAATTAAATATTATTCTAACGATCAAGAATGGAGTTCCAGATTATTAATAATTCCTTTCACTTACATTAATATATAAATAGAAAAATTAAATTTAAATTAAATATTTTTTGTTGTTTTACCTAATTTATGTTTATAAATTTTGTTAGAACAGAAGAATTAAATCATTTAATTATTTAAATTTTAAATAACATAAAAAAACTAAATAAAAATTCTAATAAAAAATTATTTAAAAAAAAATAAATGCTTTATTTCAAAAAATTTATAAAAACATACATAATTATCAAAATTACAAAATTAATTTTATGGAAAAAAATTTTTAATAGAAATTTTTTACAATGTTTTAAATTTGTTTTAAAAATTGTATATTTTGAGAATTAAATAAACACTATATTTCCTGAAATACCCGCTACCCTTGGGGTAGTTCAAAAATTATTTCAGGAAATAAGCAATAAAGCTACAAAAATGGCGAGAGAAGGCGAAAAAAGGATTTTAAAAATTTTTTAATTTTATTCCTTTTCTTTCCTTCTTCCAATTTCTTCACAATCTTCTCTTTGTTGCAATACAAATTGTGTTGTTATATCATTTTCCAAAAGTGGCAATTTTTGTTGTTCTACACTTATTTTTTGTTGTTTTTCTTGACTTTCTGCATCATTAGAAGAATAATCAAAATCTTCTTTTGCCCATTCTTGAACTTCGGCACTAGCAAAGAATGAAAATATTAATGCCCCAACAACCAAAATAAATGCTGTAACATAAAAAACAAGTAGCCATTCCTCTTTTGAACCCTTCAAAGTAAATATATTTTCTAAAATAATTCTCTATATTCTCTTACATTTGGTGTTAACCACCCCATAATTATTGGTGATAAAAGGCCCGCCAAGCATGACAAAGTATTGCCAATTCCAAGAACAAATCCTGACAATTCTGGGCAAATATCCATATAATTAACAACAAAACCGGCATATTGAAACCCAGAAATTCCAGTGGAGAGAATTAGTAAAAGAATTACCTTAAATAAATAATTTTAAATTAAAATTTAATTTATTTTTCTAACTAAATTGTGTTGATGACATCCACAATAGCCTATAGCAACAAGCATTAAAGCCTGCCCTCCATAGGCTATCAACATGGCTAAACGACGACAATTTAATGTTGAGAAAACACCTTTTTGTTGGAGTTTATCGGCAAACTAGAAAAGTAAAAAATTTATAATAATTATTATTTTTGTACTAACATGTCCACCAATATTTATAAAAGCAAAATATGCCAAATATGGAAGGGCAGACACAATTCCCATCTAAATTTATTTGATATTTAAAAACAAATTTTTTAAATTACAGATGTTAGTTGCAATCCTAAAACATCATTTAAAAAGGATGGAATGCCCAAAGCCATTGTATATGAACCTAAAAATAAATAATTTAAAATAATAATTAAATAGAATTTAATTACCCCAATCACCAGCAAAATGTCCAATAAAAATTGCCCAAACTGGTTTGGACGTTAAAATTGAATAAAGAGGAATTGGACGTCTTTTAATTTCGATAGGAGAATTATTTTCCTTTAAATTATATTTTTTTCAAATTTTCGAAATTTAAAAACTTTATTTTTCCCCAAACTTTCAAGAATATATTCTCTTTCATTTTCTTTAATTGTTTTATGTTTTTGTGGAGAATCAGCACCAATTAAAAACCAAATTAAGCACCAAAAAAGTCCAATAGCTCCAAACAAATAAAATATTGAAGGCCAACCACCATCAAGACCATGTCGACATAATAAACCAGAAAGGGGCATTACAAGCATATTTCCAACTTGAGCACCAGCATAGCTTAAGCCTGTTAGAATACCTTTAAAAAAATAAATATATTATTTAACCTTATTTAAAAAATACCTCTTTCCATTGGAGGCGCCCATCCAGACAAAAGTGAGTGCATAGCTGGGAATATAACACCCTAAATCAAAAATAAATTAATTATCATTCAATTAAAAAATTACTTGTGTAAATCCAAGTAAAGCTCTTATTGAAATAAAAATAGCAACATTAAATCTAGCCATTCCAGGTGAAAGTATTGAAATTAAAGAAGAGGCTAATACAGCAACAAACAAAACAATTTTAGCCCCAAATCTTCCTGCCAAAATTCCCCCCAACATTTGGGAAGTTAAATAACCAAAGAAAAAAGCCCTTAAAATAATTATTTAAATTTAAATTTGAAATTAAATTAAAACCCAAGTATTTGGCCCTGTAATTGTTTGGACCAATCAAATTCTCCTATTATTATATCTGCAGCACCAACATTATTAAATTCTTGGAAATTTGTGCCATTTAAAGATGGCTGAAATTTAAAACAAATTTTAATTAGAGAAATATATAATAATTTTAAAAATTTAAAAATTATTGTTGTCTTTAAGGAAAGTTTAAATTAAAATTTAAAAAAATATTCTTGCTGAATAAAACGTTAAATATTGTTTTATATTATAACAAGCTTCAGGAAGGTCCGGGTACTGGTTCTTGAGTTCTGAGTTTTTTGCACAAAACTCAAAACTATTATATATTAATATAATGTAGGGGACCTAGTGTTAAGTTGATATAAGTGTAAGTATAAATTAAATATAGGTACTTATTAAAAAGTATTTACTGACAATTAAAATAAAAATATAAATTAATTTAATTAATTTATTTAAAAATAACCTCAGAAATTTCATTAATTTTAATATTATTTAATTCTCTTCGTTGTCTTTGTGCAATAATTTCTTTTTCATTATTATAATTATTATTACATCCATATATTTTTGTTTTATTCTCTCCCACACCATCATCCTTAACCATACAAACAATTGCAAAACTTAAATTTGACCGAAGACTGTAAATAATTGCACATCCAAAAAAACACAAAAAAGCAATATTTAATCGAGTAGAACCTAAAAGACGGGGATTTGAAGTTGAGGAAGAAGAATTAATTTCAATTTTTGCTGTCATTTTTTAAAATTATTATTGTTGATGTTGTTGTTATGGGATTAGTTGGTTTTTAAATTAAGTATAGAAAAATTTGAGAAAATTATTTCAAAAAATATTTTTATTGGAGATTGGATATGCTAAAAAATTTTAAATTAAATTTTTATTTTTTTAAATTATTTTAAAAAATAAATTAAAAATAAACAAAGGATTTAAAAAAATATTTTCGAAAATATTAAAAAATATAGTAAATTATTTCCAGATTTTTATTGAAAAATAAAAAAGTTTTAGTAGTTTTAAGGCAAATTAAATGTGAGGAAGTAATTTTAAAAAAATATTAATTATAATAAAAATTAAAAAAATACATTAATTATATGTATTTGGAGTTATATTTAATTTAAAAAATTGGAATATTCCAAAACACAATAAAAAAATAAATATATTTTTTGTGTTTTGTTTTCAGAAAAAAATTTTAAAAAGAATTTTTAAATGCTAAATTTAAATGAATATTTACAAAAATATTATTCTTCTTTTATTTCCCTCTTTTTAGAAAGGCAACAACAGACAAGCACTACCGCCCACCTCATTTGGCGCGTATCCAAATGCTTCTTAGCGTCATGCTTATACTAATATGCATGATGCAATAATTTTTTAAAAGTAAATAAAAAAAAATATAGTGCAATTTAGACTTTTAAATAATTAAAAAAATAAAAAAATTTATATAAAATAATTTTTGGAATTAATTAAAATTTAATAATTTATTTTAAAAATAATAATAAATTATTTTAAAAATACAATTTATTTTTAATTTTTCTAAAAAACAATTAATTTTCTATAAATTAATTTCTTAATTTTCAAAAAAAATAAATTCAGTCTTATTTTTAATTTTAATTAATTACCTCATTTATTTTCATTTTTCTCCTTTTTTGGGAAATAGACGATTTTTGGTAATTTATTTGGCTGACGCAAGCCTACTCAATCTTATGACTACCAAATTCACGAGTTTTTCATTTAAGGATTTTATTTTTATCCGAAAATATTTTCAAGCTTAAACTTTTTTCTATTAAATAATTATTATATTTTTGAAATTTTAAATTTCAGAAATATTAATTAATTAAAATTCCAAACTTTTATTTTTTAAAAGTATATTTAGAGTGTTTATAATTTATATAATATAAGTAGCCGGAAATATAATTAATATTTACTCATAATATGTAATAGAGGTAATATTAAAGAAATATTCAATCGGAATTAAATTAATTATCTTTAGAAAAACAGAAAAATCATTTAAAACGGAAATAAATTAAAATATATTTTATTAAATTAACCTTTTTAAAGTTCTCTGATTTTTTATTTTTTATATATTCTCAATGATCACAAAATTAGAAAGTAATTTATTAAATGATTAAATTGTTTTGATAGGCAATTAAAAATTAAAATAAAAAAATTATAAAAAAAGATAAAAATAAATATTAATTTGCAAATAAATTAAAGGAAATAAATATAAAAATAAATATGATCGTTATTTTTTATTAGATGAACTAATTTTATTATTATTATTATAATAATCATAGAGGACGATTAGATATTAACTTAAAGTTTAATAAATAAATATTTAAACAATTAAAACTTCAAAAGTCCAAGAAATCCAAGCCTAATGACATTTCTAAATTCACAACTATTAAAGACACAGAAATTTTAGAAAAAACGTTAACTATTAAATAAAATTTGTTAAAACAAATTTTACTCATTAAACTACATAAAAGAAGTATGTTTAAACCAAAAAATGTCCAAATTAAAAATAGATATTCCAATATACATATCCTCAATTAATCTTTCTATTTTTATCTTCAAATTAATTTAATCGATTCTTGGATAAACTTTTTTGGCTGAAAATTAAAAAAAGAGCAACTGCTCGATTAAATCAATGTGTGAAATACATGTGGAATAATTTTTTTTATGAAAGCGGAAATTGGAGTTGGACTTATAATGCACTCAAATAAAAAATGAAATTATATATAAAATGTAGAGAGAAAAATAATGAGAAAATAAATACATCATAAGTCTGTCTATCAATGAAAAATAATGGAGAGGATATTAAATTGTAGACAAATTATAATAAAATAATGTGGAAACAAAAAAAGTTTTTATTGGATTTTATCCAAAAAATTATTTAAAATTCTAGTCTCTAATTTTTAAAATAAATTAGGGAGATAAATACTAAATTATATGTCGAAGTAAGCAAGAAATAATGAGAGAATTTGAAATAACAAACACAAAATAGTATTTTTGATTTTTTATATTCGTGTCTTAGGTTTAATAAAAAAAATAAATAATAATTTACTTCAATAAAAATTTCAAATAATTATTTAAAAAATTTTTTTATTTTTATAAATTGTTGCATCATATTTTTATTAGTAAGTCAAATGACACTCCTTCCATTCAATTCCTCATTTAATTTACTCACCCACGGAATGAAAAATAATATTGTGGATGAATGAGAGATGATGACATTTAAATGGTTAAAATTTTGAAAAAAATGATTTTTAGTTGAATAATAAATTTGAAAAAAAAATCCTTGAAAAATTTTGAATAAACAAGAATAATTTTAATAAATTAATTAAAATTATAATTACATATAACAATTAGTATCGATAGAAACGTATTATAAATGATTTTATTAATCACAAAGGTGAGGCTCAGTTTCGTGAAATCTCTCCCATAATTGACCAATATTAACCTTGTATTTTATTAATAAATTTTTTCAATAGGTAAATTATTCAAAAATGTTTCCAAAAATGTTCTAAAAAATGTTCCCTTTGTTAAAAACACAAAGGATTATTTTTTAAAATAATATATACATAAATACTTGAATCATTCATTTGTGTATTACTAGAGCCAGGATTTTTAGGCACGATAAAGTTAAAAATAGGCGCCTATACAGGCACTAAAAACTGCCAAAATAGGCACTGATCCGAAAAAAATGCAAAATAGGCAGGATTTTTTCGAGATTTTCTGATTTAAATTGACTAAATTTTATCAAAAAAGATAAAACTAACTGTTAAATAAATTAATTTTGAAAAATAACACCGGATTTGAACGTTTCAGCATCAGGCCTATCTAGGAAAAAACGGGCATTTGCCTAAAAATCCTGGCTCTATTTATTACCATTCCCAACTTTTTTGAAAAAAATTTCTACTTATAATTCTTAACAATTAAAAAAAATATAAAAATTATTTAAAAAAATAAAAGTTGAGGAAATTTAGAGAAAATAAAATAATAATTGATATTGAAAATAATAGTTTAATAAATTTATTAATGAAAAATAAATAAATTATTTTTAAAAAATGATAAGAGAAAATAAAGGAAATGTTGTGGAAATTAAAATATTTTTTGAATTATAATCACTGATAATAAATAATTTTTTAGATAAATTATTTGGGGGGATTCCTTTATTTTTATATAAATTTTAAATTAAAAATTTAAGAAAATTTAATTTTTAATAAGGAATTAAATTAAATTTTGAAAAATAAATAATCGGTTTAGAACTAAAATGTTTAAATACAAAATATAGACAGGATAATCCAAACAAAACACAAAAAATAATTGATAAAAAGATTGGAATGTTTTACTCTTTTTGTGTAAAGAAATGAATATATTTTTATTTAAATATAAAAATATTAAAAAAAAAGATTTATTAAAATATGTATTTTATTTTAATTATTTATTAAATCTGTACCAGACAATGAAAGAAAAAAATTCCAACAATTTATTGTAAATAATTCTTTTTAATTAAAATTCAAAAAAAAATCTGGCCAACTTTTAAAACGTTGTTTATTTGTTTTATGATCTAAACTTTAGATAAACACAAAAATTAACAAAAAAAACCAGACAAAATTATTTTTTACAATAAAAATAAAAATATAAGCACCAATAATTTTTGTTTGTTTTAATTTTTTATTTAATTCTTTGTAACTAAATAAACAATTTACTATATTTTTATATTCAAATAAATAACTGATTTATATCATAAAGATATTTTCACATCCCTATCTCAATTCTTGTCTCATATATTTTTGTTAATTTTAGCCTTTTCTGTGTCATATTAGTATATGTATATGGCCTCTATTCACTATCAGATTTCGCCTACCAAATTCTCTACTTTATTGTTCATGTTTATTTAGAGAATAAACAAAGAAATGGTATAATCTAATTTAGTTAGTCACGAAATATAAGAACTGATCACCCTCAAATCACTTCAAGTTAATCAATCCTAATAAATTATTCAAAAATTTAAAAAATAATTCATAGATAATATATTTAAATTATCCCCAAATTACTTTTAATTATTTAATTCTTTCTTTTTAACTTTCTTTTAAAATAAAATTTAATTAATTATTTTATTTTCTTCCAAAAATTTTTTTCTCGAGTTTGGCCAATTTCCTCTTTCATTTTTTTCGCTGCAAAAAACGAGAGAACATCAATTTCCTCAATTCCTTAAGCTTTAAAATTATAATAAAAAATATTTCAAATATCAGCTGACTTTTATTTAGTTTTATCGTTAATTCATTAATCATTCAAAATTTAAAAAGATAATTTGAATTTACAAAAAATAATTTATATGTATTTATTAGAGATTAAGTAAAGAGTAGCTTTGTGAAATATTATATGAAATTTTTAAAATTTATTTTTCATAAAAAATATTTTATTTGGTAAATTAATTTTATTAGTTTTTTAATTAAATTTTTGAAAACACTCATTATATTTTTCTAATTGTTTTTTAAAATTAAATCCCTTAGAAATAAATTTAAAAAAATCTTTATTTCTAAAATTTAAAATTTCTTTTTTCTTTTAATTTTGATTTCTTTAATTTTTAATCTTCCAATTTATTTCCAAATTCCTTCCCTAAAATTCCAAACTTTTAAAATAATTGGCAACACACAAACCTTTTATTAATTTTTCCACTTTTCTTAAGTATAAAAAATTTTAAACATTTGTCTCTAAAAATTAAATTCCAGACAAATATATTCCTTCCAATTAAAAGATAAATGATTGTTTAAATATTTTTGTGGCCGAAAAGAAAAAAAGAAAGTCTTGAGGCTTTTTTATTTAATTTTTATAAAGGTGAGAAGAAAACACAAACAAATAATTTTTTAAAGAAAAAATTCCCTATCAAATATCAATTGCCAAAAGGAAAAAAATAAAAGCAGCTGATCTTCAAATAAAAATTTTACTTTTAAAAGTTCAAAATAAATTGTAATACTTCTTTTATTGATGAAAAGTAAAATATTCTCTTTTAAAATTATTTTTTAAAATTATTTTCCTTTTTAAATTTAAAAGGGTTTTAGATTTTAATTTTAAATATTCAAAATATTTATTTCTTTTTTTTAAATTTTACTCAAAATAAATTTAAAACCCCCTACCTAATAATTATTTTAAAATTTAAGTGACGAGTATTTTCTTTTGTTCAGAAGAATTTCAATTCCTATTTTTACATAAATAATTAATTACTAAAAACGTAAAGAAAATTAAAAGAAAAACTAAAATGACATTTTGCCTTAAAGCTTTAAATTAAATTTTCTAAGCTAAATAAACGGACAAATAATATATTTATTTATTTATTTACATCTATTGTCCTTTAATTATATTTTATTTATTTTATTATTTCCATTCCATTCCTTCACAAAATTTTTCTTTTTTTTTAATTTCCTTTTTGTATTGTTCGGATATTTAATTTAAATTAAATAGTATGTAGTAAATTCTGCCAAATAAAATAAAAAATAAATAACTATGTATAATAGTGAAAAAGCCTTGCAGTCTTTGAAAAATAAAAATATGATTAATTTATTTTAAAATATTTTATATAATTTTTATGTTCAGAACTTAGTAAACTTCGAAAACCTAGTATTAAATACCTCCCTTTAATATAGACTCTCTTTAAGAGTATATCTCTCTCGAATTAAATTTATATTAATTTTTTGTTTTTTCGTGGGTGTTTAGAAAATATTTAGAAAATAACTTTAAAAATTCTTAATTTAAAGTCTTGTAAAAAAACTCTTCGCTAAATCAGCTGAAAAATCAAAATTTAAAAAAATTGAAAAAAAGGTTTTCAAAAATTATATTTTTAGTGTCAGATTTCTCCATGTCAATCAAAAACAAAATAAAAAATAAAAATTAGTGGATATGATCAATGATTTTTATAAATAAATGGAATTTGAACTAGACTTTTGTTATTTTAAATAAAATTATTAAGAAGAAATTTGTCTAGAGGATATTAATTACATATTTACATTATTTATTTTTAATTTTTGTTAAGCACTTTAGGAATGTAAAAATTTAATATCCAAATAAATAAATTTAAAATATAATAAATTTAATATCCATTCAAAATAAATATTTATTTAATATTAATTCAAACAAAAAATTTTATTTTGGACTTTGCTCGTCTTTTTTTCCTCCATTCTCATGTCTCTCCATTAATTTTGCTACGCCTTCCTGCATATATCCAATCTTCAATAGTACATACATTTTTTAAATTAATCTATCTTCAAGCATTACTTTTTTGCCTTCCTTTATTTTAATTTCCTGCAAGAAATTGTAGTTCCTTGCTTAAATTTCTGGAGGCGGAGAAAGGCTAAAATGCAAAAAATACCTTTTATTTTTTTATTCTTTATGCCTTGATAAAAGTTACTTCCCCATTCTCTCCCTTTTCATTTATTTTTCCATCAATTACATAATAGCATTTTTACTTTGGCACATTTAAATTTTTTTGAATTTATTTGTCAGTTTTTTTAGAAAATTTATTTTCAAATTTTTGTCTGGTTTTTTAAACTTTTTTTTTGTTTAAATTAACAAAAAATATTCCAAGTTTTTCTCACTTTACGCCAAATTAATTTTCTTTTTACTTCAAAGATAGGCTTTATTTTTAGTTGTCCCCAATGAGTATATTTATTTCTTCATTATTTTATTGTTTCAAAAACAAAACTAAATAAAAAGCAATAAACGAAGAATGTACTTTTAGAAAGGCTTTATTTTAATTGAACTTTTATTGAATTAAAAAAGTGATAAATATAAGTCCAAAGTTTATTTTTATATTAAGATTAAAAAATATTTTAAAATATTCATTCAAAAATAGAATTTCATCAAAATAAAATTATTATTAAAATTTAACAAAAAAAGAGAGAATGGCACTTATTTATGCTTCAGCAGTCAATAGAAGAATGAATGCATTACAGAAGAAGAATTCAGCGGATATAACTCCCCATTCACACAATCAACATTTTGAATTATTTCAACATTGTAAACAACGTTCAAATGAAGATTCTGCTATACCCAATGTTTTTAATGTTTTGAATAATGATAATAATGGTGGTGGGGGTGGAATTAATGAAAAGAAACAATATAGGTAAATAAATTAGTTATTAAACTTTTCCGATGTCAATATGGATTCGATGAGATTTCCTTTACTATATCAAATTTAAAATTTTTTATTAATGACAATAAGTGACCATAGATTAATTTTAGAATCTAATATATATTTAAATAATTTTTAATAATTAAATATCTTAATAAAAATTTTCTTTCTTTAAAATTTTTTCAATATAAATTTAGAAAAATGTCAAATGCAAAAAATAATACAAATCCACATCCTATAACTAATGGAACTAACGGAAGTGACGTTTTTGGGGGAAATGACGGGAGTACTATAACAAAAACTACTAATACAAATAGTGGAGGAAGTACTAATTCTAATTGTAGTAATAATAAAGCTGCAGCCCTTTTACAATTTCAACAGCAATTATTACTTCAACAACAACAACAAAATAATCATCAGAAAAAGGGGTTAATAAATTATCTTTATTATGAAACAAAGGTTGAAAAGGATTTGCTCTGAAAATATTTTAAAATCTTGAAGTTTTTGGGATTTTTTGGAGTGTTTGATTTTTATATCCATAATCATTATTATAAGATTTTTTTTAAATTCATTGAGGACAATCAATTCCTTTATTTTAAAGTACCCAAGCACGTGATCAATTAGCGGCATTATTTAATCGCCTCGTTGTTGATGATTCAACACCCCGTTCCCGTCCTCATCGTAAAATATCTACTCCCGTAATGGCACAAAGTATGACTGCATCTATGTATGGAAATATGAATGGAGAAAAAAGTGGGGGAAGAAGAAACAGCAAAAAAGTTTAGACAGAAAATAATTTTTTAAATAATTATTTTTTTCTAGAGTAGTAAGCCGAATTCGCCAATTAGTCCAAATAATGATTCAAAGGGACATTTTTTTGCAAAGTTTGGTAAAGCAATACGCCGTAGAAGCGTTAGTGCTGATGAATCTATGTTTCGAAAAGTAAGTAAAGAATTTTCGAAAAAATTCTTAAAAAATAAAATTATTTTTTTAGAGAGTCGGTACGGTTTCATCGATAGATTCCTCTCAGGGAGGTGAAGAAAGTTTATCTCCAAATACCCGTTCAAGAAAGACTAGTGCTTTGAATCGAATGAAAGAACGTTTAAATAAATGGAAAATATCTGGATAAATTTTAATATTAAATAATTAATGATCTCATTTACGGGAATTTAAAAGAAAATTTTTTAAAATTATATATATATTTGTTAGATGAAAATATTTTTTGTATTAAAAAATGGAGGTATTCGATTTTTTTTTGATTTTATTAAATTTGATTATTGTAATACCTTCATTTTTCAATTATTAATTAGTTAAACTTAAATATATATTTGTCAAATCTCCTGCTAGAATCGGTTCTGATATGTATTTAAAAACACATATTTTTATTTCTAGAATTATTATTAATAATATTAAAATTACAAACATTATTATTAGGAGGAAGTATCCGACCCTTCTATTAAAAGCCGATTATAACGGGTTATGTATTAGGGTTTCACCGGAAGTTCCGGTTCAGGAAAGTTCCGGTGTTTTTTTGGTTCCAGTTTCGGTCAAAATTTCGGTTCCGGTGAAACCCTATTAAGTATATACATATAAGTACTATATATTTTTATAAAAATCTATATTTATGCTTTATCTACTCGATTAATTACCCCTCTAACGAGGAAAAAATATTTACTCAGAGTAATTAATCGCGTAAATTCGGTGTAAATACTACCTACATATTTTTCTTCCTTTCCCATTCCTTCATTATTTTCTTTTACCTATTTTTGTTTGTAAAACAGAAATTTAATAAAATAAATTAGTTTATACATATGTATTAATTAAGGTTTATTAAATATTTTTAAATTTTATTTTAAAAATAAAAATCTTTATTTATTTAAAAAATATCCCTCCAATTTAGTCCAATTCTTGATAGTAAAAGAGAAACTTTCTTTTATTTCCTGAATATCCGCCCCCAAGGGAAAATTATGGCATCAACAATGTGAAAAAAGAGTTTTTAGTTTTGTCGAAGCTTTTATCCACTTTAAAAAATTTTTCTTGAATTTTTGAAGAATTTCTCTTATTATTTAACAAAAAAGAGAATGTGTTAAAGGACTTAAAAGAATTTTAATTTTAAATAAAAACTAAATAAAAGAACAAAAGATTTTGGACAAAAAATATATTTATGTAGTGGTAGGTAATTAATTAATCAGTCTAATATTGATCATATACTTTCCCTATTTTTTATTTAATCTTTACTTTAAATTACACAATTTAATAAATAAGTTAACTAAAAAACAATTAAAAATTATTATAGAAATTTTACATATTTTTTAAAATTAATTTTAAATAATTCAAAATTAATTTCTCTTTCAATTCAATATCAACAAATTTTAAATTTTCATCATTTATTAATCGAGAATTACAAATTAGACTTTTTGGATGGCTTTTATTGGCAATTTGGATATCTGCTGTAATTTATATGACAAGATCTTTTTGGCTTGGAAATTTGGAAGAAGAGGAAGAAGAAAAGGAGGAGGAAGTAATAATAATTAAAACTAATAATTTTGAAATTGAAAGAAAAAATAAAATTAGAAAAAGTATTTAAAAATTTAATTTATATATTTTTTTAAATAAAAAAATATTTTGTAATTAAAGTAAATAAAATATTTATTTTATTAGAGATGCTCCTTGTATTTCTTATAATTAAATAAGATTTAAAAATAACAATAGAGCAACTCTAATAATCTCAATTCATTTTCGTTTCCCTCCAAAAGGATTTTTAGCAATACCCCCGCCCAAAGGATTATTTGAAGGATTTGTCATTTCGTGAGCTGTTCCACTACTAAGTTCACTTGTTCGTCTATTTCCATAATTATTATTATAATTAACAGAATCAACACCCGTTTGTTTTCTTTTTGAAACTTTTTTGTGCGCACGAGTTAACAAAAAGGTTAGGAACTTGAAAGACAAAAAATTTTGTTTTAAAGATTTTTTAAATAAATTACTTGAACAATAGAAAGTGCTGATAGTCCCAACCAAACACCAGTAGCCCCACCAATTTGAGATAAAAATTTAGTAAAAGACCAACGATCTTGTTGAATTAATCGAAGATATTCAAAAGCACCCCAACTTAAAGTTAACTGAACTTCCTCTAAAAATAAAGGAATTTTTTCTTAAACATTTTTCTAAATAAATCACGTGGATGTAAAGCTGTTTTATGTGTAGTAGTTAATTCATATCTAGTTTGTGTACATTCTGGGGCACATTGATCTACACATTTTGTGTCCCATTCCTTAACCTCTTTACTTTCTGTTGAATTACTTTAAAAATTAAAAAGTTAATCAAAAAATATATTCAACTAATTACCCAATCTCGCATAGCCCGTAATCACATAATGGGTAATTATTCAATTCCTTAGGATCATAAACAAAATTTGCAAGTGAAGGTGCTGTACAATTACATAATTTCTATTTAATTTTTAATTAAAAATTAATTTTTTTTAAATTAATTTACTCTTATTAATTCCATTCTACACCTTCTAAGGCAATCCAATTCTGAATTTGGACTATTTTCTTTTTGTTCGTATATTTGGCATCGTTGCTCTATTGGAGCGTCAGGGTCGGGTAAAATTGTTGTAATTGCCCTTATTTCTATTGTCGATTCAAAAGTATCTCCAATACATAACTTTTAAATAATTTTTAATTCTAAATTTTCAATTAATACTTGATTAAAATATCCATCATTTGCACGTCCTTTTCCCATCATATAACGAGTCTCATCTGAGGGCCTTCCATGAACATCAACAGACATACAGTCAAGGTCATCAACATTACCAAAATTGTAAATAATGTTCATAACAAAGAAGGGTTCCTAAAATAATTAGGATTTGGGTAAAATTTATGATATTCAAAGATAGTAGAAAGGGCTTCAAGAAAGCATAGTTAAGCCGTATCGGAATTCGGTATCGGGATTTATCTCTCGACCTGGATTCAAAAAAATCGGTATAATACAGCCCGATTCCGGTTGTGATCCTGATACCGCTTAACCTTACAAGAAGATAAATTAGTGCCTGATCAGCAATTGGAATAAAAGAATCTTGATCAAAATGTGGTTGGAAGCAAAGTTGTCTTGTTGAAAGCCAAGTAATTTTGACATCATTTTTTATTTTCTTTTGTTCTTTGTTTACATCTAAACGTTCAAAACGATGTTGGGATCTTTTTTAAAATATAAAATAATTTTTAAAAATTTTGAGAAAACCTTCTTAAAGTTTCCCATCCAACTTTTTGTCTAAAATCATCAAAAGAGACTTTTCTTTTAGCTATTTCATTCAACCATTTCTTTTTTTTTAGATTAAAATTAAAATTTAAAATATTTTTATTTATTTTTACTTTAATTCTTTCTCTAACTTCTTCCTTTACAGGATTTTTCCCCAAATTATTTATGGAATTAGAAGCCCCTTGTGAAGATAATTCTTGCTCAATTGTACCAAGAAGAGAGATAACCAAAAATTAAAAAATAATTATTTTAACTAAATTAATTAATTAATTAACTAAATAAGCATCCATAACCATTTTATAATCCCACTCATTATTAAGAAATGTTGCCGAATCTGGCATTTTAGATAATCCTTCCTAAAAATAATTAAATTAAATATATTTAGAATTTGTGTTTTTACTTCAGTAGCGTTATATAGGTCTTGACTAGTTAGTCCCGTTTGATTAAAATGACTCCAAGCATTGTTTTTTGACATACAAAATGTTATGTTTGGCATTGTCATTGATGCATTAAAATCTTTAATTTAATTAAATAAATAAATTTTTTATTAATTTTTAAATTTTTAAATTTCATTATTAAAGATAATGGATGAGAGAGAATTAGCACTTATAATTAATAATAAAGTAGCTATTTCTCTCCTTTAGTTAATCGGCGGCTGGGAGCGAACCAGCGTCTTCAGTAAATCGGAATGATGTGTTATTTATTCACCACGCCGCCTATTACACAGCTTAGGAATTAAATAGCTATATGCTTTGCATTAAAAGAATTATTTTTAAAATTTACTCATTTTCATATCAATTTCCTTGTTGTCTGTAAAGTAACATATAATCTTTAATTTTTAATTTAATTTAAATATTTAATTTTCCCAAACCAATTTCCGAACATCAATAATTGTTAATCCAAATAAAAATAACAAAAGAATATAAAAGGTTAATTGACGAAATCTATTATCTTTAAATAAACCCCCACAACAATTTCTTAAGAAAGAAGAAGCTTTTCTTCCATTATTTAATGGACGGAGGCCGGGATTGTTGTTTTGAGTATTTTTTAAATAAACCATTTTTAAATTTCTTGTTAATTAATTTAAAATTAAGATTTTTTAATTTTCATTAAGGAATTAATTCTTACAAATTTCCTCTATATACATACAATAAATAGTGATTGGTACCCAGGAAATGAAAAAACAGAATTTTGAAAAATGTTTAGATATGAGGTAAAGACTTAAAAATTTCTATACTCCCCCGTTTTTTTTTGCGTTTCTCGCAAATGCAAAGGATTTCTCTTCACGTCCTGAATTCTAGTACTAAATTATTTTATGTATATTTTGAGATATTTAAAATAAAATTTAAACAAAAAATATATAAAAATTTAAAAGTTTTAAATTAAAAAGAAAAGTGAATCAAATCAAAATCAATTCAAGCATAAATAATAAATAAAAACATAAAAAGAGAGAGAAAGTTTAACTATTTTTTGTGACGTTCTTAAAAGAATTTTTTTCCTTTCTCGCGCATTTCTCTTTAAATTAAACGGCCATAACTTTTTACATTAAAAATTAACAAATAAATTAAAAAACAATATCTTCATGTGATTGGCCAATTTTCTTTTTTTTGTTTAAATTAATTAATTTAGGTCAAATTTAGACAAATAATGTTCTTTTCTATTAAATAATTTATTTTTAAATTAAATAAAAATAACTGTTGATTTTAATTAAAAATATAGAAGATTTAATTTGTCGAGTAAGAAGGGAATTAAAATTAACTTTTAATGTTAAGTTAACAATATTGAATTTAAAAAATATATGGAATTACTCGACTTCGATATGTAGATTTCATTTTCGTCTTCGTACTTCCCCTTACTTGGGAGACGTGAAAACAATTAAAATTTTTATGATTTTTTCGGTTATCAATTTCTTTTTAAATGAGTGAATCTTTAGCCAAATCTCAGTGTAATATTCTTTTGTGTCGATCGAAAAATTTTGAAGTTTGTTTTCATGAAAATTTAAATTTTAAATATCGCACTTATTGTAATGTCTGTGTCTGGAAAAAATTATATTTAAATTTGTTCATATTTGAATTTTACCTTCTTATTTTGCACTTTTTAACCGCATTATAATGATCTTGCTTGTATATTCCTATGAAATAAATTTATATTATTATTTTAGGCTCATCTTCAGTAAATCTCTATAATTTAGCTTTCTATATTAAAACTCGGACATTTATGAAGGCAATAAAGAAAAATTATGTAGACCCGTTTCTGCCTTATACTGTAAATATTTTAACATAAACTTATTCATATTATTTATAGCATAATAATTTTTTATTTCACAGAATTGGATAAATAAAATTTTTAATTTATTTTATTAAATATTTTCTTTCGTTTTCGTTGTCTTATCTAGAACATTTGATTTTTTATACTTTATTTACAATTAATTAATTTGTCACATAGTAGGGAGTGAACAAATAATTTAGTAATTCTTTTTATCAAAATTTAAAAATTCCACTTCTTTTCAAAAAAATTTTCAATAAATTAATCAAAAATTTATTTTTTTACCATTTAATTAGCTTTTTTGTTATCATTTTGTTTACATTTAAAATAAATTAAATAAAAGCAATAATACCTAGCTTGGAACATTGTACTTTAATACTACAAATAAATATACAGATAAATATTTTTAATATTTATTATCAAAAAAAAATTATTTTATTTTGTATAATTAATTTGTAAAATTTTTTTTAATAATCTTATCATGATTAATTACAAAATTTAATTTTTGTATATTCAAGATATTTAAATTAAATAATATTTAACTTTGGTTAAAAATAATTTTGATTTAGTAAATTTTCGTACTAATTTTTAACTGTGTAATTTTAAATAACACGTGACAAAAAATTAATTACTAATAATATATTTCATTAAATGTACATAATCTCTTCTGTGATAAAACAGTGATAAAAGGAATGAACCAAAAATTAAAATATTTCGTTTAAACACAATCTATACTTTTTTGTATCAAATTTTCTAAGGATTTACGTCACATAATACAAAGCTACACTATTTTTTATTAACATTATTTGTTATCAGTAAATAATCTTAAAAGATCAATTACCGCTCATATGACTTTTCTCCTAAATTTTTTCCATTATCTACATACTTACTCTCCCATTTGTTTACACATACATTACATAAACCACAATTATGAAATATTTAAACCGTTATCATTTTCCAATAATTCCCTTTTTTGCTCCTCATTTTTATTAATATTTCACAAAATATTAAGGAATAAATTAATTTTAAATTTTAGTTTTATATATTTTTTTTGGCTATATTTAAAAGCCAAAAAAGAAAAAAGAAAGTTTTTTCATCGAATGCTACAAACCTGCTGTGCGATTAGTCGCAAACATTCCTCACAAGAGAGGAAATCCTCACAACAATCGTCAATTTCTGTCGATGAGCCTTCACCCACAGAAGACAAAAATCTTGGACTTTTGGACTACTCTAATTTAAATCTTGAGTAGGTTTTTTGTTTGTTGGGGAATACCTATAGAAGTCTTTTCTCTGAAGTTCTGAGGGAGGTTGTGAATCTTGGTCAAATGATTATTAGTGGGGCAATGTCCTTTGAGAGAAATCCTCCCCCTTTTTCAGTTAATTCCAAGCACATCCATTAATAGCATTTAATATTTTTTATTAAATTTTCAATATCAACATATAAGTTTAGGATGGACCAAACCGGAGCCGAGTCAGAAAAATGATCGGCCGAGGTATATCCTTTTAGTAAAATTATTATTATATGTATATTTATATTTCAAATAAAAATATTTTTAGGCAATTTCCATTAGAATTAATTTCGACAGAAGATCGTTCTCTTGAAGAACTTAAACATTTAATTTTGGATGAAAATCAATTAGACGAACAAGCATTAGAATCATTACCAGAATTACCTTCATTGGAAACACTTTCCTTGAATGGGAATTGTATAAAGAATTGTGGTGTTCTTTTACAAATTCTTTGCCGTAAAGCACCCCATTTAAAGTGCCTTAGTCTTATTGGAAATCCTGGCTGGCCTCATCCTATTTTAGGTGGTGGTAGAAATCTTGAACTTTACAAAAAATATGCGTAAGTTTTTTCTTTGAAAAATTTAAAAATAAATTATTGTATTAGATGATGACATAAGTTTATTAGAGGATGTAGATAGTAATTAAGAAATAGTATATTAGGTAAATGGCTAGGACAAGTATACATAGGCCCTACACCCACTCAAACTATTCCGAAACTGTACATAGATTTATTATACCGGTTAGGCAAAACCTTCAATTGCATTATGTAGTGGAAAGGAATTTCTATTTTTTTTTTAATTTTCAGTTTGTCAGCTGTGCAATTGTTGCCAACCTTGCAGTTTCTTGACACAGCCCGTGTGTATTCTGGTGGACAAAATCAAAACATTCCAAATTCAACAAATGCCGGATTACCATCTTCCAACCATCAGAAGCTTTTGGTCCCAGCAGTTTGCCGTGTTGTTTGAAAAAGAAGAAAATAATTTTTGGTGGAAAGATGAATTTAGAATATCAAAATTTGATAAAGAAAAATACCGTATTTCCTATATTAGAGCCCCATGGGGCTCTATTTTTCAACTATCCGCCGAAGTGGGGCTGTATTAAAGGGTGGGGCTCTAATTGAGGGTGGGGCTCTATTTTTCAACCCTCTTTTGAGATAAAATCCCATTTATTAACTATCCATTGGAACTAGAGATAAGCCGAAGGTTTGGTCAATAAAACCGCAAAATATCGAAAGAGAATCGATTATTTTTCGATTTTTCAAGAAAAATAAAAACTTTTTAAGCAATGAATAATAAAATAGTCCCAATAGTTCAATGAGAGTTAGATTAATTATTAACTATTGTTAGATTTGGACAGATTAAAGGAAATATTAGGTGACTGGGGGTATTATGAGGCATATGAATGATTTTGTTTGATGAAGCTTTGGAACAGGTTCCAGAACTGAAACTGAAGAAAATAAAAAAGCAGATCCAGAACTGGAACCGGTTCCAGAGAAATTTTGGAACTTCTCCTTCGCTGATAATAGGAGGGATTTGGAGGAATATAGGCGATATTAGGTTATTTTTACGGATATCGGGATTATCTCCTCATTATCATCCTTATATCCCCATGATCCCTCCTCCTCCATGATCACGATATCATCGATATCCCCCTTTATTTCCTTAACTCTCTTAATACATCTAAAATGTTATTGGGATATTTTTTTCCTTTAATATTTTTTAGGTGGGGCTGTATTTGGGGTGGGGCTCTAATTAAGGGTGGGGCTCTATTTTTCAACTATCCTCTAAAGTGGGGCTGTATTAGAGGGTGGGGCTCTAACAGAGGGTGGGGCTCTAATATAGGAAATACGGTATTTGATTGAAAATTATAATATTTGGTGGAATTATCCCTTTAGCTAACATTCCAATATATCCGAACCTTTTTATATTTTAAAGTATATTACTCAAATTAAATAAAATTTTAAATATTCATTTTTGATTTCAATTTTAATTTTTAGAAGCAACTAAATATACATTTGATTTTAGTAATTTTCTTCTCTAAAATATTTTCCAAATTTTTGAGTTAAAAAATATTTTTTTTAATTTAAACTCGACTTATTTCAAATTCATTTTAATAATATGATGTAACTAAATTTTAACTGCACTTTAAAATTATTAAGCATTCAGACATACATTTTGAAATGAAAACTTAAATAATTAGACAACACGTGTAGCTTTAAAATAAATTAAATAAATATATAAATGTTGCCCATTAAATTAAAATTCATTTAAAAAACATTTAAATTTAAAATTAAAATCCGAAAATTAATTTATTAAAATGAATATTTATTTTATTTTTCTAATTATTACTTTACTAGTAAATGAATTATTTTGTATCTCGGTTATAAACAGTTTGGATTTGAATAATTTTATTTTCTTAATAAAAAATTCTTTTAAGCTGTAAATAATCCTGGTTTATCTATGTATAATTTTAAAACAAAGGATAATTTCCAGAATAATTCTCAAATAAATAATTCGAATATTAAATGTTTGTTTTTAAAAGAAAATTATTTTTTAAAAATTAAATTTAAGTTAAAAAATTGTTTAATCAGAAAATTAAATATTCAATGAATTATTGTTCTCCAATTAATGTAGTTTCTAAAGAAAATTGTAGTAAACCTTCTTCGGATGAGGAAATTAAAAATAATGAAACAAAAGAAGATAATAATAAAATATTATCTGACACTTCAAATTTAATTAAAAAACAATGTTTGTAAATTAAAAATAAAATATTGTTTAAATTTATCTTTAGTGTTAGAGCAGAATGATGTTAAAATTTTACTTGAAGCATATTCACATTCAGAATTGGTAATTAACTAACGTCAAGCATATAGCTATTTAATTCCCAAGGCTGTGCAGTAGGCGGCATGGACACATCAATCCGGTCTACTGAAGATGCTAGTTCGCTCCCAGCCGCCGATTAACCTTTTGCACTAGCTAAAGGAGCTGCTTTACTCTAATTTTATTCAATATCTTTTCAATCATTTTAATTTTTAAGCAATATTCTTTCAAAAAATTAGATGAAAAAGAAATAAAAATATTTTTTGAATTTCTTGATGAGAAAAAAGCTAATAAAATAATTAAAGAACACCTTTCAATTTTATTTTCATTTTTCGAAAAGGCAGAAAATCCCCTCCTCCGTACACAAATGTCTTTATGGGTTTTACTTGTTTATATTCAAAATGCTTTGAATAATTTACAAGAAGAAAATAAATTATATCATCCAAATTTGGAATATAGATCTATTTTAATATTTTATGAACAATTATTCAAGTAAATTTTAAAAAATTTATTTTAATTTTTATTTTAAAAATTTAGAACAACAGAATCAGCTTTCTTAAGAGAATCAATTACTAATTCAATTAAATATATGCATAAAATATTTAATAACGAATTAAATAAATTTTTTGATGGAGGATGTTATGAAGTTTATAAAGAAAAATGTTTTGAGTAGAACCAGAAAATGTGGAATTCTTAAATTAAATTTAAAAATGCTAAATTCGAGTTTATAGATAAAAAACTAACTAAACTCCCGACAAATCTAAATATTAATAAAATTTCTTTATGCATTAAGCTAATATTAAAGTAAACTTAATTCATGACGTATTTCAGTCAAACCAAAATCCCAATGGATCGAGTAAAAATTGTAACACTAAAATTTTTGTTAACATTTCTAATTAGAATTAAAGTTAAATTAATTGTTGATATTTGCAAACTTTTATTTAAATTATTAATACATACAACTAAAAAATAAAAATTTTTTTCTTAAAAAGTTTAAAATAAATTTAATTATCAAAAAACTAAGCCAAGAGTTAATGACTGTTCATAATCAAATTGAAAATCTTTCAAGGATCTTATAAGTTCTACCAGATAAGAAACTTTAGAAGAATGACGAATAAAGGCACTTTGTTCGTAAAACTGAGTTGTAATTGGTGTCTGTACAATTAACGGAATAAGTCCACATAAAAGATGATCTCTATAATAAATATAAATTTTAATGTAAATTCAAATATTTGTAAATCCTCTATTTACCTTAAACATAAAAGCATAAAAGAATTAAATTTTCCTTCCTTTCCAACAACAGAATTTGCTAAATAAAAATTATTAAAAACCATAATAAACTTTAATTTTACCTCCAATTTTTTTAACCATTTTATAAGCATATATTACCAAAGAACTGTAAATAAAATTTTAAAATAAAGCGGAAGAGAATTTTCTACCGCATTTCGCTAGCTAATTCATTTGCTTTTCCACTTCGAAAAAATTGAACAAACCAAACAAAAACTTCCTCTATATAATCCCACGGATAAATTGTTGGATGAAATATTTTTTGTATCAATCCATGTGAACTAAAAATTAATTTTTTTTAGGAATTAAAAAAATAATTCTACAAAATTTCATTAAAACAAGGCAACAATCCATCATTTGAACATAAAAGTAGGCTAAGTTTTGAATTATTTCCAATATATTGTTGTTGTTGTCCACAATCATTTTTTTCTAGAAAGTGTTTCATTAATGCATTGACTGCCATTACAGCTTTATGTTCTAATGATTGGAGTGTATCTAATGCTAATAAATAAATAAAAAATATTTTAATATTAAATTAAGAAAAACACCTAAAGTTTCATCCACAACCCTTCCACCACCACAATCAGAGGAATTATCAGTAATGCCAAAAAGCCTTCTTTCAGAACTTGGTGATCTTAAACGACTTCTTGCTCTCGGCTTATTTTTCGAGTAATTATCCGAATTTTCGTAATATTTGTTGGTCTTTCTCGGAGACAAAAAAGCATTAGAAAATGCACTGTCTGAATGATTCAAACTATTTGAGTCAGTTCTTTCTTCTTGATCTTCATCAGCTGGCTGAAGTACTATTGCTTCTGCAATTAATAGTCGCTCCAATGCACCATCATCAACACCACGACCAAAATAACGACGACACCTGTTTTTAAAATTTTTGGAACTTTTTTCATATACATATTTGTTTCGGGAGTAATTTTCTTTTTTTATCAATCACGGGAAGTTTCCTTCATTTTGTCAATTATAAAACATAATTTTTAATAACTCAAATAAGGGCTAGGGTGATATTTGAAAAAAAGTACACAATTTTTTTTTAAATTAAACACAAAAATATAAACAAAATATATACCGAAACAGGAATGTTTGTGCTGTAACACAATTGCGCACAATTACCTAAAACAAAAAATTTCAATTTATAAACAGTCTAAAATTGTTTACGTAATCCAGAAACCATTTAATTGGTCGATGAGTCGCTCGTACCGAATTAATTTTATGGCCAACACGAAGAGTTGAAAGTATCCCCAAATTCTTATACTTAAAAAATAATTTTTAAATTTAATTTAAAAACAAAATAACATCAAAAGTAAATTGTGTATTATTTGCAGGAAGAGAAATTTGTGAAGTAGAACCCAGTGAACCAGTTAACATAATATAAACAAAAGAATCTGGGAAACGATTTAAGCCGCCCGCCATTAGAACTTGATAACGCATTTCTTTAAAAAATTAAAAAATTGTTTATAAAATTAAAAGAGAAATACTTATTGTTGGAAAAGCGTTGGTAAAGCAAGAAAAGTCAACAGCATTTAATGATAATAAATGAAGGAGAAATTGTTCGCGTTCATCGTCACAACGAAGAAAAGAAGAACGTTTGTATAATTTTCTAAAATTTAAATAAAGGTCTAATTAAATAAAATAAAATTACTGGAGAAGTTCAGTATTTGAAAGTAACTAAATATTGAGAAAAAAGGATTTTTTTGTACTTAAATGAATTAATTTTAAACCTTTTTCAGATATTGGTAGAGAAGTTTTCGCTCGAGAGCAATTCTGACAAAAGCTAGAGCAAATCCAATATCTGTCTTGATCTATAAAACATTTAACTCATTAAAGATCTTTAAAAAAGGATTACCTCTGTCATTCTAACGATGTTTCTAAAATTTAATTTAATTTAAAATTTTAATAAATATTAAATAACTTTAAATCATATGCCATTGTATTTGGAAGAGGACTCAATGATCGTAACAAATCTCCACCTCCATATCCAAGCATTCCACGTGTTAATCTTTCATAAAGGCGAGAAGGACTGTTTGAACGAGAAAGAGAACGATTTCTGGAATGAGGCAATTTTTGTTGTTGACAATTTGTAAATACTCCAGATGCACTCAAATCTCTTCTTTTACGAGGTGTTGAATCGTTGTTGGAAGAAATTCTTGAAAGAGAATCCTCGGAAAATCGAGAAGCCAAATCTGAAAATATGAGTAAAATTAAAGGAATAAAGAGAAATAAAGCAAAAACAAAAAGCTATTTAGAAAAAGATCGGACACAAAATGGCAATTTTAAAATTAAGAAAAATAAAGAACCAATTCACCAACAAAATAAATGACATAAAAAACTATACTTATTAAAATAAAACCAGAAATAAAATTACACTAACTCCCTTTTCCTCCACTTTGATAACAACTTGCACTTCTTGGTGGTGTAGGTATTTTAGCAATAGATCTGCTTCTTCTTTCCTCTCCTTTAATATGTTGTTGATTATTAACTGCTTTAAGTGGACTTTGAAAAATAAACTTTCTATAAGTTTCTTTCGGCAAAACCTCAGAATTTACGTTCTCCGATTTTTTATTAAGTTCGTCTTCTTTTTGCTCCTCTTCTTCAGTAAAACCAGAACTTTTTCTTCGTCTCAATAATTTTGGCGTGCGAAGCTTCCAATTCGGAAATGAAGATTTTTGATCCTGAAAGTGAATTAATTTAATGTGAAACAATTGCTTTATTCTACCGTTGAAAGTGGTGGCAGAGGCGGCAGTCGACCCTTGTTACCACTACTATTAGACTTTTTACATTTTTCATCTGCTTGTTGTTGTGATGTAATTCTTTCACAAATAACATTAGCTGCTTTAAGCAAAGAATGTGACCAGTTATTAGTAAAATTTGAAAGTGAATCAGTAGAAGAAGAGTGTGGAGAGTTATCATGAGAATCAAACGAGGGAGATGTCCCAGCAATTTTACGAAAGGAAGAGATGAGTTCAAGAAGAGCTCTTGAGGATTCTCCAGTGCTAATATCATGTGCTACATTTGATGTCGGTGATAATAACCGTTGCCCATCGTCTGCTAAAAATAGACAAAACACTAACAATTTACAGACAGATATATAAAAATAAAGACAGCTAGGAATAAAAAATTCTCTTAAAATTTTTAGAATAAAAGGACAATTTTTCATCCCCACATTAAGCAAAATAAGCAAAAATATGTAGCTTATTATTAGGAAAATCCCTTACAATCAAGTCGTCTCCGAAAAACGATCCAAAGCATTGCTGTAGTAGATTTAAAGTTAAATTGACAGAAACTTATTGTCAGTAAATTTTATGGCTAAATTCTATTAAATCAAAAAATTCACCATGCGTTGAAGCAGAAATATTGCTGTTATTATTTTCAAACCCAATAGAACTTGCACGCCTGCTTGATGCTTTAAGCATATTAGTTCGTGTTTCCCATTCATGATAATAATTTATATATGACCAAAGAGCAGATCTTCCCTGAAATTTTTTGATAAAAATTTAAACAAGGATTTATTCAGTTGCCTGTTTTTTCTTGAGACCATGAGACCATATACGTTCAAGCAACTCACAAAATGATGCTACCAATGTGTTCTTAAAAAAGATTTATAAAATAGTTAAGCAAATTACTATAACAAAATAAATAAGAAATTAAAAGTACCTCTTCAACTCCAGATATTCCCAAGTGAGATTGACCATGTCCAAGATGAATTGCTTCCCTGCCCATTTTTGCTAAAAGAATTCGTGTCGTTCTTGCTGTTTAGAATTTTTTAAATTAAATTTGAACAGTAAATCTTTTTACCTTTAGTTTGTTTTAACAATTGCTCAACAAACTTCCAATTTTGATGTGCTAAATTCATTGGTGCTGTTACATCATTTTCTTTTATGACTAAAGCACTAGCTGTCTCTTGGTTATTGTCATTTTTTTTACAAGTTATCTTGTTTTTAGGTTTTTGTTGTGCTGATTTACTCTCAATCAAAGTATTTTTAATTGAGCATTTAGTTGAAATATCAATGTTACATGAATTTGTTATTGATGCATTTTTTTCCAAAAGTGATGGATTCCTAATTAAAAGATGTCCGTTGTATTTTTGTAAAGGTAGTTTTGATGATATTGGAGCGGGGATTTGATGAATCTTGCTGTGATTGAGTAAGGTATCTATTTCTAAAATTTTTGTAAATGGTAGGGTCAATGAATTTTTATTTATTATCAAAAATTAATATATACCTCCATTTGCCTCTGCAATATAAGTTTGAATTTCCATAGCGCCGTCCTTCATTTCAGCTATTCTTTTATCAAAAAGTAAAACACTGTTCCCAACATGACCAGAATTTTGTAAAGAAAGGATTTTAGAGTCGATGAATGAGGTAAACATCTTTTTAAAAATTATTTAAAATATTTAGAATATCTACATACTTGTGTTTCAAGAAAGGCAGCAAGAAAAAGAATTACACTCTCTGGCTGATCAACAAGAAAAGAAATGTTGTCAAAATTTGCCGATGATTCACGAACAATGCGAGCAGTTTTAATATCAGCGTTGAGCAGATAATTTTCATATGAGGTGAATAAAGAGGCAAAATGTGAAAGAAAAATAGAACGGAGAGCTTTATTGAAACGGAGCCCCTTTGAAAATAAAAATAATTTAAGTATTTTATAAAATACATACTTTTAAATAGAAGTCATGGATCTTTATTTCATTATTCGAAATTGACGATTCGGATTTAAAAAATTCAGTCAGCTTTTTAATTTTGTCAATGAGTTCCTGACTTTTTGGAAAAGCGGGTAAATCTTCAGGTAAATCCAAACGACCAGAATCAATATCCAAAAAACAAATGTTGTGCTAAAATAAAGATTCATCTAAAAAAATTTTAAATGAGAATTTTTAAACCTGTGAAAAATCCTCAGGTAAATTTTCGCCCTCGGAACAGATTCCCATTAACCTAAAAAAAATTAGTTTAATAAGAAAATTAAATAACCAAGGCACGGGTGCTTCCAAAAATTTAAGCTGAGAATGTGGTAAAATCGGACAGTAAGCCATTTGCCAAGAAAAAGGAAAAACAAGTGTCGAGAGACATTCACCAAATAACATAAGAGTAATAGCATCTGTTTTTAATTTTTTTAGTTTATTCAAAAAAATTTTTTAGTTACGCTTGGAAACAAGTAATATTTGTTTTTCTAGCATAAAACAAGTAAGCAGTCTGAGGAATTTTTCAACAGATATAAAATTGAAGATATTCTGCATTGAGTAGTCAAAATATGGAAATTCCTCTAAGGTTGGTATCCTCACAAGCAATTGAAATTGTGAATGGGTAACTCGTATGGCTTCACCGGGAGGTGGTAAAGGAATCTAATTTTAAAAATAAATTTATTAGAAACGTTAAAGAAACTTGATGAAGTGCCCAAAAAAGAGCATCGTCCAACGAGAGTTTTGCCTCATCAGGGAATTTATCATTAAAAATCAGCCAAAGGTTTGATAACAAATTTTCTGAAGAATAAATAACCGGCAACTACAAAAAACAAAAAATAATTATTGAATTTTTAGAAAATAAAAAACCGATGCGAGCACCACCATACTTTTTGAAGCAAACAATAAACTTTTTGGGTTTGTATAATACGAAGAATGATCTTCTCCATTGTTTTGTTCTGTATTTACATTACTACTATTTCTACGACCAGATGAAGAAAACTTTCGAGGAAGGGAATGTGTTGTAAATTTCTTTGAAAGATGTTGTTTTTGGTGTAGTAATGTACCTTTTGAATATGGATAGTTTGTAGTTGAAGTAGAAGGAAGTGGAGAAGTATGATTTGAAGCAAAATCACGCAAAAAATCCATTTGAGCATCAAATCTAAAATATATGAAAAGCTTAAAACCCCCCGTAAAAGCATACATTTTTTGACGCAATTCGACTGAACGAAGTTCCTAAAATTAAACATAATTCATCATTAAATTTTAGCACAAACCTCATAAAAAACCAAAGAACAGCCGTGAAGCCTTGAACCATCTGCAAAAAAATTTGATAAAAAATTTAACAAAAACCTCACCTTCTCTAACAATAACAAAAGAATGAAAGGAAGGCTCTTGAGGTACATTTTGTTCAGTGAAAAGACGAACACCAGAAGGCAGGGCAAGCTTAAAAATATTTAATACTACTAGGTAGTTAGTTTTAAGTATATTTGTAGCAATCAAAAATTTGTTTAGTAAAAATTAATACCGCTGCTATCTCAGCGGCAAACGGCCTTCCCTGTCTTTCTGCCGGAAAATGAGCAATGACCTTAAATTAAAATGATTAAATTCCAACAATTTCCAAACCTTAGCCTGATACGATGCTTGCAAAGGTGACCTCGGACCATTAGGCAAATTCCCCTCACCAAATCCAGTTTTACTCTCTTGCTAAAAACTACTTTATTTAAAAACAATCAATAAAAACAAACCTTTAGTCCAAATTCTGGATTATATCCGATGACGGCAAAATAATCATAAAGTGGTAAATTATGAAGAGTCATAATAAACTATCCACAGCAAGTGCAACAGCATAGTTTCTGCAGGAATAATATACAAAAAAATCTTAATAAAAAATTTTATTTGACAATTTTTAAGAAACTAGCATAAACTGAAACATGTAAAAATTACTAAATTTGATTCTTTCTAATATTTATTTCGATAACGGAAATTTTATTTTTATTCCGTCGCTTAAACACAAGCGAATATTGAAAATACATGTATAATTAATGAAAAAAATTTTATTTTGTGTTAAAAAACATGGTTTTAGATTGCTTTTGGAACTGTAAAGTGTTAAATGTATAGCATTTTGTTGTAGAATTCCAAATATTCAATTTATTAATTCAAAAATATTTTTATAAACATGTAAATATTTCAGGAATGCCACAACTATTTTAGAAAAACAAAAAATTAAATATTCACACAAAAATGAGATTGATAAATAGCAACATTCTTGTAACAAAAATCAATTTTTGGGAGCATTTTTTGGTGAAAAAATGATCATTTTAAGTAAAAAATATTCTTGAAGAAAAATAAATGAAGTGTAAAATGTGGGATATTAGACAAGAAGTACAGGGGAATTTGGAATTTTTTAGCAAAATTGGTTTAAACGTCTTTCAAAATTAATTTTAAAGAAAAAAATATTTTTATATTTTCCCTGTTCTCCTGATTAAAAAGAAATACAAATATATATTAAATGACCTTCTCCTAAATTTGTTTTATCATTGTCGCTATAATCGAAAATGTCAGTCAATTATCATTGTAAAAGCACCATTAAAAATAAAATGCAATATAATCAATTATTAATTCTCTTTTACTAGCCACTACAATTAGCTAAAGCAGCAGCCATATCAATATCAGAAATATTACTTCTTCCACCTAATAAATCATCAGAATCACTACGACCGCCTCCTTGTAAACTAGCAAGTAATTGTCTAATAGCGGCATCTTGTTCTTCACTATTTGCTTCCATCATAAGGTTGGGAGCATTTCTTGAAGTATTGTTGTTGTTGTTAATTCTGGAATTGATGGAAGTTTAATTTTTGATAAACAATTGAGAATTCATTAGAAACCCAGAATAAGGGGCGAAATGGATTATACGGCAAGGGCGTAGCCAGAGGGGCTTCTGGGGGTACAGCCCTCCCCCCTCCCGAAATTGGGAAAGTGAAAAAATTTTAGGAGGGAAATGATTACCTTCCAATTTTAATATAAAGAAATGAGAACGGAAAAAGCTTTGAACTTGAACTCGTTAATTTATTAAAATATAATACCCTTTAGTGGTTGGTTCTGTTTTCACTGTAACACCTCCACTCTTTGGTTGATCCATTAATCCAAAAATATCAGAAGTATTTCCAACACCAGCCATTCCCAACATTGCATTTATCATAGCAGCATCTGACTGACTTGTAGTTGTACTTGTATTACAACCAGTAATAATAGGTTTCTTATCTTCATTAGTAGACCCTGCTGAACTGGTGGCAGCTGCTAGAATTGCACCCACTTGAAAAATTTCTCAGAATTTTCAGTCAAAATTAAAAAATACCATTTAATTGTTGACCGAATAAATTGTGTCCTTGCCCAAGCAATTCATCAACCAAAGCGGGTGTTAATTCGCCTCCATTTTCTTGAAAACCTAAAATTAAAAAATAAATAAAAATTCAAATTAAAAATACTTCTAGGTAAATTTTGTAAAGTTCCAGGAGGAAGTCCCAATTGAATTTCTCGTTCACGTTCTTGAACTCTTGTGACTAATCTTAAATTTAAAAAATTAATTTATAATTAAAAACAACAAATTACTTCATTGCCCAAGTTATTTTCAGTTTTACTTGGCCACCATTCTCTTCTAATAAACCAGGCGATTTTGTAGCGATGTAATTTCGAGCAATTGTTAATGCCTATAAAAATTTAAAAAAAATAATTTTTAAAACGTTTTTTACATGTGAAGCTGTCAAATGTGCAGTTGGACTCTTTTGTTTCATTTTCACAATGTGCTCAACCAATTCAGCATCTAATTCGTCTCCTATCAGTTTTGGACGGCCTCGACCTCTTCCACGCAGATAAGCATTAACGCTGCTGTTTTGAGAGCCTGTAGCATTCTGCCAAAGTTGTGCCAAATTTTGATTGCCATTTTTTGAAGATTCTTCTTCATTTTTATTTTCACAAGTTGGCATTGCTGTTAATGAGGCTGTTCTTTCTCTTACTTCCCCAGAAGACGGATCATGTGTCTTTGAAGACGACAAAGCTGGGCCAATTGAAAAACGCCCAGCAGGACGGCCAACTTTGTTATGGACGCTGTTTTTGAATTCTCTTCTGTGGTAATAAGCAGCTACAGCAGGTGGAATGTTAAATTTACGAGCAGCAGCAGTTGCACCATGAAGCTGTACAAACCCGGCAACTGTCTGAAATTTAAAATTTTTTCTAGAAAAAAATCATTTAAAACCTTCTTCTCTGCTGCTGTGCAGTATTTAGATCTACGTCCTCGTTGTGTTGATTCTCCCCAGTCAAAAGAATTATCATAATTGTGTTTTTCAGAACTCGACTAAAAAATTATTTAATATAATTAATTTAATAATTAATGAAAACCTGTTGATTTTCTGATCTATAATTTCCATTTAAAAGCGATTTAGCTTGCGTTTTAATTGAAGTTATTCCACAATCTTTACAACCACAAGGCTGAACATTTAATGTTCGAATTAAAATTGACATCTAAAAAATTAGGAAAATTTTTTTAAAACAAAATTTTCAAAATTTTTTTTTTTAAATTTTTGAAATTTTAAAAATTTTTCAAAAAATTTTCAAGTCAAGCGACGTGACAAACATTTAAAAATTAATTTAAATTAAAATCAATATTTACATATTTATTTATTTATTAACAAAAAAATAATCAATAAATACCTGATGATTCAACATTTGTAAATTTGCCTTAATAGACGCCAATTCCCCCTTCGGTACCAAAATTTTTTCATCATCTTCAGGATTAGGACTAACATCCCCCTCCTCAATACATTCCCCTCCAATCTCCTCTCCATTTCTAACAATATTTTCATCATAACCACTCCCAATAATCTCATCTTCATCATCTTCCTCCTCGTCATCTTCTTCTTCTTCTTCCTCTTCCTCATCTTCATCATCCATTTCTTCATCGTCTTCCTCTTCCTCCTCGTTTGGCTTTAATTTTAGAATGTTTTCATCTGAATTTAATTCTTTCTGATTTAAATTGTCTAGAGAAGACATTTCTTGCATATTGCAATGTTGATTGTTGTTATATTTTGAATTATAATTATAAGAATTTGAATGCATTTAATATTTAAATTTTTCTAAAAAAATAAATTTTAATAAAAATAATTTTATTTAAAAAATGACAAAATATTTAAAATAATCAATTAAAAAATAAAAAATATTTTTTTAAAAAAAAGAAAAATAAATTTAAAAATTATTTAAAAAATAGGGGATCAACCCAGAATATCAACACCCAAAATATCGTTTGACGCAATATTTGATAGCATCTTCATTATGTGCTATTCCTGACTCGAATTGAGTTGGCCAGAATTAAAAACACGTTAATAAAGCCATTATCACGTCAATACCTTCACCAAAGGAAGTAGTAAATTCGTAATTATCTGAAATCAGTAATCAAGCTAAGGTTAGCTAACTAATAGTAGGTAGAGATTTTATAGGTAGAGATTTTATGGCACCACGCTTCATTATACGCTATCGATATTTTGGGTCAAACAATATTTTGGGTGTCGATATTTTGGGGTGAAGTCAGAAAATAAGATTATTAAATAATGATTAAATTTAAAAAAAACATTAATTTAAAAATTATTTAAAAAATTAAGATTAGTAATGAAAAAGAAATATTTAATTTACAATATAAAAAGAATTAATTTATTTTTAAAATAAAAATTAAAAAATTAATTTCTCATCGTAAATTAGACAAAGTAAAAATAAATAAAAAAACATTTTTTGAAATTAATTCTTTAAACTTTAAAAAATATTTCCAAAATGCTGCTCAAATAAGGGAGTATACTTATTGTGAAATTCTTATATAAAAATTAGTTATTCTCTCATAAAATTTGGATTTAAATTTAAATTGAATTAAGAGTAAAAAAATATTTTTTTAGTCTTATTTTAAAGTAAATAAATAAAAAATAAATTTATTTTTTTTTAATTTGTCTATTTATTTAATAAATTTTGAAAGAATTTTATTTAAATAAATTTATTTAAGTAATTCACTATTAGTTAAATGAATTTACATTTTAAAATAAAAATTAATTAATAAAAATTATTGGAAAATTAAAATGCTAAATGGACAATTGTAGTTTAGGGAGAAAGAGAGAGAGAGAGAAGTGGAGAGAGGGAAGAGAGGGAGGGATAAATAATTAACGAGAAAATAAAAGAGAGAGAGAAAAACATCTTCCGAAAGGATCTCCTCTCTCCCTCTTCTCTCGGCTACCCTACAAAACATATTTTTTTAAAACAGCAAACGCTCAAAACATCTAGACGACTAAAAAGGCTCAAAATATATTCGCTCAAAACATCAAACGCTCAAAATATCTAGACGGCTAAAAAGGCTCAAAATATCAAAATATTTTTTGATTAAAAGGGACAGTTGAGTCCAATATTTCTTCCTTGTATCAGGGGTGAATAATGTAGTATCTCAGGACCAATTTTGCATGAACTCGACGTGTTGAGAAAGGGCTCGACGAGCTGAGTTGAATGACACCAAAATCAGCTCGATTGGATGATTGTGAACAAAGTTATGACCAACTGAATCTTCGCTGGAAAAACTGTTTTTGTGCTGCTACGGAGGGTAGGCCGGGCATGGTCTTCGCTACACGATGGCCGTGCTTCGCTGCGGTCGTGCTCGCTTCGCTCGCGGCGACCGTAGCGAAGCGGCGGCCGTCGTTCCGCTCGACATGCCCGGCTTCCTCCGCAGCGGCAAAATTTTTTTCCGCGGACTCAACTGTCCCCTTTAAATGAAAAATATATTTTGATATTTTGAGCGTTTGATGTTTTGAGCGAATATATTTTGAGCCTTTTTAGTCGTCTAGATGTTTTGAGCGTTTTTACCCGTCTAGATATTTTTAGCGTTTTTAGTCGTCTAGATATTTTAAGCGTTTGATGTTTTGAGCGGGCACGCTTCTCTCTTCTTCATCCCTCTTCTCTCTTCTTCATCCTTTCATTGCCTTAAAAAAGGACAAGGAGAATTTACCGAAATCGCCGGCGAAAGAAGAGAAGAATGAAGAGAAGAGAATTTGTTGGGTAGTTGTTGGACAATGAATGGACACACAGATATATCCTTAGCCTCTAAAATTGTTGGCTATCTCAAAATATGAAATTTTAAAATTTAAAGCCTCCGATTTTTAAAGTTTTTAAAAAAACTTTAAATTCATTTAACGAATATATTTATTTAAAAAAAAATAAATTAAAAATAAAATGTTAAGAAAATGACTCATTTAAAAATTAATTTTGTTTAAATAAAAAAAATTAATTTTTTTTTAAATAAAACATCTTTTTTTACTCTTTTTAAAATATAAAATTCTTTTTTAAATAAAATTAAATCGATTTTAATTAATTTTTAACTCTAAAAAAGCCAAATAAAAACCCCCCAAAGCGACAACCAACATTTTGTGGTAGGGGGAAAGAAGAGTGCATTTTTATTTTATTTTACTAGAAAATAAATAAAATAAGTAATAAAATTGCTTTAGCGAGAAAATTACAAGTCGATAAAAAATATTATATAAAATAATGAGAGAAAATTCACCAAAAAGAAGACGAATGTTTTAATATTATTTTTTAAATAAATAAAAAAAATTTTTTTTATTTAAAGTTAAAGCGGGCAAATAAATATTTATTTTATTTTTTTTTAATGTTGAAAAGCCTAAAGAGAGAAAAAAGAAGTGAATTAAAAATGTGAAGATAAAATTAAAAAAAATAAAAAATAAATAAATATTTTTTTCCTAAATATTTTTTAAAGTAAATAAAAACAATAATTATAAATGTGTTTACAAAAGAGGGAAAAAATAAATATACTCATTTCGAAAATTAAAGAATTTTAATGGAAATTGTTGTATAAAATACTTTTTTAAAAATTAATTAAAATTAAATTCTCCTAATTTTTAATTTCTTTTTTTTTTGTCTATATTTTTATGAGAGATTACTGTAGGTTTAAAGAATTAATAAATTATTTAATTAAAAAAATATTTCAATATTGGAATTAAAAATAAAAACCCCTCAAATATTATTTAAAAAACTTAATAATATATTGTTAATTAAAATTATTCTTAAAAAAAATAATAAATTTATAAAAATATTTTATTTTTATAATTGTGGTAAATTTATATTAATTTTGTTTCATGTCAATCTTGGTTATTTAATTTTTTATACGACATATGTATTAAAACTAAAATTTGGATTAGAAAAAAATAAATATTACATTTAACTTTTCTTGTATCCTAAGTAAATTTTTAATTAAATTTAAATAAATTTATTTAGTTTGTAAAATTATAAATACTAATTAATATTTTTTAAAAACAGATAAAAATTATTATAAAAATTCCAATTTTAATTTAAAACTATATAGAAATTATAAATTAATATTTTTTTGGGAATAATAAAGGAATTGGATTTTACTGAATTTTAAAATATATTTTCAAATAAATGTGCCGCCCAATTTTATTATACATAAATATTGAAATATACATTAAAAATAAAAAAAAATAAAATTAAAAATAAATAATTCTGTGTTTAAGTATAAAATATTAAAATAGTTGTTGCCCTACTTTTTAGTGGGAAAATAATTTATTTTTCGTGTATTTTGTTGGTGCTCCTACATAATATCGGTGGTTTTAAATTAAAAATTGGGAAAGGTAAAGGAATTGAATGCTTAGTATTCTCTATAAAATCCAGAAAACCTTCTTAATTGATTTAAAATAAAAATAAGAATTAAAAAATAATGCAGATTTTTGAATTTATTAATTGGCTTATAAAGCAAATGAAAAGCATTTCCCTTTCGAGTTAAAAAATATTCTGAAAATATTTAAATATTTAAAAACCACATTGAAATTTCCGGAATAGTAAGTGGACTCGCAATCAAGTTTCATTCTGATTGCTCCAAAGAAATGTAGAAGACAAATCTTGCTTTTATCTCTAAGTTTATTTTTGAAAACCTGGCTTTGAAAATACACACCAATGTATTTTGCGTTTCCCAAGACAAAGTATTCCTCTTTTTAGCGAGAAAAATTTTTTGAAAATTCGAAATCGAAGAATTAATAAAAATTCGAAAAAAATCGAAAGTAATCCCCTTGTAAATCGAAATTTCGAAACAACTCTGCTCCCTATATCTCACCAGGTCATTCGTGTAAATTAAATAAATGGTTGACTGTAGTTGTAAGTTGTGAATTTATTTCTGAGTCCTAGCTCTAAGTTCCCTATTTAAACATTTTATTGGAAAATGCCAAAGTAATAATGGCAAATAAATATACATAAATTTCAAATTTTATTTAAAAACTCCAAAGGATATATCGCTAAAATGGAAAGTTTAGAATAAATAAGAAAAATTCTGGATTCAACAAATCGCCAGTAGTCTTTTTAAATATTTCTTTTTTAATATAAATATTTTCAAACAGTTTGTTTTAAATAAACGAATTCATTTAGCCCAGCACTTAAAAAATTTAAAATGCCCATTCTCGAATTTTGCCTCATGTAAATAATTTTATTTTTTTTTTCATTTTATTTAAAAAATTGAATAAATACATTTAATTTTAAATAAAGGGAGTGAAATAGTACTAATAAAAATAGAGCATATGGTAGCAGAGAATCGATTCTCCCCTTAGTCACAGGACGGAGCCTTTCGACCAAAATTTTTTTCTTTATTTATTTCAATTTTTATTTTATATAAATAAATAAATATTTTTTTTTTATTTTATTTTTTTTCATTTTATTTTCTCCATCCCGATGTTGTGTATTGGCTAGAGTAAAGGAGAAAAAGAAATTCGTTAAGGGCGGATTACCGAGGGGGGGGGGGGGGGGGGAATGAGAGAGAGAGAGAGAGACTGCCCAATAATATTTTATAAAATGAGAATTGCTATTTAATTAAAAAATAGACGAAATAGTATTAAAAAAATATATAAAAATAATTATTTATTTATTATTTAATATCTAAATGTCTGTTTTGCCAGTCTGCTAAAGACATTAAAAAATAAAAAATACTTTTTGTTAAAAAATCTTTTTTAAATGAATAAAAATAACACAAGTTATTTCAAGTTAAAAAATCATGTGTTTTTAGTATTAAAAATAA